TATTACATGTTGGTCATCAAATAGTATGTTTTCTTCCCTCTTGAGAATACAAAATGCCTTAAATCAGTAAAGTTATGCTTTGAAATGAATATATGGATGAAGGTGTTCAGGCAGCATATCATGGAGGCTGGGTCACATTTCACAAGTTTGAAACTTTCCATGGAGTTGTAGAAGTAAATAGATAACAACCCTGAAAGCCTTGCATCTGGCTAGCTGAGATAAGACCTCATGTCACAAGAAGAGGAAAGGCAACACGAATAGTTTTTATTTTGATGTGCGGAGCAAACGATGTAATGGAGAACCGCTGCTGAAGCAGAGACAGTCTTATGTAATATATAGTTGGAGGGTCACGACATGCGGGACTGGGAGCAGAGACAGTCTTATGTAATATATAGTTGGAGGGTCACGACATGCGGGACTGGGAGCAGAGACAGTCTTATGTAATATATAGTTGGAGGGTCACGACATGCGGGACTGGGAGCAGAGACAGTCTTATGTAATATAGTAGGAGGGTCACGACATGCGGGACTTGGAGCAGAGACAGTCTTATGTAATATAGTTGGAGGGTCACGACATGCAGGACTGGGAGCAGAGACAGTCTTATGTAATATAGTTGGAGGGTCACGACATGCGGGACTGGGAGCAGAGACAGTCTTATGTAATAAAGTTGGAGGGTCACGACATGCAGGACTGGGAGCAGAGACAGTCTTATGTAATATAGTTGGAGGGTCACGACATGCGGGACTGGGAGCAGAGACAGTCTTATGTAATAAAGTAGGAGGGTCACGACATGCGGGACTGGGAGCAGAGACAGTCTTATGTAATATATAGTTGGAGGGTCATGACATGCGGGACTGGGAGCAGAGACAGTCTTATGTAATATAGTAGGAGGGTCACGACATGCGGGACTGGGAGCAGAGACAGTCTTATGTAATATAGTTGGAGGGTCACGACATGCGGGACTGGGAGCAGAGACAGTCTTATGTAATATAGTTGGAGGGTCACGACATGCGGGACTGGGAGCAGAGACAGTCTTATGTAATATATAGTTGGAGGGTCACGACATGCGGGACTGGGAGCAGAGACAGTCTTATGTAATATAGTAGGAGGGTCACGACATGCGGGACTGGGAGCAGAGACAGTCTTATGTAATATAGTAGGAGGGTCACGACATGCGGGACTTGGAGCAGAGACAGTCTTATGTTATCTGTGTTGAGGGTGATGACATGTAGGTGCTATGTCATGGTCTTGTCTAAGGTATGATGGAATGCGACCTAGGATACATAAAAACAAGGAAATAAACAAATTTATTCTTGGTTATTATTGCCTTTGCTGTAAAAAAGTCATTGGAATTTATTCTCCTGTGAAAAACGTTGTTGGATCTTGTTTCATTAGAGTGGATGCTTTAATCTTATCTGATTTTGACATGCAAAGATGTTCATGGTGTATGATGGAATGTCTCATGTCAGTGAGGGACAGTTCATTATTTGTGGATAGAGGGGTGATAAGAACAGGAGTTAATTCCCTGTAACAAATTAAATGGTGCCCTTGGCAGTTTTCAGCAATTTTCAGTAACCCCCAGTCTTGGGATTGACGGGCCTTCCAAGTGACAATGTGTGAGGGACATATCTGGTGTCGCCTTTAGCTATACTGCTTGAATGTTGTTAAAAGTGGCAATACCATACCAAGGTAAACCATACTAAATTAGTCACTCCAGATTGATGAAGAATCCATTGGCTGGAGAGCCAATGGCACTGTATGGTAGATGGGGCAGTTCACTCAAACATTGTATTCATACGCTGTTTCTAAAGTTACTTCATTAACCGATAGTGCATCTTCAACATCAGTTATTTTGAGAATGACATTGTATCATAGAAAGATTATAAACCTTGTGTGTTTTCCAGATTGTAGATATCATGTTTTAAGAATGATATAATGTATTAAGCCCGCCAAAGACTCCTTATTCAATTTTTCATCTTAACATATGATAGTTATGATATGGAAACACACTCAGGAAATAATCTCATCCCATTTAGGTGTCAACATAATTATACCGATTTTTATTTGTTCTGAAGATTCCTGCACAAGTTGAATGGCTTGCTAATGTTGTTTAGTATTTGTTTCATTAACTGTTGAATGGCTTGTTAATGTTGTATAGTATTTAATTCACTGACTGTTTTGCTTGTCATGCTGTGTGTGTTCCTCCAGTCAGCATGGCTGACAGAGTAAATGAATGAGTGAGAGTTGTTTTAAACCAGTGTGGGCAATAGATGTGGCCTGTAGTCCAGGGTGCCATTGTACAAAGCAATCTTAGCGTTAAGGTGATTGTAACACCCAAACTTAAACATGTTTTGTACAACGGCACTCTGGCCAGGGAAACCAGTGTTTGATAGATTGAGCAGTGGTCCACTCAAACGTGTTGATGACACACAGGCTGTCGTCCTAAAAACACAAACCTCATTTGAGTAGGATTTTTGAAAATACTGAGGACCTCTATCGAAATCCAATGGCAGGTAAAGAGATTAAAACACAGAATGTAAGATATGTGGATGAAAGATTTCCTTCCTTGTGTACGTGAAGATTCCAGGGTAGAATAGGTCTTCAGCAACCCATGCTTGCCGTAAAGGGTGACTATGCTTGTCGTAAAAAGGCGACTAACGGGATCGTGTGGTCAGGCTCGCTGACTTGGTTGATGCATGTTATCGATCCCAAATGCGTGGATCGATGCTCATGATATTAATCACTGGATTGTCTGGTCCAGACTCGATTATTTACAGACCGCCGTCATATAGCTTGAATATTGCTGAGTGCGGCGTTAAACAACAAACCAACCAACCAACCTTCCTTGTGTAATGCATAACGCCATCGTGACATGCAGGGAGTGTTTTATAGCATGGGTTCTGGTGTATGTTTGTCTTGAAGCTGAGTCTGAAATACATCCCTTCATGGGCTCATAAACCATTTACAAGATCAGATGTCAATAGGCTTTAGGGGCAAAAAGATCTTCCTTTAAAAGCATTTTCTTGTAAACCATCAAGTGAATGTTAATTTGAGGACATTTGGATCCTTATGTGTGGAGAGCGAGCAGGGAAAATAATTCAGTTAATGTCAACAGTTGGTAGTGGCACTTGTACTGAGCATCAAATAATTGGTTTGTATATCAGCTTAAAGGGTGGAGGGTTGTAAGTTAACAAAAGAACTTGATAACGCAAGGAGCTGCAGTCTTAGAACCACCAAACCTTGGACAGTATCAACTCCTTGTAGAAACCCCTGAAGTCCTTGCCCAGTTAGAACAGTCCCGTGGAGTAGAGTTCAGTTTGTTATATGTTGAACTTGAGGAAGCCAAGGTTGCATGCTATTCCCCAGCTAGCTTATGTCAGTGTGAAGCTATGGAGTCTACAACTCTGATCAGTATAGCTCACGATCACAACCCAAACCTATACGTCTTGCTCTGGTAACAATAAAACATTGAGTTCTGGGTTAGAATAGGTCCCCAGCAACCTATGCTTGTTGTAAGAGGTGGTTTAATGGAAAGGGTGGTCTGCCTGTCTTCGTAACCCGAGTATGTGGAGCCTTGCTCATTCTATCAATCACTGGATTGTCTGGTTGTTTTGAAAGACTGATATTGAATATGCAGCACTAAACAACAAACAAACTTTCCGGAGGGACGTGTGTGTGCCGATTCTGATGTTTACAACTACTTCTTTGTGCACGTGAGGTGTTGACATGAATGCATGAGAGTGTGTGGTGTTAACATGAATGCGTGTGCGCGTGCTGTGCATGTTAAAGTGTGACTACCATGTTCAGTTCCATAAGCTGACCTAGATAAACTAAAGCATGAAACTCAACATGATGCAGATGTCCTAATTAATATTTCAAAACTTGAACCCAAGTGTAATGTGCTTGAAAGTAGAAAAAAATGTAAACCTGTTGCCATGGCAATGTGGTTAGTAGAAATTGAAGCAATTAATTTAAGAGGTGCCCTGTTAACAAGTAAATTCTCTCAACAGTTAGTGTCTGGTAGAATCTGTGAAGCAGGAAGCTGTCTGTAATTGCTGCAATTTTTAATGAAATAGTTTCTGCTTCTAAGTAAATAATGATTTGGGGGGTATTTGCTTATGACCATTTTGCCATTGTTCAAATAGCTACAAATTTATTTTCCTGATATTAGTTGTTGAAAGAGAAGGAACTTTGGAAATTGATCAATCCTGATTAGATCCAGTGCTGCTTCAGTCTTTGCAGTGGTGCATTGTGCTGTCATGTTTAGTCAGTTGTGCATTGTTTAGTCAGTGTTTAGTCAGGGATGCTCTGTGTAGTCAGTGTTTAGTGAGCGATGCAGTCGAGAGATAGGAGTTCGAGTACAGGCTTTATCAGCCCTGTGTTAAGAGTTACAGTATATTTATAAGGAACAAGTTTTCAAGCACATTACACATTTTTGTCCGACAGTGTTCTTATATCCTTATTTTGTTTTGAGTGATATATATCTATTTCATAATAATTAAGAAAATAAATAAATATGCTGCTCAACATTGGATAGGGATATTGATGTATGGAAGCCTGTCTCAGCCAACAGCCAGGAGCCAGTTTGGTGTATCATTGAATAATATATTAAACAAAAATATTAGGGAACATGAATATTTTTTGGGATATTATTGTGAACTTTTGTGCTCAGTCTTCACTGAAACACATCCCCAAAATATAAATGATCCTTAACTTTTTTGTTCAGAATAGAATTGTCCCTATAAAAAGTTGAGTAGTGTACACCACTATAAGGAAATAAGGGCACACTGTCTGAAAACTATTAGCGCTATCTGAACACAAACATTTCAAAAACTAATTCTTGAAAATATTGTTATTTGACCTGAAAAGCTGGTGTTGATTTAATTTATACATCAAGTTTGTTTCCAGTTTGATATGTGTGTGTTGAGATATTGCAAGTTGTGTTTATTGCCGTGTGGCATGTGCATGGTCTGATCCCGTTTTTGTGTGTTGCTTCCTAGGCCGTCTCACCCGAAGAGTACGACCTATGGAGAAGTCAGGTGAGTTCACCACTCTAACACCCAACACCACTCTAACACACATCGCCGGTCTAACACACACCACTCTAACACACATCGCTGATCTAACACACATCGCCACTCTAACACACCACCTTACTAATGCTGGGGTTGTTGTGTAAGCTACGACAGATATGTACTCGTCCGTTCCACAATGAATAAACCCGGTTTGTAAAGGAACCGGTTTGGGACATTGTTGAATTGGCTCATCCTTGCTTGAATTTTCAAGCTAGGGTACATTTGTGTACCGTATTCGACGTAATAAGCGCCCCGCTCTTATAAGCACCCATGGCGATAATTGCTAACATATTGGCTAGTGAACAGTCCCAATTAGCACCCCTTCCGATTGATCAATGTACACAAGACTTATTTATTCGCGTATAATACGCACTCATGTGTTATATGCACCCTTAATTATGGGCAATTAAATTCTGGAAAAATATATCTGTCGTACATAAACATTTCAGGCTGTCAGCATAAACCACAAAATTTATCTTTCAACTCTGTTTTTTCCACCTAAATAATATTCTTATAAAAGCCCCCTATTTCTAATTTTGAGAGCGCCCTGGGCGCTTCTTACGTCAAATACGGTATTCTGCTTTTGGGTAGGGTACATTTCAGAATACAGAAAGGTACCTGGGGTTCTCATCTGTCATAACTTTTACAACAAGATGGTTCCTGAACTCATTGTTTGAATGGAATCGCTTGTGTTTCATGTCCTGATTGGATAGTTCATTGCATCCAGAATGAGCTTGTGTATTATTGGATGAGGAGGTTCAGTCAGTAACAGACTAGGACTGCCCAGTTGTAACATGTATAGTGATAGGCTCAGCTAGTAGGTAATCCAGATATCATTAGTCTGACAATACGTTCGAGCCTACTAGCCACAACTAATCTGTTTACAGCAATTTGAATAGATGTTAATGTTAATATGTTGGTTATTATGAGCAGAACCTTTTTCGAGAAATTTTATTTGGCAAGGTAGACACAATTTTATGGATAATAACTTCTTAAATACTGTAAAAAGCGACGTTTTGGTATAGATCCTTATACCTTGTCAAGCAAGACTGAATGAGGGACTTAGTACAGACTATATATAGTAGGTGGAGGATTAACAGTAGAGGATTAACAGTAAGAACAATTGCATATATGAGTTGGATAACATAGGTAACACGCATTTTATTGGACTCAGGCTTTGGACGTGTGGCTTAAGTCGCAGACTATATCCTCAAAGACCATCATTCCAGTAGCTTTATAAGACATGTATCAACACAATTTATCTTAGTGTACACACCACACTAATTTCTGTGATCATTTGTCTCCTGTATACTCATGTCAATTTCTCATCAGTAGTAATCACCCTGAATAGTTGAGAGCTATTGCACTAGGTCCTATTGACACAGCATGACTATACATGTCTACTGATGTCTAGCCATTTTCAGCACATCACTGTACTTAATTATTTGTTGGCATGATACTGCAATAATTGTCTGGTCAGTCTACTCCTAATGTTTCCTTGGTAATACTCTTGTGTTAAAAAAGGGAGTTTTAAATGTATGCTAGATCATTGTCTCACAGATTGCATGCTTGCAAAAAATCCATTGACATCTAGTTCAATCCACTGACGTCTAGTTAAATCTACTGACATCTAGTTATATCCACTGGCGTCTAGCTAAATCCACTGACATTGAGTTAAGTCCACTGATATCTAGTTACATCCACTGACGTCTAGATAAATCCACTGATGTCTAGATAAATCCACTTACGTCTAGCTAAATCCACTTACGTCTAGCTAAATCCACTTACGTCTAGCTAAATCCACTGACGTCTAGATAAATCCAATGACGTCTAGCTAAATCCACTTACGTCTAGCTAAATCCACTTACGTCTATCTAAATCCACTGACATCTAGTTAAATCCACTGACGTCTAGTTAGAACTGATGTCGAGTTTTCATCAGAATTAATTGCCATGCTATCCGTTCGGTCTGCACATGGCATATCTCAGTCTTTCAGATGGTGTCAGCTACGATAGTGTCTGCTGTACATATCCTCATCATCACTGTTGCCAAAACACTTGCCTCGCACTCACTGCATCAATCCAGCATCACAAACTTGATGAAAGTCAATATGTCTCTGGCACCATGGCTGCCAAAATTATCCATCCACACTTTCTTTGATAAAACTTTTTTATTTTCATAAATTGCAGTTAATTAGCATCAGGAGATTAAGTGGTGTTTTTCTTGCCGGTTTTTGACAGTTACAGAAAGAGTGTTTGCCATGCAGTAAATATCACATAGGTGTTGAGAGTACTATCTCATTTGCTATGAGAGTAATATCATTTTGGTGCTGAAAATAATATTGCGTAGGTTCTTGGCATAATATGACATACATGCTTAGAGTAATATCACATAGGTTCTGAGAGTAATATCACACAGCTGCTGAGAGTAATATCACATAGGTTCTGAGAGTAATATCACATAGCTGCTGAGAGTAATATCACATATCTTCTGAGAGTAATATCACATAGCTGCTGAGAGTAATATCACATATGCTATATGAGTAATTTCACATAGATTCTTTGAAAAATATATCATAGGTTCTTGGAGCAGTATCACATACGTGCTGAGAGTAATATCACATAGGTTCTGAGAGTTTCACAATGGAATGGTAAACTACAGATTCCGTTGTGTACATGTGCTGTATGTGTTTTGTACTGTATTTCAGGTTGGCACTGCTGAGGACCTGATTGTGCCCGACACCGTTGACAACGTCAGCGCTGCCCCTGGATCTGGTCTGTACCAGCCTGTCGACTTCTGTATCCCGGTTGGACCTATCTTCAACTTTGTCTCAGGTAAAACCTTCACTGGTATTCATCCAATCTGGATACACCTTCTCTCATTCCAGTAGACTTCAGTGTCCTCAACCTGACTTTACATCAACATAACCTGATCAGCAAATAGCAGCTAGATAAAGGAACAGTTAACAGTTATTAGATGGAGCTGACACAACTGATGAGGCACCCTTGATTCCAACATGTTATTGAAAAATGTTTGACTCTAATGAAAATTTGACACTTCATTTTAACCAATCTCTTTAAAATCAGATCTCCCTACCGCTAAGCAAAGATCTGAGGACATCCAATTATGGGTCGTGTCAGAACGTGACCCGTAATGGGATGTCGAGTTGTTTAACGGTAGCAAGAACTAAGATCTCATTTTAATCAGATTAAGTTTTCATTTGATACCTCAAAATTAATCCCTTTGAATGTATGACTACATTGATAGCCTATGTATCGATCCTTAAAAAAATGGCTGCCGATAATCCATTAGAACTGTATCGGAACTTTATTTGATGTTTTTGACCATTATTATGATGTCGTAGACCTTAACCCTGACTGGTTTGAAGATGAGATGACAACACTGTTTATGTCGGTTTGATAACGTCTTATGATGTGGTGTATTTGTGTTGCAGCATATGTCGTAATGCCGTCAGGAAAGCGAGCGTACCCGAAGATCGAGGACAACCAAGATGGCACTGTCACCATCAAGTACCAGCCCTCTGAGACTGGACTCCATGAGATGCATGTCAACTACAACAACCAGAGCATTGAAGGTCAGTCTGTCGTCTCATTGGCTACTTTGAATGTAGATGTAATTAATGCGTAAAGTTTTTAATTGTTTGCAAAATATTGAACTCAACTACCGTTAAGTTGTCCTTGATGAGATTTATTCTTGAATTTCCTTCATGTTCACCATGAGTCAATGGCTAAAAAATCAGCCTATAGTTTCCTGAGTAAAAGTACTCTAGTCAACTTGTTATGCCAACAGGAAGCCCGTTCTTGTTCCACGTTGATGCCGTCAACTCCGGCTATGTTACCGCCTATGGTCCCGGTCTGAGCCACGGCGTCACCAGCGAGCCCGCCATCTTCACCATCAACACAAAGAATGCTGGTGCTGGTATGTATCCAAGCAACAGACACTGCTCTGTTTCATCCTCTGGACAAGTAGAAATAACGTGTTCATCATTCGTTCATCATTAAAATCGTGAAACCATCAATGTTGTCCCACACTGTGATATGTCTGGAATACTGATCTTGTGGTGTTAAACTCCACTCACTCCCTCCCTCACTTAATCACTGATATGCTTGCAGGTGGTATGTCTCTGGCCATTGAGGGCCCCTCCAAGACTGAGATCAACTGCAAGGACAACGAGGACGGCACCTGCACCGTCAGCTACGTCCCCACAGCTCCTGGAGAGTACTGCATCACAGTCAAGTTTGCAGACAAACACATCACTGGATCCCCCTTCAAGTCCAAAATTACCCGTAAGTTGAAAGAATGCAAATATGTCTTGATTGAATGCTTTCAATTTATCAGTTCAGTTTATACCGACCTCTTTCATACAATATGAACTTGTATATTTGTTTGTTGTTTTAGTAACTGTTTATATGAGAGATATTTTGTTATCGAAAAGTCTGTCTGTCTTTCTGCCTGTTGTTAATGGATGGACATTTGTTGTACATGGTTCGTTATTCTTGGCATGAGTGTATGCAAGAAGGTTGTCATACCCATGAAATACAACATGGCAAATTATTGAAAAAATAATCCTGAAATATATATCAATTTGGAATAAACAATTATTTACTGATATTAACAAATGACTTTTCAGATCTTTTGGGATAATATATATCTAGATTTTAAAAAGCTTCTATGTGATTATTAGTATGCCATCAGAATTAACCGACCATCATCATTGTATATGAGTGTAGTTTCTAGACAACTATCTCATTCTTCTTCTGTCTCATGTCTCTGTTCTGTCGTTTCAGAAAAAGGTAATATAAGGTCTTATAACTTTTCACTAATGAATGGTCTTGATTTTGCTTATTCATTGCAGTCGATCATGTAGTCGAGAGAATGTTGATCATGTGACATTATCTGACATGTTTGCCTATATATAGATAGCATTTTCCAGCCTCATTATGTTTGCTTGGCAAAATGTGGCATTACTGCAAGTGAATGAATACAATCAAAGTTTATGGTTTGACTAAAACAATTCTCGCTTATTTGCCTTTGTTATGTTGCTTTTCTTGTTTCGCTGTGTAGACTCCATCTTTATGATTCAAGTAGAAGGTATCCTTACAACTCTTAGATGTTAACCTATCACTTGGGGGATAATTCCCTATGATTTGAGACCTTTCAAATTCCCCTCCTGTGACCTCGATTACAACCCATAAATATGTTTCTGATGTAAACACCCCGCACATTTGTGAAACTCTTTTCTGAAAGGAAACACATTCCTTCGTGTGAATTGTAAACACTTTTGAAACAGTTTGGACCAGTATAACACTACTTTTTACATCCTGTCTTGAAACAGTTTGGACCAATAGCACAAGCTTATTACATCAAGTGCATGCAGATTTCATCATTGCAAGTTATACTAACACAACAAGTGACCAATACATTCAAGAAAAAAACCAAGAATGTGAATACTTATTTTGGCATGAGGTTGATATGGTGATGAGGCCTATGATTTAGAGTTATCTGTCCTTGTTAATGGTATGCATGTGCATGAATCTTTGACTTTTTTAAGGTATCTGGTTTCAGATGCGTATTTATCATTTTCATTATTTTGTGTAATTTGAAATTATGTATATTATATTGAAAAAATAACATTCTTTGCATATTTGAGTTGAGTTGAGCAGATGAAGTTGTATCTTAGCATATGATAGGCTTGTAGGTATATACCATTGTCCTTGAGAGAAAGTTAGCTGTCTTAGTTCATAGGTGTAAACGAGATTAGTAATGAGTCTGAATATTCCACTAAGATATACATAGCATTTCACTTCCTCTTGTAGGAGGAATTTGTGTTTGTAATTAATACTGACACAGAAAAAAATTGTTTTGGGAAGATACTCAGGAGATACTGCATTCCTCCATCACTCCATGGGGTGGCCTGGTGGTAAGAGTGTTCGCTTATCATGCAGAAGGCATGGGTTCGATTCCCACATGGTATTCCCTGTCATGAAAAGCTGGATTATTGCTTTAAGCAGCATAAAATCCTTCTTACTCACTGACTCTGCATACGAGATTCAGTTCCCACCGGGATACAAAATACCAGTCTCTCTGTTGGTGTCATATATGACCATAGAGCTACTGAAGAGGAGTTAACCCTACTCCCTTACACGCCCATCCTGTTTTAGGGTAGTCTAGCGGTTCAAGCAGTCACTTGTCACGCCATATACCCAGGTTCAGTTCACACTTGAGTACAATGTGTGGGGCCTGCTTTGGATGCCCTCCACCCTGATATGGGGCGGTCGGGTAGCCTAGTGGCTAAAGCGTTCACTTGTCACGCCGAAGACCCGGGTTCGATTCCCGACATTGGTACAATGTGTGAAGCCCATTTCTGGTGTCCTCCGCGGTGATATTGGTGGAATATTGCTAAAAGTGGGGTAAAACCATACTCACTCACTCACTCACTCCACCCTGATATGGCTGCAACATGCTCTTAAAACCAAACTAGTCCTCAGGATGAGAGACTATCTGTCATAAACAGAATGGTCAGCCGTTACAGAATAATAGTAGAAATTAAGGAATTCCTTGACAGTTCTTTGTGTGAGTGTTTGGCCAATGGCGCAAGCAAGCCCTTGCCTGGAATGTTTACTGGGAGCACATGTATGTAGGTTAATGAGAGCCTCTGTCTGAACACTTTCGTTCTAACTCATGTGACAGCTCACACATTCGTTTTCTATTAAAAAATACAGACAGTCTGGGAGGCTGTCAAAATGATTAATTCTTTCAAGATAAAAGTTTGTTCATTGATTCTTTAAAAAGAGGACAACTCCCCGATGACTATGTCTGGCGGAGATGAAGATGGGGAGGCCTAGAAACACATTGTTGTGGAGACATGCAAGCTGTGTGGACACTTAGAGGAATTTGTGTTCGTAATTAAAACTGAGATAGCAAAAACTTGTTTTTAAAGATTCTCGATATAGAATCTGAATAAATAGATCCCCATTTAACCGAGGAACATTTCTTAAATTAGTGAGGCAGATTACTGGGACTTGACTCACTTCAAGTGTGTGGCAGCTTCAGATATTGTTGCAAACATGACTACCTATTTCATCAGTAAAATACAACAGAACATTTACAAATGGACGACAGGTTCTTTAGTTTTTGATACGAATGCTAAGAATAATATTAGTTTCCATGGTAACATCCAAAATGTTTTCTTTGAGCAGGTTGTCCACAAGCTATTATTGTCTTGTTTGAATATTTAATATGAATTTCCATAGTTCAAGATGCATTTATACTGTCACTAAACAGGAAATATTGTAGCTCACCTTGATGGACATGTACCAGGACTGATGCTTAATTATCCCATTGATATGCTGGTATGATCTTGATAAAGTTAAGAACCATTCTGTACTTTGCTATTCATATGAATAGTAACGTTGATTACCACTGATAAAGATTTGTGCTAACTATATTTAAGATGTTGTCTGATATCAACCAAAGTTGATGGACAGAAAACAAGACACGCAGTACCTATTCATGTGTTTTTTGTGTTTGCAGCGGGTGAGCCGAAGCGCCGTGCTCAGATCTCTGTGGGCAGCAGCAGCGAGGTCTCCCTGAAGGTGACTGAGAGTGACATCGCCAGTCTCACAGCTTCCATCCGAAGCCCCTCCGGCCGCGAGGAGCCATGTATCCTCAAGAGACTTGCCAATGGACACTTAGGTGAGGACATGATGAATGTTAGCTCCCTCAGACAGCATCTCCTTCACGGCAACATACCGGAGTGTTGCAGGAATGTTTTGTGTTGAAACATTGAGGGTGGAGAATGTCATAAATGACAAATGGGAGGAAGTATGCGAAAGGAAGTTTAAGTTTTGTTTGTTTTGTTTTTGGAAACTGTAAGAGGTAAATGTAACACGTATGGACAGGGATGTGTGGGTATGTATGTAGAAAATGTGGTAATTAAAACACTGGGCCTTGAAACAGACTGGTGAACAAAGTAAAAAAAAAGGAAGGGATGGAAGGACACTACCGTATTTGACGTAATAAGCGCCCAGGGCGCTCTCAAAATTAGCAATAAGGGTCTCTTACTGGAATATTATTTTGGTGAAAAAAGTTCGTGGTTTTTCGTGACAGCCTGAATTGTTTATATACGACATATATATATTTTCCAGGATTTAATTGCCCATAATTAAGGGGGCAGATAACACACGACTGCGTCTTATACACGAATAAATGAGTCTTGCGTACATTGATCAATCCGAAGGGGTGCTAATTGAGATTGCTCACTAGCCAATATATTAGCCAATATCGTCGTGGGCGCTTATTAGAGCGGGGCACTTATTACGTCGAATACTGTAATTAGTTTCCCTGAGTTATATCAGGTATCTACCTGTATGTACCTGTATCTACCTGTAATTACCTGTAGAACGTATACTACATGTACCTACTTGTATCGTCCTGTATGAGAACTGCATAATAGGAGAGAATTTAATTGGAAAAACATAGCTAATTATAACCTGCTTAGGTTAGATTGTTAAGGTGCTCTATCCCAGGCCTCTTGATTGCCCTGATATTTCAGTAGGATATTTCAGCTGAAGCCATTCTCATGTTTATCAACTGCAGATTATGAGGCGATGATGAGAGTTCGTAATACTTCTGATGTGAAAGAAATGTGGTGATCTTTTAACGCTTACACCTCTGGTAATGACTCTGACAGCCTGTTAAGTAAGGTTGTTCTTTGACTGGGTCAAAAGTCCAACTCTCTGTGCAATTCTCACTTCGCTAATCTTCAGAAGTGACGCCAGTGAAAGATAAACCATCTATGAAAAAAGGCTATTGGGGCAGCAATTTAATGCATGTAATTAGGTGCCGGGCAGCTAGAACGTAGCTTCCTGCTGTGACCAGTGATTCTAAGAGGGAAGCACCACTGTGCAGGAAACTAATGGGGTGAGGAAGGGGGAACACACGGGGTCCTACATGGACTTTTTTATATTCTTAAGGAAATTTGTTGATTTTCCAAAAAGGAAGGTAAGGTTGTAAATATTAAATAATTACCGTGTTCGACGTAGTAAACGCCCAGGGCGCTCTCAAAATTAGAAATAGGGGGCTCTTATTAGAACATAATTTTGGTGAAAAAAACAGTTGAAAGATAAATTTCGTGGTTTATGCTGACAGCCTGAAAATCTTTATCTAGGACATATATATATTTCCGGAATTTAAGAGCCCATAATAAAGGGTGCATATAACACACGAGTGAGTATTGTACGCGAATAAATAAGTCTTTTGTGCATTGATCAATCGGAAGGGGTGCTAATTGGGATTGTTCACAAGCCAATATATTAACAAATATTGCCATGGGCGCTTATTATGTCAAATACGGTAATCATGTTTTAGTGGTTTTCCAATATACAGTAAACTAAGGTTATAACAACTCAAGAGGACCACTAATATTAGTTTGATGTAACCGTAGTTCGTTAAAAGCATATATACAGCATATATACAGCAAATTGCTGGGACCAAAAAATATGTTCGTTATATCCGTCAGTAAGCGTGTTTATAACATAGTTTACTGTATTTATGACCGGTGTGTGGGTAGAAAATGGAATTTGAAGGCTAAGGTGTGGGAGAGGGGTGGGGTTAGGTGAGGTGAAGGTGGAGTATACTGTGTCTGAGCGGTGTGTCCATATTAAAATGTGACATGGTATCTTAGTTGGCTCGACCTGCATTAGTACGTGCAGCCACAAACATACACACACATGCAAGCACGTTGCTAAAAAGTACAATTATCATAAACGTGACATTAAGCCCCATTTCAACTCATCTCGCCTGTATCCATTGTCACCTGATTTGCATTTCCTGTTCCTTAAGTCCTACAACACTGTTTGACAATTAGACTTAACACATGATTATTTTTCAGGTATTACATTTACGCCACGAGAAACTGGTGAGCACTTGGTCAACGTGTTCAGAAATGGAAAACACATAGCTAATAGTCCCTTCAAGATAATCGTGGGAGAAAGTGAAATTGGCAATGCCAGCAAAGTCAAGGTCTCAGGCAAAGGTCTCACCGAGGGCATGGCCAATGAGGTCAATGAATTCATCGTTGATACACGTGACGCAGGTAAGATTGATAACAATTTGTTGTACAATCAGAGACAATATATACTGTAGAAGAGTTATTTCCCTTGAATGTTAACAGCACATGGGATTTTGTTAATATGTTCATAAGTGTATATATGAAACATTAAAAGTTATTGTATTATTATTAATAAAACTATATTTGTAAACAAATTATCGAATTACAAGAAAATGCTTGATGATGAGTGATTTGACAAATGTTTGCAAGCTGGTATGTGTCTGGTTCCAGGGTATGGTGGTATGAGCCTGTCGATCGAAGGCCCCAGCAAGGCCGACATTGAGTGCCATGACAACGAGGACGGCACTTGCCGTGTTACGTACAAGCCCACCGAGCCGGGAACTTACATCATCAACATCAAGTTTGCAGATCAACATGTGCCAGGTGGGTTGCTTTCAATTACGAGGACTGCCTCCTTGGTCTGGTGGTTTTGAGTCCGCCCAGAGAGCGGAAGGTCCGGGGTTCGATCCCTGGCCACGTCATATCAAAAATTTTAAAAGATGGTACTTGTTGTTACCCTGCCTGACGATTGACATTAAGGGGCTAAAACAATGACTGGTCGGCAGTATACTGTGTCTGAGTGGGGTATTCATGTTAAACTGCGGCATTTTTTCCCAGTGGGCTAGCACTATAAAATCGGCATCAGTCTGAGCTAGTACAAGCAGCCACACACACACACAAGTGCAGGCATGTCGCGATATAAGCGCAATAATCTTGAACATGACGTTAAACCCCATTTCACCTCAACTTCAATTGAAAGTCCAAGCAAATTTGGACTCAAGTCATCCAAAACATCTTTAACTGCCTATAAACTGGAATGTCATGATGTGCATCTATCTAGCAGTTGATGATTATCTGTCAAAGACAAGGATTCGGTTTGCTAAGTCACTTAGTACAACACCGGGGGGGCACAGGTGGCCCAGTTGTCTAAGGCGCCGCGATTCGCTGTGCAGAGTTGGGTCCCTTGGGCACGCCAGAAACCTATGATTGCGGGTTCGAATCCCGGTTCGCCCCAATTATGTTTCTAGGTTCGTCAGCACCATACCCGTGCTCGTGGGTTTCACCGAAGTGGTAAACGTCTGAGGCCTGCATCACTTCGGGCTTTCCTCCCACATTAAGCTGACACGCCGCAATATGACTGGAATACTGTTAAAAGCGGCGTTAAAACCCAACTCACTCACTCACTAGTACAACACCGAGACCTTAGCTGAAAATTTGTACCAGAATATGGAGTAGTTCCCCTTTGAAAGAGGTTTCAGTGTGTATTTTCACTGTATTTACATATGATTCCCGTTAGTTACCTGTATATCTGTAATTACAGGCAGCCCATACAGTGTTAAGATCGGCGGCGAGCCTTCTTCTCGGATCACAGAGAGGATCACCCGGCACAAGGAGGCTGTAGATGTCACCCACATCGGCAGTCAGTGTGAACTTAGCCTCAAGATCCCCGGTAAGTCTCCCTCGTGATCTGCCATTATTCTCATGGTTCTATCACCTATAGCCCTCTCACCTGGATTGCAAATTGAAAAGGGAGAAAAAAATCATCTTCTGTCAGTTCAATTATGGAATCCATTGGTAGCACATATGATTAACCATCCATGATTGTGTTACCATGCATAACAGAGTTTTCTGGTTTATTTTCAAATTTATGATTTTCTCATTTTATGTAGATGACAACAATTGGAATTGTTGATTTCTTCATTGAAAAGTGTTAAGAAGATAGTGTTATATTGAGTCGTTATATTTTGCCATTGAATCGAGTTCAATTTAATGCTAATCTGCACAGGAGTGTGTCTTTTTTAAAATAATAAGTCAGTTACCAAGAGCAATGAATTTAATGGTGAAAATAATCAAATTCCCGAAGTTTTCCAATCAATCTTCAGTAAACAAGCAGTCTGTTCAGCACCAGTTGTTGGCAGCTGCCCAGCTTACATAAGAAGTTTCATGGACCAGCCAGTGCCATATTTATTACCATAGAAACTGATTGCAGATAGCTAGCAATAAGTTTTGCCGGAGATTGCCAGAATATTCGGCATATGACTGTAGCATTGTTCTCGAAACTGTTGGTAAAAACAACAGCTGAACATGGACTGGTACTGCCAATGCTTAGTACACATCCTACGGTACAGAGTGACCCAGGGCTCCTGGCTAGACAAGTCCACTTTAGAACATTGAGAATTGTTGTTGGGAAGGTAGTATGTATCTCAGCAACAGTTAGCCAGATATCACTCTAGTTGTATTTCTGTCTTAGGCCAGGCAGATTACTTGTTTTACAGACTTCAATGCCCCAAGTGAAATAAAACAGTCTGTTGATTATGGGGATACTTGGTATAATGTTAAAAAAAATAGGGTGGCGGTTAATAACCGAAACCCCCAGCACATTTTAACACATTTTTTTGTAGACACATCTGTAGATTAAGGGGAGAACACTGGAATGGCCCTAGACTGTATTATACAGGTTGGGCTGACTTGGAAGATGTACATAGCTATGTTTTACTTTTCAATTTGCAGTACACGAAAAAGTGAAATATTTACATAGATTTTGTAGGAATGTCAATGATTCTTTTAGAGGGGCACCCAAAACTAGTATTGTCAGGTACTGTAGCCCAAACACCTGGTGCCAAGGGAACTTGTAATTAGCAGTGGGATTAGCTAATGGATCTGTCATGCAGTCCGCCAAGAAACATCGACTATCAACCAGGAATAAACAAACTTGGGTAAACACCCCTCCCTGTGTGTCATGCGTACATGTACTCATCAGGGATGTTTAAACTTCTAATGCTGATATCCTGATATCCTGACACTGATATCATCCAATCATGTAGGACAGTGACGGGACATTTAGATAGTGTATCACTTTACTCATTCTAAATAATTGAAAATGTTGCCGCAGACTTGTACATGCCCTGAAGAAATATGTGTTGTGAAAGATCAGACATTTTGTTGTTACTTATCAAATGTTGGATGAAAAAACAAACGAGTAATGAATATTACACTACCTGTCTGAATTGTTACCAACATTTGGCCTAAAGCCTGCTCAGGTTTTGGAATTTCTGTAAATTCATACTTTCTCTTTGAGAAGGTTGAAATCAATCGCCCCATTGTCCCTATCATAGTTGTTGTATACTCCCCAGGGAGTTGTGCTTTTATAGGTGTCCAGTCATCAGCATTAGTACATAATAGACAGCTCAGTATCTGCAAATTCTTTAAATGATTATGGAACTGTTTAGGGGATGAACTAATACTCATATACTCATGAAGATTGAATTAAAATGTTAACAAATAATCGTAGAAAGAAAACCTATTTTCCTCAAAGCACTTAAATGTCTATTTTGGTAGACCAGCTATGCAGGAAGTAACATGTATTATATTGCTAATACTTGGAATTGAGCCAGATGTGGAGAGATAATTGATTATTTTACTGTTGTTCATAGAGGCTAGGTAATTAACAAACACAGCTAATTACACTATTTATGATTAACTTAGCAGGGTCTGTGTGAAGACTGCGTCACCGCCGCCATGATCCCCCCTCTTCACTCTAGCACCAATATCTCTGAAATGTCATGTTAGGGAAATATTATGGAAATACAAGTATTAATACTATAGAAATATAAGTAGATTGTATAAATGGAATAAGATCCTATTTTGTGATAGTAATGTAGTTTTGGTCTTGATCATTCTTATATCTATGGTTGACAGTTCACTGGTAGATTGAAAGTTTAAGTTAGGAATAATTGATCACCATTGTATGTGATAAGTGTAGCCCGATAGACAAACCATCCATCCACCTGTTACCTTATAGTGAGGCAGTGTGGTGTTATAGCAGGGCAGCTTGGTACTGTTGGGGAGAGGCAGGGCCATGTTGATGATAATTAAAAGAGTATCTGGACTTGGCTTCAGGAAGGCAGGGAGGCAGGTGCTTGAAAAGTCACCTTCATGTGCTGGCCTCGTGGGTCGGTCGGTCGTTGTGTATCGTAATGCTAAATCGACAAAGCTGCTCCATACTTCCTCTTACTGTCTATCTCTTCTTTCTTTTCTGTCTTCACACGGTTTATTTTTAAGGGTAAGAGCATGGTTTCATCCAGTAGATTCCGAAAGTGTATTTCGATTCTCTGCATGAATTGTCCTCCATTTCGTTTCTGTTTCGATATGTATTGATGTAAAGGTGTTTGAGATAATTATTTTATTGTAAATGTTTTGTGAATTATCGCGACATGAATGATGTTTGAAACACAAGGTCTGGTCTTGACATTCCAGCAGTTGCATGTTGGCTTGATATGACTCACAGATTACAAATTAAAATAGAATGTTAGATTGAGAACAAACCAAAGAACACTTTTAGAATCTAAAAATAATCTTTTAAACCTTTCTTTAGATAAAATTCTTGCCCTTTTGGCATGGAAGGTTGTTGAACTGTGTCGGCTGGTTCAAGGAAGACGGTAGTTACCTCTGGGATGTAAGGCTGACGTATAGCCTGACTTTACAGGATATAGCATGCCTGTTTGATCAGAGGATAAATGTTTTCTAGAATATAGTGTCAGACGATCTTAGGGCAGTGTTTGTTATACCTGGTGGTAAAAATAGCTTGAATCATCCTGAGATGATTCTCATATTCTTGCGATGAAGCGGCTCAGCTGATTCAGCTGGTTTGTGAGTTTTCATTGTTCATGTTGTCTCTGTACCTATATATAGTTGTTGTGAAAGTAGATGTATATATATTCTTTTGGAAATGATTTTATTCAGTTTCATGAGAGCACAGTCTTGTGGTTGTTTCTTATATATCAGAAACATTGTTGATGTTCTGCTCTGGTGTTACATTATAATGTACTTTGTAGACAATGTAAGTTCTAATGAAGTTATTAATTTAAATAATGCATACCAGTGTAAGTGATTTCAGAAAAAATGTGTTTTAGTTGTAAAGTGAGATTCAAGATGGTATGCCCATGTGTTCCTTTATAAGTACCGGTAGCTGAACATTGCGGATTCACTAAAAATCGTTCTCTACGTACCGTTAATTTTGCAGATTCAGCACAAACCTACTTACTCTCCATCTTTCTGTTCTGGTGCTTTTTAGTTATATTTTGTGATTATTGTTTTCCAGGAACAAGTCCGTTTGACATGACAGCCTCTGTAACCAGCCCGTCTGGTGTGACGGAGCTGTGTGACGTTATGAGCAAGGACGATCAGCACTACAACATCAAGTTTGTGCCCAAGGAGATGGGTGTCCACACAGTCAGTGTCAAACACAAGGACATGCACATCCCTGGTAAGAGTTATCTCCTCTTGTGGTGGATCAGAGTTATCTCCTCTTGTGGTGGATTAGTGACCTTGCAGAGTTCTGTTGTCTTGTCGGCCATGTTGGAGAAAAAGGTTAAAGTGTCAAATGTTAAGATGTTTTGGTGTAATCCCCAACAGACTTAAGTTCTTATGTTTGAGTGGTGTTATTAGTTGGCTGTGTAACATGAGAAGAGAGCATGGGTGATCAGCTTCCTTAAAATAATTGCAGCGATGTTTCAGTGTAGATGTTTACATCGTTGTCAAACCAATGGTAACAATCATCTTGAAATATGTTTTTCCTGTTTTTTAGACTAAATGTTAGTCTAGTAACCAAGGAAGATTTAGTTAAAATGGTACTTTTATCATTGCAGGTAGTCCATTTGAGTTCACTGTTGGCCCGATCGCTGGTGGTGGTTCTCACAAAGTGAGGGCAGGTGGACCTGGATTGGAAAGAGGCGAAATCAACCAGCCATGTAAGTACCCTGGAGGTCTCACTTTCAGGAGAATACCACTTCTCAACTCGCTCACACTAACTGTGACTTCCTGGGACGATGCCTGCTGGATATCTTTTACCTTAAGAGTTATCTCCTCTTATGGTGGATCAGAGTTATCTCCTCTTGTGGTGGATCAGAGTTATCTCCCCTTGTGGTGGATTAGTGACCTTGCCGAGTTATGTTGTCCTGTTGGCCATGTGTGTGCAACACTAGATCCGATTGGTTAGAGCAGTACACTGTTCATGTGATTTGAAAGAAATGTTGTGGTAATTTGGTACCTTCGTTAACCTAATTGTCCGAAATGGTGTAGAGTTGTGTCCCCTTTGTTGCATTTCTGTTTTGAGTGGAATTGGATGACTTGATGAATGGCAGGCATGACATGGACAAGAAATACAGCCAACTTAAGATCAGGAAGAGCCCATTGACAAGATTTACTTGTTGGCAAGCTGCCAGATAGGTAGTGGGAAGCTCATTAGAGGCAATTACCCATCTTGGATGATGTTGAGAGTGGCAGGAATCTCGGGATGGGGGGGAGGGATAATGACTGCCATGGTAGCAGCCACCTGGCTCAGAGTGTCTTTACTGGCTCACCTCTCAAGGTGGGGGAGGAGGAGGGAGGAGCCTAGACAAGGAAAAAGAATTATGGAAGATGTTAGGATATGTCATGTTGATGCAAGAGTTCTTAAATATGTGAAGGGCAGGCACCTGGTGCTCGGTAGTTCAGTAGTTACCACCTGTCGACCTCTGATGTTGAAGAAGGGGTTAAGGGGTTGGGTAGGGGGTTGGGATGGTGGTGGGTAAACATTCAATTTTTTTCTGAACAATGTGTTGGTAAATGGAGGTGTTTATGTCAAGTTTGACCAAGGTCCACCTGTATAATCCTATGTCAGATTTCAGGATCTATGTAAGGAAGTCACCTTGTATATCAGGGGCTATATGTAGGATTTCATCTTGTATATCAGGGGCTATATCATATGTAGAGAAGTCAGCTTATATATCAGGAGCTATATGTAGGATTTCATCTTATATATCAGGGGCTTTATGTAGGGAAGTCAGCTTATATATCAGGGGCTATATGTAGGATTTCATCTTGTATATCAGGGGCTATATGTAGGATTTCATCTTGTATATCAGGGGCTATATGTAGGATTTCATCTTGTATATCAGGGGCTATATGTAGGATTTCATCTTGTATATCAGGGGCTATATGTAGGATTTCATCTTGTATATCAGGGGCTATATGTAGGGAAGTCAGCTTGTATAGCAGGGGCTATATGTAGGGAAGTTATCTTTGATGAAGGAGGACAGCGAGAAGTAGGCAGAATGACGCTTCAAGTGTATAGTCTCTGGCATGGAGAATGTGAGGTCTATGTTGGCCAAGCTCACACTCCAGTGGCTGCATTCTTCACATTCCTACGGACAGAAAAGTCGGCAGAAAGACATGATTGTCAGCTCTTGTTTGTGTTGAGAAGATTTTCAGTGGAGATAATTCGGGAGAACTAGCGGATCATACAGCCCCTCCTCGGTTGTTTGAAGTGATTGCCAGTTGTCCTTTGAAGTCTGAGATGAAGTTGAAGTTGTTGTGTCACACCTTGAAGCGTGATGTAAACAACAAAGAAGAGGTGAAATACCTCATTACTGATGTGTTAAGTAATCTTGAACAACTAGTTTTCTTGGAAATTGTATTTTTTATGAGCAGTCTGGGTTTATGTCTTTACTCAAAATAGCAATAGACATGAGGTATGTTATGTAAATGTTCTTAATCCACAGGTGACTTCAACATCTACACACGTGAGGCAGGTGCAGGTGGTTTGTCTATCGCAGTTGAAGGTCCGTCCAAGGCTGAGATTGACTTCCAGGATCGCAAGGACGGGTCATGTGGGGTCACATACAAGGTCACCGAGCCAGGTTAGTGAACCTGTTATACAGTGTCTCGTTACAGTAAGTAACACTGTAACATCCAGGACAATACATATCAATATGCTCAGTTATGCAAAGCTGGGACTTAAGCTTATTTAACACTTAGTAGAACAGTACATTCAGTAGGGTACAGCAGGTTGTTATCATGAATAACACAGTCGAATGATACACTGAATAACACAGTGGAACGATACACTGATTAACACACAGTGGAACGATAAACTGAATAACAGTAAATCATTAAATTCAGCATGGCTCAGTAGGTTGTTATCATGAATAACACAGTGGAACGATACACTGATTAACACACAGTGGAACGATAAACTGAATAACAGTAAATCATTAAATTCAGCATGGCTCAGTAGGTTGTTATCATGAATAACACAATGGAATGAACCATTACTGAATACTGAATAACAGTTTACAACATCACACTATAATGGCTCCATCTTGATTATCAACACAGCATAACCTTACAGCAAGTTCTGGCATCTAGAGACAGGGAAGGACATGTTTGGTGAGACACTGTAGATCCATGTTAGGAGGGACACGGTGGTGTGCACTGTGGAGGTGCAGCTCGATGAAGTCTGGCATTGGTGCAGTTGGAAGGCAGATCAGTGTGTTGGCGTATATCTCGGCCGGCGTTATCTCTGTTATGGGGTGTCGGGTTACAGGGGCTCTTAGTGGTAGCGGCAGGCGGACTGCCTAATACAGGTCTCCCACAGTAGAACAGCTCAGTGTGATTCACGGCATTGTCTCTGCTGAAGGGGGGAAGCACTTCCTTAACTGTGAAATTTATTAATGGAGTATCCTGCTGTGTGAATCACAGAGAATTATCTTTGTGTAGTGTGTTTACAAGGAGTTAGATTAGAAATACTCAGGGTTACTTCTGAGTTGAGGTTTCTTTACTGTGAGCGTATTTAATGGAATTTCCTGTTCTTACAGTTTGGTTAATAAAACATGACGTATTTGACATCATGCCATTAGCTGTTCCGTTGATGATAGTGTAAACTAATGCTGGTTGATTATTAAAGACAATGTTCAATTCTGCAGGAAATGTTCATGACCGGATGTTATAGAATTATAACCAATATGAAAATTAATTCTCAAAATGAAAGTAAACAAACTTTACAACACATTAGGGATCAGGAAAATAATTTATCAATTTTGAAAATATGTAGAATTTTTTAGAAATATTTCTTACATGGGAACATACAAAGACAGATCTTTCCTATACATAGTTCTCAAGCCTAAACTTAGCATGCATCCTGACGTTACGTCATAATAAGATTTGAATGATGCTGTCTGATGACATCATCAATACACTGGTGCACATAGTTTTTTATAAACTTGGTTATTTTTAACCCTATGGGTAATAAATAATAATAATGCCATGGTAATGTACTGGTATATTTCCTATAATGCTCAGATGATATACATTTCCCTATAATGCCATGGTGATGTATATGTCCCTATAATGCCATGGTGATGTATATTTCTCTATAATGCCAAGGTGATGTATATTTCCCTATAATGCCAAGGTGATGTATTTTTCACTGTGTATATGCCATGATGTATATTTCAGGTGAGTACCTGGTGTCAATCAAGTTCAACGACGAGCACATACCCGACTCCCCATTCCGTGTGGAGATCTCTCCCAGTATCGGCGACGCCCGCAAACTGTCTGTGGCAGCACTGCAGGACAAGGGTTTGATTGTACGAGAACTACTTTCTAATAACATATCTACATTCAGGGATTTATCCAGGATTCCAAACTAAGTGCCATTGGCAGGAAATTTGGTGAAAAATATTTTTTTTCTCTCAAATTTGTCAGTTATGTACAATTCTTTGCTTCAAAGCCATAACATTAGTTATTAATATATTAAATGAATTGGGAAATTTGTATTTCAAATTTGGGAATTTTTTCCTGAAATTTGCTGCAGACTTGTGATCGAATATTGGCCTCTGAGCAAGTCTCGATAAATCCCTGACATTACATGTAAATTCCAGATCATGTCATCTTCATCCTCAGTTAACATAAAACTATGAATATCATCTTCTTTGAGTGAAAGTTGTGTTCTGATATTATATATTCACTCTTATATTAACAACATTTTTTTGTTTTGAAATGAACATATTTTTAATGTTTTGAAGCCCAATTATATTTTCCAACTTTAAGAGGTACTCAATTTTTTTTCCAATAAATAAAAATAAACATCTGTATTCTTTTGACACCGATCTGCAAGAAAAGGGCACATTATGTTTTCCCCAAAATGCCAGCCATGTTTAATTTTCTTTCAGTAGAACAGGGGCTTGATTATCTTTTTACCTTTGCTCCCTAAGTTAGGAGATATCATTATGTGCATGCTGCTTCACCACTGCAACATCAACATTTGTGTCCTTGTCTGGTAGGTTGGGAAGCCAGCAGCGTTTATTGTCAACTACAACGGTGCGAAGCGTGGAGGCAAGCTGACAGCCAGAGTAGTGGCGCCATCCGGCTCTGAAGACGATGCCATCATCCAAGAAATCGATGATGGTAAGTTTTTGAGTAAACCTTTACTCAGTTTGAATAGTAATTGAAAAACTAAACAAATTGGATTCCATCTTGGTGTTATGTTTATAAGTTTCACGTATTATTTTCATAAAACATTCTCAGTTTGTGTGTTTATCTGTGAGGTTACTCACATCTTCGGTTAAACATCTTCCATTGTTTACAATTTGTTTATTTGTGGCAGGTGAGTATGCAGTCCGTTTCATCCCCCATGAGAACGGCCCCCACCTGGTCCACGTCATGTTCGATGGCTACCATATACCCGAGAGCCCCTTCAGGATCCTTGTGGGCAAAGTTGACGCCGACCCTGGCAGAGTCACCGCACACGGGGAAGGTCTCAAGACTGGCAAAACTGGTATGCATCAAAACGGATCTGTTCAGACATACGTGTTCTGTATGGCATTTCTGTTAGAGGACTAATTATGCTTTCTGTGAAGTAATTTTTGGGCATGGTTTTGTCCTGAAGTCATTTTCAGGGTTACAATTATGATTTTAATGATATGCACTTCATCTCTGATCCTTGAATCGAATTTGAATTTGAATGTTCTTAAATCTAATGAGCTCTTGTTAATATTTTCCTGACAGCATAGTGATGCCTTTGAGATTTTCAAGATACATCCCTAAAAAGTTTGAAAATCCTTGTGAAGCATGATGTTGATGTGAGAATAAATGTTAATGTACATGTTTTTTTTGTTTCAAGGTCAAGTGTCAAAGTTCTTCGTCAATACCGTCAACGCTGGCGCAGGTGCCCTAGCTGTCACTGTTGAGGGACCTTCAAAGGTCCGACTTGAATGTAAGGAAACAGAAGAGGGCTACGAGTTCACATACACACCCAATGCCCCCGGTGATTATCTCATCACTATCAGATACGCTGGTGTCCACATTGCGGGCAGTCCCTTCAAGGCCAAGGTCGAAGGTAAGGGAGACAACTAGTGTAAAGCATCATGACTATCATAATCAACAATGGAAACAGGTTAGGGGAGGTTTTGGCATGGCTGATGTGGTGAAGGTTGTCTCAAGTATTAAATTGTCTCCCGGAAAATGTAAAAACATGGTAGCTTGGCCCCGTTCCACCAGGTCATCTTACCATTACGATTTTGGTAAATCTATGTGAACGTATCTGAGTTGCAATCCTCGTAATGCTACGATCACTTTATGGAATGGTTCAGATATTAGTGTGACTGCTAAGTAAGGGTTGTAAAAATCTTTAAGTGGCTGTAGTATCAAGGAAGATGTAGTTGACATTAAAAGGTTCTAGCATCTGCACCAAAATGAAACCGAACTTAATGAACGTAGACGTGAAATCTGGCAGTCAAATCTGTTGTCCTCAATTATGGGCTGGTTTGTCCATCCCGGTAAATGAGACTACTGTATTTAACAGAACTCTCAGACAACTGTTTCCATTGTTATACTTTTTCTGTTTACAAATATATCTCCTAGTTGCATAATCTTTGAGCCATTAATTTCTGTTTATTTATCTCCTCGTAACAAGCCTTGACTTTCATAATCTTATAGCAACACTGCATTATTTTTGGTTTCTTCCATCACTTAGTGTTTTGTTTTATGAATGCACTTACTCTCAGACTGACCTGTTTTCATTTATTTAATGTTCTTGCTTTGCTATCTCTTCGATCCTCTCTCTCTCTGATGTGATGGCAGACAGGGTTTCTAGAGCTTCTTGTATGCTTGAGTGTACCATTTATATTAGTATGTACCGGTAGTGGATGTTTGTGTCCAGATTTGCTCGAGATCAAAATTAAATCAGAATGTTCAAAGAAGCAAAAATGGAATGGTGAAATAAATAAATATCAAAACTGAGAATGTTCTGTTACCCTAGCAACCCTGCCTGTCCATGTCACTACTGTGAGCTGTGAATGTCTGTAAACATTGGCGTCAAGGACAGTAGACCTACTGGTAGACTCTGAATGCTATATAGTCAGATTTCATTCCAGTCACTCAGGTTATGAGAAGGGTTCAGGAAGACGGATCTCAACGGGATATTCCCATCTTCGATGAAAACACAAATAGCTTTGTGAATGGCAGACCGATTGTCCAAGGTTTCAGTTTGATTGTGTTGTGTTTCCCGCTTCGTTTTATTAGATAGGGATCTTTCTGGTCAATCCCTTGTAGCAGAGATTTGAGGACATGTGACTGTACCATCGAACAAAGTACAGTAGAGACAGCTCCCTCTAGTGAGGTGCTAGGTCACCCCCTGTCCAAGTGTGTACAATAGACTTCTAGGGACAGTTGGTATTTACATAGGGATTCATGTCCAAATTTGACCTCAATGAGATAATTTGTTTGTAAGGTTTGGGATAAATTTAGAATGTCAAATCGTAATAATTCTTGTGAATACCATACCTCTATTACATCATTTCCACTATCCTGTATTTTGGCTGTAATCACACTCTTAACTAAATCTTCACATTTTCAACAGAGGTCCTCTTCACTGTCAACCATACATGAGTAGTTGTGACTGACTTTATTCGTCATCAATGAAAATGAAGGAAATGTGTGGTTGAAGTGATTTTTAATATTACTATATATCAAGTTTTACCAAAAGACAAAAGAAGGAAATCTTAAGTAGAATTCAAATTCTTATATTTATAATTCTGTGTTTTAAAAACCAATGGAAAATGAAGAGAATTGCATAGTGTGGCATTGCACTGGTGTTGTAATGTTGTTGGAGAAGGTTCTCATCAAGGGCCGTGGGGTAGCCTAGTGGTTAAAGTGTTTGCTCGTCATGCCGAAGACCTGGGTTCAATTCCCGACATAGGTACAATGTTTGAAGCCCATTTCTGGTGTCCCTCACCGTGATATTGCTGGAATATTGCTTAAAGCGGCGTAAAACAATACTCACTCACTCACTCACTCACTCACTCTCATCATCAAAAGCTCTGCGTTCAAAGTCAACACTGCTGTTTTGAGCATCAGAGACCCAGTAAGATAGAAGCACTGGACGAGAACCTTGTCCAACATCTGTGTGTGAAGACTCACTGACTGCTCGTGTGTACTTTATGCTGAGCATTGATTAGTGCGGAGACGTTATAGCATCAATATCAAACACCATGAACAGCTCAGCTTGAACAAAATGTGCATGTTTTAAATCATTACAAGGGTGTGTGAATATATAGATTTAGTTACTATCTTATTGATTAATTACTAAAAAGCTCAACTGTTGCATAACATTCTCTTCATGAATGTTGGTTGGTTAAATATTCACCTTAATCATCAACATTGTATGTGAGAATAAGATCTGCTTAATCTTATCCTTTCTGTATAATGGGGCGGTCGGGTAGCCTAGTGGTTAAAGCATTCGCTCGTCACGCAGAAAACCCGGGTTCGATTCCCGACATGGGTACAATGTGTGAAGTCCATTTCTGGTGTCCCCCGCCGTGACATTGCTGGAATAGTTCTAAAAGCGGCGTAAAACCATGCTCACTCACTCTCTTTCTGTATACTAACACCTCTTTGAGTGATGTTCCTGTAATAACTTCCTGATCACTCTGTTTTATTGACTGTTGTTTATGCTCCATGTATAATATGACAAGTCTTCACGTTGGAATATCTTGTGTTGCAGGAGAGGGACAAGTCTCTTCAGTACAGGAGCATGCATCGGTTGTCGTGGAAACGGTTACCAAGACGAGCACTATGACAAAGTTCAGCGGAATACAGAGGTTTAGTTCTGATGCCAGCAAGGTGTCAGCGCAGGGGAAAGGATTAAATAAAGCCTTCCGAGGACAGAAGTCTACGTTCACAGTCGACACATCAGGAGCTGGTATGTTACAAGTTCTTTTCAGGCAAATTAAAGAAAAAACTTACTTACCTATGTGTAATTGTTTTAAGGCCAGAATAATTGCTTGTCAAAATGAATTCATTTTCTTGTAATACACATTTTCTTTCGTCGAGATATAGGAGGCAGAAAAATACTATTTAGTTAATTTGAAGATACTTACCCCCGAAAACTAAATGTATTCAGCGTATGGCTTACATTGTCAGTAATGACCAATGCAAAAAGTTTTCATACAATTTCATAACTTATACGCTTTGCTCAAAGATCTCAAACTTCTCAAACAGACCAGGGCCCTGTTCCACAAAGCGATTATATATAGCGCTAAGACGATTGTAACTCCAAAATATGGTAACATAAACTTACGACAATCATAGCGCTAAGATCGCTTTGTGGAATGGCACCCTGGTACATTGTTACAACAGCACAAAACCCCACTTGTCATAAGCCTTTGAAAAGATATTCAAACTTCTCACATGACTTTGTCTGCTTCCAGGTAACAACATCCTGTATGTGGGTATGATGGGTCCTAAAGGTCCCTGTGAGGAGCTGATCGTGGCTCACAAGGGCAATAACCAGTACACCATCAACTACATGGTGAAGGAACGCGGCACTTACATGCTCATGGTGAAGTGGGGAGATGAGCAAATACCAGGCAGTCCTTTCTGTGTCAAGTGCGACTAAGGTGCCCTACCACACCTTACACCCCTAAATCACAATAGATGCTTCCATCATGACACAAATGGAGATCACATTTACAAACAAAAGGGGGGAAGGGTAGATAAAATACCCTTGCAATGAAGACATCTGTTCCTTCCTTGCACACCTCCCACCAACTTATGTGATCCAAACTTGAAAGGAATGGAAGATCCTACATGATGATGTAGGGGTGGCAAGTTCTCAGTGAGCAATCATTGATGCCAGTACAAACTGCCATGTCAAGGAAATGAAAATTGGAAGATAGTTTTTGCTGATATGTTTCTATCTTTTACTTTCCATTTCCTCGATATAAAACCGAGGGTAGCGGACTTATCTAATTATCAAAGGTGCTCTTTGCTGTTACCATGGTTACATGAAGTTATGTTTTGTATACAATTTATGAAGTCAGTTTGAGCGGTGAACAATGACTTGTTAATATTAGTAGCCATTTTGATGGGTTGAGGTTTAGGGAAATACATTTTTTTGGCTACCATTAAATCTATATGACTTGGTCTCTATAGCAACACGACCTTGTTTATATGTATTTAATTTCTGTGTAAAATCAAATATAGATGTTTTTGCTAGTTTCATATGAAGTCATCTACTAAAATACTTTCTGTAGTCATAATGTTTCATTTGCAAACCACACGTTAACTTGCTTTACCCCATACCCTTGTTCCCTACCATGGATATAATGAGCGAAATCTCGATTATTGAAGATCTGTCAATATACTGTGAATATTATTTGTGTATGTATTTTTAGGATTGTTTTTTTCACAGGGTGATATGATCTTGAGTGTAAACTTGTCTTGTGTTATGCAATTAAAATATGACAAATATTCACAAAAATTGTAACAAATAAAAAATAGACATTTTGGCGACTGCCGTTGGCTCTGCATAATTGTACACATTTTATGGCAGGTGTTTATTTAGCTTCTATCCAGTGTCGTCCCGATCTGTCTTTCTGACCCAGGATCTGTTAGATTCTCCACAAAGTGGTGTAGTTGAGCTCCAGTTTGCCGAGATGTCTCGCAGATGTCTCGCAGATGTCGAACATATTCAAGGACTAATATGCTCAATAAGTGCTTCTGCCAGCGAGTTGCCATCACATATTTTTTATTTTATGTTTACAAAATGCTTCTGCATATAAGCATATTGTAGGCTAAGATTTTTTTTATCAATAAACTATTCTTTTTTCATAACTGAGACTTGAATTTTGTTGTTCTTGCATACAGTTGGAGTGATTGAACCTTATGTCACAGTTACTCCAGTTCGAAAATCTAAAAAAACCTTGGATGACAGTCTGCAGTGCAGCAAAGCCTCTTCATTATGGAAATGTAATACATTACTCAACTGTAGCGTGGGACAGCACCCTGCTCTACTGTAGCGTGGGACAGCACCCTGCTCTACTGTAGCGTGGGACAGCACCCTGCTCTACTGTAGCATGGGACAGCACCCTGCTCTACTGTAGCGTGGGACAGCACCCTGCTCTACTGTAGCGTGGGACAGCACCCTGCTCAACTGTAGCGTGGGACAGCACCCTGCTCAACTGTAGCGTGGGACAGCACCCTGCTCAACTGTAGCGTGGGACAGCACCCTGCTCAACTGTAGCGTGGGACAGCACCCTGCTCTACTGTAGCATGGGACAGCACCCTGCTCAACTGTAGCGTGGGACAGCACCCTGCTCAACTGCACAGAGCAATTGCAGCCACAAAACACAGCAACATGTTGATTGGGAGACTGCTCATCCAGGCACCCTCTCTGCATCCATGTCAAGAAGGAACATTAATTTTTCAAGCTTAAAAATATTGCAAGTGATTCCGTAACATTTGAATGGATAAGCATGCCCAATCATGGACGACTGTTTCCAGGTTGAGTGATTACAGAATGGGTGGGGCTTTTGTGGCATTATTGCACTGAACGATGTCACTGATTTTGTAGCGTCGTCTACATTTGTGTTGTGAATAAATAAGCAGTCTGTGAAGTAATAATTGTTGACATATTTATTTATAAGCAATAACGTACACTGGTCTACATTACCTCCATAAACACAAACAATATGGAAGTCAATTCTCAAACAACCAGTTTCCCACACCATTCAATGATTCAAAGCAAAAACTAACAAATCTGTTCAGTGAGCTGCAGTACCTTGGACCACTGGTCCGTCTGTACCCCAATAACATTTAGATACAAGAAGACAAGTGTGTGTTGGAAGCAAGTATTGAGAATCAATTTAATTGTACAGAGCATATGTTGAAGGTATCTGCTGTTTCACCACATATGCTGTGTCTTACTACCAAACTTCTACCAAATACCACACACCTGGGATGAACTGTCATACTCTCACAGCTGCCAGAAGTGTCTGGTTGGAACAAATGAAGCACAGGATGGTTCTATCTGCAAAGTCAGTAGTGAAGTACTGCCTCAATACGAGCCACTGTTCCTGATCCAAATGACCAATCAGAACAATACTGTCCAAGAGACCCGACCGCCTCCGTGGCCTAGTGGTAGAGCGTCCACCTGGAGAACGGAAGGTCCGGGGTTCGATCCCCAACCACGTCATACCAAGAGACGTTAAAAGATGGTACTTATTGTTACCCTGTCTGACGCTCGGCATTAAGGGGCTAAAACAAGGGCTGGTCGGCTCGGAGTCAGTATACTGTGTCTGAGTGGGGTATTCATGTTAAACTGCGGCATGGTATCTCAGTGAGCTAGCACTATAAATCGGCATCAGTCCGGACTAGTACAAGCAGCCACACACACACACACACGTGCATGCACATCGCTATATAAGTGCAATAATATTGGACGCGACGTTAAACCCAATTACACCTCTCACCTCACCTCCAAGAAACCCAGAAACGTCTGCTGCTTCTATCCACATTGACCTGCAGAGGTCAAATCAAATGTCCAATGCATTCCATCCACAGAAATCCACAGAGGTCATATGAAATTCCAAACAATTTAATACATGGTGACCTGCAGAAGCAAAAATAATTGTCCAATCTTCTCCATTCATGGTGAGCTACGGCGGTCAAAACAAATGTCCAACCAATGAAACTTCTGCGTCAACCTACCAGGAGATGGTGTGGTAGAATAGGAATACCATGGCTTTCAGTAAGTAACCCAGAATATAAACCTCCAGAAACACTTCAAGCAATCATCTGCTTGTTGACCCTCTTCAAGGCCCGTAGGTGGCGCCAGGTCACTGTTGCACCATGGGTCTCCAGAACAACACTGTACCAGACTAATGCCTTCTGTGTGCAATGACCATCCCAGACACTGGCTTGTTTTAGCAGGTTGTCATCGCCGTGGGTCATGACATTCACTGTGCTGGCTGGAACTGACTGAGGTTTTAACTGGTTCACCATCTGTTGGTGTCATACATCCACTGTGCTAGCTGGAACGGACTTGAGTTTTTTGTTGTTGTTTGTTTGTTGTTTAACGCCGTACTCAGCAATATTCTAGCTATATGACGGTGGTCTGTAAAAAATCAAGTCTGGTCCAGACAATCCAGTGATTGACATGAGCATCGATCTACACAATTTGGATGCAATGACATGCATCAACCAAGCCAGCGAGCCTGACCACCCGATCACGTTAGTCGCCTCTTACGACAAGCATAGTCGCCTATTACCGCCAGCATGGGTTGCTGAAAACCTATTCTACCCCGGATCTTCACGGGTCGACTGAGGTTTTAACCAGTTCACAATCTGTTGGTGGCACACATCCACTGTGCTAGCTGGAACTGACTGAAGTTTTAACTGGTTCACAATCTGTTGGTGTCGTGACATTCAGCGATGTCTGGAAGGAGGAGGAAGTGTCTATCTTGAGGATGTCTCGCAGAGCCATTGTTGCGTAGGTTGAGGAGGGGAGCGAAAACTCCAGCCGTAAAGCCCGGAACTTGCCGTCTGGGGATAGAGACACAAGTTTATGGAGGCTGACATCAGAAGCAATGGACATAAACCGTGATAATATTTAACATACCAAAGTGATAAAGTGATAGTTTCTTTTCATGAACTGGTAAGATTATTCCCTAGTGGCAAAACCAGTTATATGTTGAATGTATTTGGCAAGCATTTCTGTATATCATAAAGTCTGTTGCAAATATATTGGAATATAAGAGAGACCCTAGACACAAGGAATCTTCTGGAAACATTTTTGTACATATAAGTCAGTAAATACCTATTAGCTTACAAGATTGCCTACCCTCTATAGCCTACATCAAAATACAGCCTACACTGTATGCCTATCCTCTATAGCCTACAGCCTACACTGTATGCCTATCCTCTATAACCTATATCAGTATGTAGCCTACACTGTATGCCTATCCTCTATAGCCTACATCAGCATACAGCCTACACAGTATGCCTATCCGCTATAGCCTATCCGCTATAGCCTACATCAGCATACAGCCTACACTGTATGCCTATCCTCTATAGCCTACATCAGTATACTGCCTACACTGTATGCCTATCCTCTATAGCCTACATCAGTATACGGCCTACACTGCATGCCTATCCTCTATAGCCTACATCAGCATACAGCCTACACTGTATGCCTATCCTCTATAGCCTACATCAGCATACAGCCTACACTGTATGCCTATCCTCTATAGCCTACATCAGTATACTGCCTACACTGTATGCCTATACTCTATAGCCTACATCAGTATACAGCCTACATCAGGAAACAGCCTACACGGTATGCCTACCCTCTATAGCCTACATCAGCATAAAGTCTACACAGTATGCCTACCCTTGAGAGTCTCTGGTTGAGGTTTGTTGAACATGACATCCAGATCTCCCTGTGACAGTGGGACAGTGAAGTCGTTGTAGGTCATCAAGTCCCAGGTGACATCTCTCGGGGTCACCAGCAGGTGGCGATAGTCTCCTGGTAGGGAATAATCCCTGAAACACACAGTTGTCATCCGTGAAACAACGCTCTGTCAATATGCCACTGATATATCCTTAGTGGCATGTAGAACTTAGAATCAATTAACACTGGACTGACTTATGGATAACGCTTCTCTCTGTTTTTGCTTGCATGATGAAAGATGAGGTGAAATGGGTTTAACGTCGCGTCCAAGATTATTGCACTTATATAGCGACGTGCATGCGGGTGTGTGTGTGGCTGTCCAGACTGATGCCGATATATAGTGCTAGCACACTGAGATACCATGTCACAGTTTAACATGATTACCCCACTCAGGACAGTATACTGACTCTGAGCCGACCAGTCCTTATTTTAGCCCCTTAATGCCGAGCATCAGACAGGGTAATAACAAGTACCATCTTTTAATGTCTTTTGGTATTATGCAGTTGGGGATCGAAGCCCTAACCTTCCGGTCTCCGGGCAGACGCTCTACCACAAGACCACGGAGGTGGTTACCCGATGACAGTACCAGCATCCGTACTGAATCTACCACTAGAACAAGGAGGCGGTTACCTGGTGACAGTACCAGCATCCGTACTGAATCTACCACTATATCACGGAGGTGGTTACCCGATGACAGTACCAGCATCCGTACTGAATCTACCACTAGACCACGGAGGTGGTTACCCGATGACAGTACCAGCATCCGTACTGAATCTACCACTAGACCACGGAGGTGGTTACCCGATGACAGTACCAGCATCTGTGCTGAATCTACCACTAGACCACGGAGGTGGTTACCCGATGACAGTACCAGCACCTGTACTGAATCTACCACTAGACCACGGAGGCGGTTACCCGATGACAGTACCAGCATCTGTACTGAATCTACCACTAGACCACGGAGGTGGTTACCCGATGACAGTACCAGAATCTGTACTGAATCTACCACTAGACCACGGAGGTGGTTACCCGATGACAGTACCAGCATCTGTGATGAATCTACCACTAGACCACGGAGGTGGTTACCCGATGACAGAACCAACATCTGTACTGAATCTACCACTAGATCACGGAAGTGGTTACCCGATGACAGTACCAGTATCTGTACTAAATCTACCACTAGATCACGGAGGTGGTTACCCGATGACAGTACCAGTATCCGTACTGAATCTACCACTAGACCACGGAGGTGGTTACCTGATGACAGTACCAGCATGGGTACTGAATCTACCACTAGACCACGGAGGTGGTTACCCGATGACAGTACCAGCATCTGTGCTGAATCTACCACTAGACCACGGAGGTGGTTACCCGATGACAGTACCAGCATCCGTACTGAATCTACCACTAGACCACGGAGGTGGTTACCCGATGACAGTACCAGCATCCGTACTAAATCTACCACTAGACCACGGAGGTGGTTACCCGATGACAGTACCAGCATCCGTACTGAATCTACCACTAGACCACGGAGGCGGTTACCCGATGACAGTACCAGCACCTGTACTGAATCTACCACTAGACCACGGAGGTGGTTACCCGATGACAGTACCAGCATCCGTACTAAATCTACCACTAGACCACGGAGGTGGTTACCCGATGACAGTACCAGTATCCGTACTGAATCGTCACATTGAAAGAATAATGAAGTTGAATTCTATTTGTGAAGCAGGTCTTCACAGGTAATCATAGAAAGGGGGTTTAGGACGACTAACTGATGAGGAACACTGATTGGACCTACTTGTTCTTCTGCTTCATGTTGTCAATGTCAAGGTCATCCTTCTCCATCAGCTCTCGGTACCAGGAGCCCACTGAAACAATCCATAGCAACCATCATAAGGACCTATGTAAATATCAAGAAAACCATGTTCATCTTTTTCACCTCATCACTACAAACCATACCCTCATTGACCCTCACTGATGCTGGTTAGCTTTACTTTTCACACTTAAGATGCTATCAACTGATTACAAACTGTTTACAGACTGAAAGTTGGAAGAAAGATTTAGATGGTAAATAGAATCTCACCTGAGTGTCTTTTGATATCAAATGTTTCAGCATTCAGCGAAAGAAGAAGAACCTCAGAGTTTTAAACTTTTATGGGGGGGTTGATAGATGAGGGTGAGATTTTCTATTACTGCACTGAAATCCCCATAGCGACTGTCAATCCGATGCGTGCCTGTACCCTGCCTGTTTTCCCATGATGCACTACTCACCCTCGCCCTCAGGGTAGATGACATCATGGCCTGGTAGTGGCAACACTTACCCTCGCCCTCAGGGTAGATGACATCATGGCCTGGTAGTGGCAACACTTACCCTCGCCCTCAGGGTAGATGAAATCATGGCCTGGTAGTGGCAACACTTACCCTCGCCCTCAGGGTAGATGACATCATGGCCTGGTAGTAGCAACACTTACCCTCGCCCTCAGGGTAGATGACATCATGGCCTGGTAGTGGCAACACTTACCCTCGCCCTCAGGGTAGATGACATCATGGCCTGGTAGTGGCAACACTTACCCTCGCCCTCAGGGTAGATGACATCATGGCCTGGTAGTGGCAACACTTACCCTCGCCCTCAGGGTAGATGACATCATGGCCTGGTAGTAGCAACACTTACCCTTGCCCTCAGGGTAGATGACATCATGCCTGGTAGTAGCAACACTTACCCTCGCCCTCAGGGTAGATGACATCATGGCCTGGTAGTAGCAACACTTACCCTCGCCCTCAGGGTAGATGACATCATGCCTGGTAGTAGCAACACTTACCCTCGCCCTCAGAGTAGATGACATCATGGCCTGGTAGTTGCAACACTTACCCTCGCCCTCAGGGTAGATGACATCATGGCCTGGTAGTGGTAACACTTACCCTCGCCCTCAGGGTAGATGACATCATAGCCTGGTAGTGGCAACACTTACCCTCGCCCTCAGGGTAGATGACATCATAGCCTGGGAGTAGCAACACTTACCCTTGCCCTCAGGGTAGATGACATCATGGCCTGGTAGTGGCAACACTAGGTCCTGCATGCTGTATTCTGATTGGTTTTCGTCTGTCACAACTGTCGGCTGCATTTTTGACTCTCCAGCTTCTCCTGAAGTATATAATGACCGAAAAACTTTTGATTTTATTCACCAGAAAAGACTTTAATATCATTATTCAATACAGTGTTCAAACAATAATGGAGCTACATATAGAAAGACATATTAATTCTAAATATAAACTTAAGTATTTTTGAACCTGTGAATACATGCAGTCTAACGTTTTCAGCATGTCCATTAATCTGCTTATTCCTCTCACCTTTCCTTTCCCAGTTGATGCTGTGCGGGATGACCAGGTCCCCAACCTTCACCTTGTAGCCAAACTCGTCCAGTCTGCGAGAAGTCATGGAGTTCCACACATAACTCTGGTAGGCGTGGGCGTACATGAGACGCGTGTTCCTTGGAAGCTGAAAGCAATGATTACTTAATTGAGTGAGTGAGTTTAGTGTAATGCTGCTTTAAACAGCATTTCCGTTTTATCACAGCAGGTCAGCTTCATGTGGGAGAAAAGCCCAAAGTGATGGAGGTCTGAGATGTTTTACAACTTTGGTGAAACCCACAAGCACAGGTTTGGTGCTGACAAACCTAGAAACAAACCAGGGCAAAAACCAGATTCGAACCAACGATGATAGGTTTCTGGGATGCCTAGGGGACACAACTCTGCACACTGAATTGCGTTGTTAGACAGGGCCATCTGCGCAAGGTGGGAGCATGAAGTGGACATGTTGTGATCAGTGTGTGAAACTGATAGCAAACTTCAAAATGAGGGTCCTACCTCGCAAAGTACATCAAATCACTTGAGCTCTTTGATTAAAACCACAAAATATTGGGAAAACATATAACAACGCCCAGCAGAAAGTACACATGACCTGCAATACATTACATGTCTTTACTACAAGCATGAATTCTAAATACTACTTTCAATACAACTACTTCCGTATGTGTTAGCTGGCTGTGAGTAATACTGGTTCTAGATATTACTTTCAATACAACTACTTCCGTATGTGTTAGCTGGCTGTAGGTTATACTGGTTCTAGATATTACTTTTAATACAACTACTTCTGTATGTGTTAGCTGACTGTAGGGGTAATATTGGTTCTAGATATTACTTTCAATACAACCACTTCTATTGCTCTGACTCACCGCCTGCAGAGCGTTGGCATAGTTGGTCTCGCCCTGCCTCATCAGTGTCTCAAGCAACGTCCTCTCGATGCTGTGGTGACTTGGCACGTACCTCAGAGCAGCGCTGGCATCACGTGATTTGCCCCATGCTTCCCGGCACTTCCTCATACTGTCGTCCCCTGTAATCATCAGACAAACTCAAGGGTGAAAGACATGCAGTAAAGGACTATACCACTCTCCGACATCTTGCGAATCCAAAAGTCTCCCTCAGCGGAGCCTGGATCCATTCACTGTGAGATTCAAACCCAGGATCAGTCCTTGTTGTTATTATTATGAAACATATTTTATTGTCCAAAAAGACAAAGGGATTGGGCACAAGTGGAACACTTATTACCGTCTTCTCCCATATGTTTACCTCTTTGCTGAATTCAGCCTGCTGTTAACAGATGTTGATTATGTTCACCACAAGTATGGTGCTGTCAAATTAAGGGTCACAATTGTTTAGGACGTCATGTATCTTCTACATTTTGAGCTAGTTTAACATCATTCAATTATATTTCATCAGCTAGATGTGGGAGGAAAGCCCGAAGTGTTGAAGGTCATACACATTTACCAGTCTTAAATGAATGCTGACAAATCAAAGATGATAATCAGGCTGAATCGTAGATATGAAAAACCAACAAGTGGATCCTGGCACTGCCAAGGGATGTAACTCCGTAGAGCAATTTCAGACTCCTTAGATGACTGGGCAACTCCTCATAATCTCCTGTACACGGAATCATTTACGTAAATAAGACCAAAAACAACATACCGCTTTCCCGAGGCTTGAGGATGAGGTCCACTGCTTCCATCCACTGTGCATGTAGTAGAGCCCTACAGCAGAAACATGAAACTGTCATACCTGTAGCACCACAGGGGGACCTGGGTTGGAGAATATGTCTACCACTCTACAGCAGAAACATGGAACTGTCATACCTGTAGCACCACATGGGGACCCGGGTTTGAGAATATGTCTACCACTCCGCAGCAGAAACATGGAACTGTCATACCTGTAGCACCACAGGGGGACCTGGGTTGGAGAATATGTCTACCACTCTACAGCAGAAACATGGAACTGTCATACCTGTAGCACCACATGGGGACCCGGGTTTGAGAATATGTCTACCACTCCGCAGCAGAAACATGGAACTGTCATACCTATAGCACCACAGGGGGACCCGGGTTGGAGAATATGTCTACCACTCCCCAGCAGAAACATGGAACTGTCATACCTATAGCACCACAGGGGGACCTGGGTTTGAGAATATGTCTACCACTGCTTGGAGTGAGAGAGGAATTGCTACAAAGTAGCATCAGGTGGTCAGTTTCAGACTGACTGTGTGCCATTGTAACCAGATGGTGTGGGATGCTGCTCATATCAACTGCTGGTTTATCTTGTCAAGACTCAATTATTCACAGGCCGCTGTCATATAGCTACTATATTGCTGAGTGCAGCGCTAAACAGATATACTTTCACCAGATTTTTATCCTTGTTTAAGCAAAACCCTTAGCATCAGAAATGGCTTCCAAAATTGGGAAGATCCCAAAATGTCTGTTAAGTATTGATCTAATCACATCTGTGAGTGAGAGAATATTGCTCTGTATTTGTTGTAAGCCACATTCCAGCTCCATCCCAGCAGCCTGTATATAACCCCGTCGGAGCCAGGCAAACAGACCAGTGGTCCACAGCAGGAACACTGCCATGCCATAGTGAGTGAGTGAGTGAGTGAGTGAGTGAGTGAGTGAGTGTGATTGAGTATGGTTTCATGCCGCTTTTAGCATTATTCCAGCAATATCACGGTGGGGGACACCAGAAATGGGCTTCACACATTGTACCTATGTCGGGAATCGAACCTGGGTCTTTGGCATAAAGAGCGAACGCTTTAACCACTAGGCTACCCGACCGCCCTTGCAATGCCATAGCGGCATGATGATTTGTATGGATAAACCAGTCTGTTGGGGACAATATAGCTTTCATTGGGGTGCTTAAAACATGTCTTGTAGATGAATTTTGTCAAAACTGGATGTCAACACTCAACAGAAGTCTACACACAAATAAACTAATTTTGACCTTGACTTTGACACACATCAGCCAAGACACACATAGTAACCATCCCTTCGTCATCAGTCAGCCATATGCCATGTAGTGGGTAGAGGGGGAATGCCCTGGACACCTCTCAGAGCACCTGTGACAGCTGTGACAGTCATCACACGTTCCTTGTACAGTTCAAGTTGAGTGAGTGAGATGGGTTTAACGCCGCTTTTATTCCTGTTATATCACGGCGTGTTAGCTTAATGTGGGAGGAAAGCCTGAAGTGATGCAGGTCTCAGATGTTTACTACTTCGGTGAAACCCACTAGCATGGGTATGCTGCTGACAAACCTAGAAACATAATCGGGGCGAACCAGGATTCGAACCCACAATCATAGGTTTCTGCCGTGCCCAAGGGACGCAACTCTTCACAGCGAATCCGTTGCCTTAACGACTGGGCCACCAGTGCCCCCAGAGATCAAGTTGATTTACCAGAGATTCTACACTAGCTTCAGACTCCGCAGCGGACCTACCTGCCCACGTGATGTGTCGGGATGGATGTGGTGCCGAACCTCTGCATGCCGTAATAGTTGATGAAACCACGGGTCTTCAGTGATGTCATGGCAGAAGTGATCTGGTCGTCGGTGCCCGTCACATTTCTATAAACATCAGAAAGATTGGTTGGTTGGTTGGTTGTTTTTTTTATGCCGCAATCAGCAATATTTCAGCTATATGACGGAGGTCTGTTAATAATCGAGTCTGGACCAGACAATCCAGTGATTGATGTCATGAGCATCAATCTACGCAGTTGGGATTGATGACATGCTTCAACCAAGTCAGCGAGCCTGACCACCCTATCCCGTTAGCCGCCTCCTACGACATGTGTCACTACGCATGGCCACTTGAATTTCATTTTGGTTAGTAATTTAATACCGTAAATCTGGAAATAATGCGTCTCCACATTAATACGACTGCTGACCCCTAGCCCAAAATGTGACTAAATATCAATGCAACTCCCCCCACCCCAGTGAAATGATACACATCCTTACCTAAATCCAATCAAACAGCAAATAGCACCGCTTATAAGCACTGAGTAGAGCACTTCCGTAAAAACAATAAACAGTGATTTCCCTAAAAATAACACATAGTTTATATGTTTAATCTGTTGACTGGCATTAAGGAAGTTCAAAGGCAACAAAAAAATTGAACCAACAACAGTTCTCTGATTGGTATGTGGAGAAGGGGTCAACAAGCTTGACACGAGTGGGTAAAACTCTTGACCCCAGCAGTGATAACTCACCAGATGCCCATTGTGTAATTCCTATTCTTTGAATGACATAGTTATATACTTGTTACAACTGCTGCTCAATAAACCATGTTTGTGTTTATATTCAAGTTTGTATTTCCACTATCCAACGTGTGCTGTGAGGCGGTCTTATTGTTGATAGTCATTTTGGAGACATGAATGCGAAGTAAATTAATGCAAGCAAGCAAGCATTTTACGCATTTAATTCACGCTCGCGTTAATTTCAAGATTTACAGTATATTTACTTAGTTATCAACAAGTAAGTAAAAGAATGTACTTGGAGCCCTGGAGACTAATTCTACCCAAACACCATGCTGCCATTACATCAATCTATGTATTGACTCTCCCTTGTCAGTTAGGAGTCTGTATTTCTGACATTCGATTACTCCGTAGATCGCTCAGAGATCATCAGCTACATAGTGTGGACATTGTGGACATGTAGAACTTACCTAAGCACTATTTGGAAGTGATTCCCTCTCAGCTGTCCAAGCTTCAGAGGGTCCTTTACATAACTAGAAACAAACATGTTACACATTTACAACCATGCTTTTACCATTTACATTCACATTTTCACCATTTACCATAAAACCTTTACCATTTACAATCATGTTCACCATTTACAATCATGTTTACCATTAACAATCACACTTTCACCATTTTCAATCATGCTTTTACCATTTACAATCATGTTTTCCATTTACAATCACACTTTTGTCATTCACAATCATGTTTTCCATTTACAATTACACTTTCACCATTTACAATCATGTTTTCCATTTACAATCACTTTCACCATTTACAATCATGTTTTCCATTTACAATCATGTTCATCATTCACAATCACACTTTCACCATTTACAATTACACTTTCACCATTCACAATCATGTTTTCCATTGACAATCACTTTCACCATTTACAATCATGTTTTCCATTTACAATCATGTTCATCATTTACAATTACACCTTCACCATTTACAATTACACTTTCACCATTCACAATCATGTTTTCCATTGACAATCACTTTCACCATTTACAATCATGTTCATCATTCACAATCACACTTTTAAAATTCACAATCACACTTTCACCATTTACAATCACATTTTCACCATATACAATCATGTTTTCCATTTACAATCACACTTTCACCATTCACAATCATGTTTTCCATTTACAATTACACTTTCACCATTCACAATCATGTTTTCCATTTACAATTACACTTTCCCATTCACAATCACGTTTTCCATTTACAATCACTTTCACCATTCACAATCATGTTTTCCATTTACAATTACACTTTTACCATTCACAATCATGTTTTCCATTTACAATCACTTTCACCATTTACAATCATGTTTTCCATTTACAATCATGTTCATCATTCACAATCACACTTTCACCATTCACAATCATGTTTTCCATTTACAATCATGTTCATCATTCACAATCACACTTTCACCATTCACAATCATGTTTTCCATTTACAATCATGTTCATCATTCACAATCACACTTTCACCATTCACAATCATGTTTTCCATTTACCATCATGTTCATCATTCACAATCACACTTTCACCATTCACAATTACACTTTCACCATTCACAATCATGTTTTCCATTTACAATCATGTTCATCATTCACAATCACACTTTCACCATTTACAATCATGTTCATCATTCACAATCACCCTTTCAAAATTCACAATCACACTTTCACCATTTACAATCACATTTTCACCATTTACAATCACACTTTCACCATTCACAATCATGTTTTCCATTTACAATTACACTTTCACCATTCACAATCATGTTTTCCATTTACAATCATGTTCATCATTCACAATCACACTTTCACCATTCACAATCATGTTTTCCATTTACAATCATGTTCATCATTCACAATCACACTTTCACCATTTACAATCATGTTTTCCATTTACAATCATGTTCATCATTCACAATCACACTTTCACCATTCTCAATCATGTTTTCCATTTACAATCATGTTCATCATTCACAATCACACTTTCACCATTCACAATTACACTTTCACCATTCACAATCATGTTTTCCATTTACAATCATGTTCATCATTCACAATCACACTTTCACCATTTACAATCATGTTCATCATTCACAATCACCCTTTCAAAATTCACAATCACACTTTCACCATTTACAATCACATTTTCACCATTTACAATCACACTTTCACCATTCACAATCATGTTTTCCATTTACAATTACACTTTCACCATTCACAATCATGTTTTCCATTTACAATCACTTTCACCATTTACAATCATGTTTTCCATTTACAATCATGTTCACCATTCACAATCACACTTTCAAAATTCACAATCACACTTTCACCATTTACAATCACATTTTCACCATATACAATCATGTGTTTACCATTTACAATCATGTTTTTTTTTTTCCAATTTACAATCAAGTTTTAACAATTTTCTTCCATGAATTTCCAAGTCACATTTAAATGCTTGTTTTTCCCATTCATAGTCTTATTATTTACATCCAAATGTTTTTGCTTTTTACATTCATATTATGTTTTATTTACACATCACAGTCACTTCTTTACAATCAATGTTTACTGTGTACACGCTCCAGATAGTGGTGAGGCAGGTAATAATGTTAGACATCTGAAGACTGGAGGTCAAACTCTACAAGCTCTGGAGCATACAACATGTGTATGTTTAAGGACATGTAACGAGGTCTGGCTGTCCAGCAGCGTCCACTAAGTATCTGGACTGAGGCCATTTCTTCCCTACCTGAAGTTTCCCATCATCATATTTCGAAGTCTCGCGTTGACGGCCTGAAGCTTGTTGGCGGTCACTCTGAAATCCAAGTTGATCAAATAATTTTTTTATTGCATAACTATTGAGCCAACGAAGTCTCTGAAATCTTCCCAATCTCGGTGAACACTGTTCCATGTGAGTCATGATATTTAAATTCACCCTTTAACAAGTCATGGGTGCATGGGTGCTATTGATTTGAAAATTGTCTTGGAAGTTCAAATATTTAGTCAAAGTTTGTGTCTAGTTAGAAGGGAGATAACTCGACCTCCCATGATGGAATCCTGAAGAGAATGCAGCCTCACCTGAATGCAGTGATCTCCTGTGATGTTTTGGCTCGTTTGTCCTTCGTACCTGCGTAGCTGAACAGTTGAGTTTTCAACCTGGGCAGGAGACAAAGGGATATAATATATATCAGGCAGCTTTGAGATTTAATATAATTGTAGGTAGCTAAATATGTCAGTTGGCAAGCACCCTACTCACCTGGCTAGCCTTGAGATGACGATGAAGGCACCCTACTCACCTGGCTAGCCTTGAGATGACGATGAAGGCACCCTACTCACCTGGCTAGCCTTGAGATGACGATGAAGGCACCCTACTCACCTGGCTAGCCTTGAGATGACGATGAAGGCACCCTACTCACCTGGCTAGCCTTCAGAGGAGGATGAAGGCACCCTACTCACCTGGCTAGCCTTGAGACGAGGTTGAAGGCACCTACTCACCTGGCTAGCCTTGAGACTAGGATGAAGGCACCTACTCAACTGGCTAGCCTTGAGACTAGGATGAAGGCACCCTACTCAACTGGCTAGCCTTCAGACGAGGATGAAGGCACCCTACTCAACTGGCTAGCCTTGAGACTAGGATGAAGGCACCCTACTCAACTGGCTAGCCTTGAGACTAGGATGAAGGCACCTACTCAACTGGCTAGCCTTGAGACTAGGATGAAGGCACCCTACTCAACTGGCTAGCCTTCAGACGAGGATGAAGGCACCTACTCACTTGGCTAGCCTTGAGACTAGGATGAAGGCACCTACTCAACTGGCTAGCCTTGAGACTAGGATGAAGGCACCTACTCAACTGGCTAGCCTTGAGACTAGGATGAAGGCACCTACTCAACTGGCTAGCCTTGAGACTAGGATGAAGGCACCTACTCAACTGGCTAGCCTTGAGACTAGGATGAAGGCACCTACTCAACTGGCTAGCCTTGAGACTAGGATGAAGGCACCTACTCAACTGGCTAGCCTTGAGACGAGGATGAAGGCACCTACTCAACTGGCTAGCCTTCAGACGAGGATGAAGGCACCTACTCACTTGGCTGTTTTTTTAGACGAGGATGAAGGCGCCCTACTCACCGGGCTAATCTTGGTATGAGGCTGAAGACACCTACTCACTTGACTAATCTTAAGACGAGGATGAAGGCACACTACTTACCTGGCTAGCCTTGAGATGAGGTTGATTGCATCCATGGTGTCCTTGTTTTCCTTGTACAACACAAAGCGGCAGTAGTTTCCCCGACTTGGCTTCCACTCTGGACGTGTACGCTGGTCTGTGAAAGTGAAGGTAAAACTATTCAACTGAGACTGTTGCTCATAACATACATCTAAAACTATTCTTAATCTGAATGCTATGATTTGATCTTAATTGCAGTGCTACATATTCTTACATGTCAACAAGCATGAAATACTCATATCCCCTGCCAATATGACATGTCCGGTTGTGTGCAAGATAAGAGATATTGAACTGTTTTCAAGATCTGCTCCGGATATAAGCACTACCGCCATTTTCAGTCTAAATCAAAGTCATTGCCATGGAAACTCAAAAAATAAATTTTTCAAAAATCCCAAACTATCAAAAAGCACCAGTTTACCACTTGACCTATCTATGCAACATTTGGTGAAGAAATATAGCACGTTTTTCAAGATCTGCTCAGGAAGAAAGCACTACCACCAAAGTCAGTGTCATAGAAACTCAAATTTTATTTTTTTTAAATCCCAAACTATCAAAAGGCACCAGTTCACCACTAGACTTATCTATGTGCCAAGTTTGTTTAAAATATCTCTCATTAGTTTTAGTTCTGCTCCAGAAACAAAACCTGACGGATGGCATCCATTCTAGTTCGTGGCGGGGGGATAAAAAGTGAGCAGGGCTCACAAATTCCCCCGACCTCGACTCCAACATGAGCTGAAGGACAATTTTGATTTTGGAGATATACTGATGGCATTAAAATTTGAGTAATGGCATGATTCAAAGATGCACTGGTGCATCATCAACAAACTTTGCCGGATATGGTATACTTGACTTGACATTGATTAATATTTTGACCCTAGATCAATTGTCATTTTGAAAAATGATCATGTATTTATGTATGTCTTTTGTACTCTTATGACCTCATAGTATTACCACGATGTCATAAACAGCACTGGCATTATATACATGGCCTGGCACCCCCTAAATAACAAGTTTCTCTCAACGCCGGACAATGTCTCTCTTTGTGGCGAGTCTTGCTTATAACCTACGTGGCAAAGGTCACTGATGGGGGTTTCTCATACGTGAGGAAAAGGTCACCATATAACTCACAAAATGATAAGAAGGCTGTCACTGGTGAGGGTTTCTCATACATGAGGCAATGGTCACCATATAACTCACAAAATGATAAGAAGGCTGTCACTGGTGAGGATTTCTCATACATGAGGAAAAGCTCACCATATAACTCACAAAATGATTAGAAGGCTGTCACTGATGAGGGTTTCTCATACATGAGGAAAAGGTCACCATATAACTAACAAAATGATAAGAAGGCTGTCACTGGTGAGGGTTTCTCATACATGAGGAAAAGGTCACCATATAACTCACAAAATGATAAGAAGGCTGTCATTGATGAGGGTTTCTCATGAGGAAAAGGTCACCATATAACCCACAAAATGATAAGAAGGCTGTCACTGATGAGGGTTTCTCATACATGAGGCAATGGTCACCATATAACTCACTAAATGATAAGAAGGCTGTCACTGATGAGGGTTTCTCATGAGGAAAAGGTCACCATATAACTCACAAAATGATAAGAAGGCTGTCACTGGTGAGGGTTTCTCATACATGAGGCAATGGTCACCATATAACTCACTAAATGATTAGAAGGCTGTCACTGATGAGGGTTTCTCATGAGGAAAAGGTCACCATATAACTCACAAAATGATAAGAAGGCTGTCACTGGTGAGGGTTTCTCATACATGAGGCAATGGTCACCATATAACTCACAAAATGATAAGAAGGCTGTCACTGATGAGGGTTTCTCATACATGAGGCAATGGTCATCATATTACTCACAAAATGATAAGAAGGCTGTCACTGATGAGGGTTTCTCATACATGAGGCAATGGTCACCATATAACTCACAAAATGATAAGAAGGCTGTCACTGATGAGGGTTTCTCATACATGAGGAAAAGGTCACCATATAACTCACAAAATGATAAGAAGGCTGTCACTGATGAGGGTTTCTCATACATGAGGAAAAGGTCACCATATAACCCACAAAATGATAAGAAGGCTGTCACTGATGAGGGTTTCTCATACATGAGGAAAGGGTCACCATATAACTCACAAAATGATAAGAAGGCTGTCACTGATGGGGGTTTCTCATACGTGAGGAAAAGGTCACCATATAACTCACAAAATGATAAGAAGGCTGTCACTGGTGAGGGTTTCTCATACATGAGGCAATGGTCACCATATAACTCACAAAATGATAAGAAGGCTGTCACTGGTGAGGATTTCTCATACATGAGGAAAAGCTCACCATATAACTCACAAAATGATTAGAAGGCTGTCACTGATGAGGGTTTCTCATACATGAGGAAAAGGTCACCATATAACTAACAAAATGATAAGAAGGCTGTCACTGGTGAGGGTTTCTCATACATGAGGAAAAGGTCACCATATAACTCACAAAATGATAAGAAGGCTGTCATTGATGAGGGTTTCTCATGAGGAAAAGGTCACCATATAACCCACAAAATGATAAGAAGGCTGTCACTGATGAGGGTTTCTCATACATGAGGCAATGGTCACCATATAACTCACTAAATGATAAGAAGGCTGTCACTGATGAGGGTTTCTCATGAGGAAAAGGTCACCATATAACTCACAAAATGATAAGAAGGCTGTCACTGGTGAGGGTTTCTCATACATGAGGCAATGGTCACCATATAACTCACTAAATGATTAGAAGGCTGTCACTGATGAGGGTTTCTCATGAGGAAAAGGTCACCATATAACTCACAAAATGATAAGAAGGCTGTCACTGGTGAGGGTTTCTCATACATGAGGCAATGGTCACCATATAACTCACAAAATGATAAGAAGGCTGTCACTGATGAGGGTTTCTCATACATGAGGCAATGGTCATCATATTACTCACAAAATGATAAGAAGGCTGTCACTGATGAGGGTTTCTCATACATGAGGCAATGGTCACCATATAACTCACAAAATGATAAGAAGGCTGTCACTGATGAGGGTTTCTCATACATGAGGAAAAGGTCACCATATAACTCACAAAATGATAAGAAGGCTGTCACTGATGAGGGTTTCTCATACATGAGGAAAAGGTCACCATATAACCCACAAAATGATAAGAAGGCTGTCACTGATGAGGGTTTCTCATACATGAGGAAAGGGTCACCATATAACTCACAAAATGATAAGAAGGCTGTCACTGATGAGGGTTTCTCATGAGGAAAAGGTCACCATATAACTCACAACATGATAAGAAGGCTGTCACTGGTGAGGGTTTCTCATACATGAGGAAAAGGTCACCATAGAACCCACAAAATGATAAGAAGGCTGTCACTGGTGGGGGTTTCTCATACATGAGGAAAAGGTCACCATATAACTCACAAAATGATAAGAAGGCTGTCACTGATGAGGGTTTCTAATGAGGAAAAGGTCACCATATAACTCACAAAATGATAAGAAGGTTGTCACTGATGAGGGTTTCTCATACATGAGGAAAAGGTCACCATATAACTCACAAAATGATAAGAAGGCTGTCACTGGTGAGGGTTTCTCATACATGAGGAAAAGGTCACCATATAACCCACAAAATGATAAGAAGGCCGTCACTGGTGAGGGTTTCTCATACATGAGGAAATGGTCACCATATAACTCACAAAATGATAAGAAGGCTGTCACTGATGAGGGTTTCTCATGAGGAAAAGGTCACCATATAACTCACAAAATGATAAGAAGGCTGTCACTTATGAGGGTTTCTCATACATGAGGAAAAGGTCACCATATAACTCACAAAATGATAAGAAGGCTGTCACTGATGAGGGTTTCTCATACATGAGGAAAAGGTCATCATATAACTCACAAAATGATAAGAAGGCTGTCACTGATGAGGGTTTCTCATGAGGAAAAGGTCACCATATAACTCACAAAATGATAAGAAGGCTGTCACTGGTGAGGGTTTCTCATACATGAGGAAAAGGTCATCATATTACTCACAAAATGATAAGAAGGCTGTCACTGATGAGGGTTTCTCATGAGGAAAAGGTCACCATATAACTCACAAAATGATAAGAAGGCTGTCACTGGTGAGGGTTTCTCATACATGAGGAAAAGGTCATCATATTACTCACAAAATGATAAGAAGGCTGTCACTGGTGAGGGTTTCTCATACATGAGGAAAAGGTCATCATATTACTCACAAAATGATAAGAAGGCTGTCACTGATGAGGGTTTCTCATGAGGAAAAGGTCACCATATAACTCACAAAATGATAAGAAGGCTGTCACTGGTGAGGGTTTCTCATACATGAGGAAAAGGTCATCATATTACTCACAAAATGATAAGAAGGCTGTCACTGATGAGGGTTTCTCATACATGAGGCAATGGTCACCATATAACTCACTAAATGATAAGAAGGCTGTCACTGATGAGGGTTTCTCATACATGAGGAAAAGGTCACCATATAACTCACAAAATGATAAGAAGGCTGTCACTGATGAGGGTTTCTCATACATGAGGAAAAGGTCACCATATAACTCACAAAATGATAAGAAGGCTGTCAATGGTGAGGGTTTCTCATACATGAGGAAAAGGTCATCATATTACTCACAAAATGATAAGAAGGCTGTCACTGATGAGGGTTTCTCATACATGAGGCAATGGTCACCATATAACTCACTAAATGATAAGAAGGCTGTCACTGATGAGGGTTTCTCATACATGAGGAAAAGGTCACCATATAACTCACAAAATGATAAGAAGGCTGTCACTGATGAGGGTTTCTCATACATGAGGAAAAGGTCACCATATAACTCACAAAATGATAAGAAGGCTGTCACTGATGAGGGTTTCTCATACATGAGGAAAAGGTCACCATATAACTCACAAAATGATAAGAAGGCTGTCACTGATGAGGGTTTCTCATGAGGAAAAGGTCACCATATAACTCACAAAATGATAAGAAGGCTGTCAATGGTGAGGGTTTCTCATACATGAGGAAAAGGTCATCATATTACTCACAAAATGATAAGAAGGCTGTCACTGATGAGGGTTTCTCATACATGAGGCAATGGTCACCATATAACTCACAAAATGATAAGAAGGCTGGCGCTGGTGAGGGTTTCTCATACATGAGGAAAAGGTCACCATATAACTCACAAAATGATAAGAAGGCTGTCACTGATGAGGGTTTCTCATGAGGAAAAGGTCACCATATAACTCACAAAATGATAAGAAGGCTGTCAATGGTGAGGGTTTCTCATACATGAGGAAAAGGTCATCATATTACTCACAAAATGATAAGAAGGCTGTCACTGATGAGGGTTTCTCATACATGAGGAAAAGGTCATCATATAACTCACTAAATGATAAGAAGGCTGTCACTGATGAGGGTTTCTCATACATGAGGAAAAGGTCACCATATAACTCACAAAATGATAAGAAGGCTGTCACTGATGAGGGTTTCTCATACATGAGGAAAGGGTCACCATATAACTCACAAAATGATAAGAAGGCTGTCACTGATGAGGGTTTCTCATGAGGAAAAGGTCACCATATAACTCACAACATGATAAGAAGGCTGTCACTGGTGAGGGTTTCTCATACATGAGGAAAAGGTCACCATATAACCCACAAAATGATAAGAAGGCCGTCACTGGTGAGGGTTTCTCATACATGAGGAAATGGTCACCATATAACTCACAAAATGATAAGAAGGCTGTCACTGATGAGGGTTTCTCATGAGGAAAAGCTCACCAAATAACTCACAAAATGATAAGAAGGCTGTCACTGATGAGGGTTTCTCATACATGAGGAAAAGGTCACCATATAACTCACAAAATGATAAGAAGGCTGTCACTGGTGAGGGTTTCGCATACATGAGGAAAAGGTCACCATATAACTCACAAAATGATAAGAAGGCTGTCACTGGTGAGGGTTTCTCATGAGGAAAAGGTCACCATATAACTCACAAAATGATAAGAAGGCTGTCACTGGTGAGGGTTTCTCATACATGAGGAAAAGGTCACCATATAACTCACAAAATGATAAGAAGGCTGTCACTGGTGAGGCTTTCTCATACATGAGGAAAAGGTCACCATATAACCCACAAAATGATAAGAAGGCTGTCACTGATGAGGGTTTCTCATACATGAGGAAAAGGTCACCATATAACCCACAAAATGATAAGAAGGCTGTCAATGGTGAGGGTTTCTCATACATGAGGAAAAGGTCACCATATAACCCACAAAATGATAAGAAGGCTGTCACTGGTGAGGGTTTCTCATACATGAGGAAAAGCTCACCATATTACTCACAAAATGATAAGAAGGCTGCCACTGATGAGGGTTTCTCATTCATCAGCCAAGCAAGGTTACTGTCACAAAATGATATGAATCAGGCAGACGGCATCAGGCAGACGGATTGACAGACAGAATTAATTAGTATAACTATAAAACCCTGCCCTTTTAGATTGGGGTATAATAAACAAAGATCAGTTCTCCATATTTTCCACATTTGAAGAAAATAATGAATTTAATAAAATATCTTAATTTTTCAATTCCGCAGGCAAATCAGTCATATCATCATGATCATGATCAAATCCTTTTCGTTATCAAGTTTCATCTCTCAGAGGTTTTTTTTGTGTCTCTGAAGATACTCAAAATTTGACTATTTTCCGAACTTATAAAATTTAAATATTATTTTCATATCTTGCTGGCATGAACAAATTTGTCTACCACTTTGTTGGTTAACAACCCTGTTTGAGATTGAAGGCCTAGATCTGGGTCCCTGCAATGTCAAAGTATGTCATGGCTCCAAAAGCAAAGTGTGGAGGCAACAGTCAAATTCTCACAAAACCTGAAGCATCCACATTGACATACACTAGCTAATGAATATCAGCTGTCAGCTCATCCTACCAGCTTTCATCTTGGTGATCCTGAGCATTTTCTGTCCATCCTCCTCCACCGTGTTGCTGTTGAGGGACGGGAAGAGAGACTTGATGGCCTTGTGCATCTTCGTCCGAGCCTCCTTGTCAAGGGCAGCCTGCAACACCATACACCTTCATCAACTGCAGCAACAACATACCCCTTTATCAACTGCAGCAACAACATACCCCTTCATCAACGGCAACAATTATTGGAACAATAAAAACTTTTTTAAAAAAAACAAAAAAACCATACCCCTTCATCAACTAACTGTCAACAACAACAATATCAGCAGCAGCAGACACCTTCATAAAGCTCTTATAACAACATACCCCTTCATCAACTGTACTACCACCACCACCAACAACAACAACAACAACAACAACAGCAACAACAACAACAGCAGCTATTATGACAACATACCCCTTCATCAGCTAACAATAGACACCTTCATCAACTGTTACAATATACACCTTAATCAAACACCAATAATATAAGTTGTAGGATGACCACTAGGGGTACATGGGTCTTTTTGTGTAACGCCGGAGGCGAGTGGTATAAAACCTAATGAGAGACGTATAAAACCCCATGTACCCCTCATGATCCTGCCACAATGAATTTATCTTACCGACATGTTTTAATGTGACATTGTAAAAGAATTAACCAAAGAACATTGATAGAAAACAGCTGTTCGGCTGAGCTGAGGTTAACTTGTGATATGTCACATGACTTTCATTGACTCGGAAAAAGTGTGCGGCATTTTGCTTTGAAGCGGGGTGTAAGGGATTGATTCTGCCCCTCAGAAACCATATGCAGCCTGCATCGTTCGCTGTGGCCAAAGATATTTTTTTCTCCTGGTGAGAAATTTATTGCCCTCCAGGGCGGGTTACACAGTATTGTATTAAGGTCACATGGACCAATCAGATCTCATGGAGGTATAACAACTTACTGTTACCATGGTTACAACTGTTATCAAGCATTGAAGAAGCAAACTGTATTGCTCACCTCAATCAAGATGGCCGCATTCTTGTCCGTGTCATCCAGTAGCGCCTGTAGCTTGGCCTGGTTTTCCTCCGACAGGATGTTGGGGTCAGGGGATAGCGCCACCTGTCAACATTAGGATCTTGCTAAAACCTGCAGGCAACTGACACACAACAAGCAATGCAGGGAGGGTTTGAATATGGAGAATGCAAAACCTTCAAATATAAACATGATAAAAACTATGTCTCTATGGTTACCGAGAGATCTTATCTTACAGTAATGGCTATACAAGCCAAATCTTCTTTACCCTTTGACAATATCAAGTGATTGTATATAAAATAGAGCCTGGTCTTATCACAGCGGTATGATAGCTAGAGCCCTCAGCCATATTGGTTTGATCAGTGAGAGTAGTCTCCCCTGGTTGCTTTCGAGTCATGTTTTTACTTTGTCTGCTTAATGAAGTGATGCTATGAAAACCACTCATATATATATAAGTATATGACAAAAAGGCTCCATTGCTACTACATGTTACAAACAGCTGCCATTTTGACCTCTCTGTCACGCTTTGCATTGGGACCTATTCTGCCCACTGAATGTTTGTATGTGTATTTTATGTAGCAGATATATAGAGAATCTCACCCTCGTGTCTTTTGATATCAAATATATCAACATGAGTTCATAAAAGTGGAAAATCTCTGAGGTTTGCCGAGGAGTTTTTTCACTTTCATCAATGAGTGTTGATATCAAAAGACACGAGGGTGAGATTTTATTTATCATCCAACATCATTCTTTCAATTTTTTCAGTTTGTAGACAGTAATAAGCAGTGTCAAGTGTAAAAAGAACTGCTAACAGCTTCAGTAGCAGAGCCATTAGTGATGTCATTTGATTGTGATGTCAGGGTAACCAATGACGTCACAATGGTCTGCAAGTGTTCATTACAACAGCACATCAACATTTTGTAACAGCATGTGGCTGCCTTATTCACTGCAGTACAGTTCATATATATGTGAGGCCTGTGTTCAATCAACACATTAAGATCACTAAAACAAACAGGTATGCAAATAAGACTGATATTCTGTGAGCACTTGTAGCTTGTTGGGTTATTCTATAAATCATAATTTCTCCCTTCAAGTAAAGACTCTAAAGACTACACGTATATGCCAACCTGTTCCTCCACTTCTTGTGGTAGGTCTGTAGAAGTGAGGTGGACTACCGTTCCTTCATTGCTGACTTCATTAACGATGAAATCGGAATACCTGGAACACACAGCTACATTATGGGATATCATCAGGACACATCAGTCACCAATTTTTAGTTTTATTGTAGTAGTCATATTCATGAGGCAAGGGTGTTAACTGACAATATGAGTCAAGTTTCCACCCTTGCTGAACTAGGCTGGAATTTCTGGGCTTGATTGTAGTGCCACCAGTGGCTATTATGAGTTATGTCCCTTCTATGCCCCTCCTATCAGATTCCACCCCTGAATTACTTGCCTTTGCTTCAAACAAAATGGCTGCGCCCAGTCAAGATGATCTGATCGATGATCAAGGCCTAGATTGTAATAAAAAGGGTCTTACCTCGCCTAATGCATATTAATTTATTATGACTCCTTCCTAAGAATCTGACCTCGCCAATGTCGAAAAAATTCCATTATAAGCATATGTGGGTATTTCCTGCATATTCTCACAATCCTCACGTCGATAACCTGTACCTTTTCTCCCAATACCGATTGTCATATCTCTCCCGCTAATGTCATGCCAAGGGACACTTAAAATGGGCTTTACACAAAGTACCCATGTGGTGAATTTTGCATGATTAGCAAATGTCTTAACTACTAGGCTACGCTTCCGCCCCCATGTACTGGTCACTGACAAGTTATCGCCATTTTTTTCATGTTATATCTGACATAGTGCATGTACAAAGTTGACTGCACCAATAACTTTATTGTTTGTGAAACTATGAGCAAATGCACTTATTTCTGTCTGTGAGGGGGTATGGGTGGCCCAGTCGTCTAAAGCGCTGCAATTCGCTGTGCAGAGTTGCATCCCTTGGGCATGCCAGAAACCTATGATTGTGGGTTCAAATCCCAGTTCGCCCTGATTATGTTTCTAGGTTTGTCAGCACCATACCCGTGCCCGTGGGTTTCACCAAAGTGGTAAACGTATAAGACCTGCATCACTTGGGGCTTTCCTCCCACATTAAGCTGACATGCCGTGATATGACTGGAATACTGTTTAAAGCGGCGTTAAATCCAACTCACTCACTCTGTCCGTTAAATAAGATTCAGTTGATTTCTGTTATAACGCTACCATAGGGAATCAAAATAGTGGAAATAGAACTTTCCTGTTGACTTACTGTACCAGTTAACGTCATCATCCTAACAGCACATGCCATGTGATCACGCACACCACTTCAGTTATATAAAATACACTTTAGCTATTATCAATTTGTCGTCTGAAAACTGACATAAACCAATATTCCCAAAAATTTGATCTACACATGCTTATCCATAATACTATGTAGTATGGATATTGCGTTATACAGGTTATGCATTTTTGGAAATATAGCTCAAAAAGGTTTCAGAATTGTATTTTGGGGAAGAAATTCCAGACAGATAGAAATCAATGACAGTACTGAAGGTGCATCAACGTGTTGTTTGATTTATATATTTTCGTGAATTAGTCACGTGACACCGTCCATGTCTTTTCTGAAGTTGAATTTGAGCAAGGTGATCATGTGATTATGGTGTTTTTTTTAAATATTTCCTCTCAAGTGTCTGTTTTGTTCATCATTTTTGGATAAATATTTTTTTCTTCTAATGAAAAAGACCAAAAGTAAAATGAGATGCGATCACGTGCGGGCTATAAAGGGATTGCGATTATTGGTCCTTGGCGATAATTGGTGGCTTTCCAGTACAGATAATACGTATACCATGATTCATGTTCATATTACCTCTGCTTTATGATGGCAGTGAACCCTTGGTGACTGCTGACATACTGCGTGATCCCCACATCAGACTCCGACACATGACACTGCCTACTGTCCTTCGTGTTACTGCTTGTGGCAGCTGTCTCCCCTGAAGTGCCCTTCACGTCCTCTGACACCGTCTTGTCCGCAGTTGTTTCAGCAGCTTCATGTTCTACCTTCGCCTTTTTAGCTGGAGGTGGGCTGATTTCCGTGATGGATTCTGACTCCATATTGCGCTGCAGTTACTGTGCAGCTAACTTAAAAGTCTTTATAATTGAAATGTTTACTAATTTAACATTTTACATAAAAGAGTTCCATGAAATTAATAACATACATCCCTCAAATGGTGAACACGGTTACGAAAAGTTTGTGAAGAGAAAACGAGCACAGAAAACCAACAAATTTGTTTAACTTATGGACAAAACATTAATTTCCCATATGTAGAAACTGTTAATTCGTTACGTCACAGTCAACATCTCTCACATCTTGTTATTCAACAAGTTAGTATTTACGTGATGCTGATATCTGCACGTGCTTTAGTTTACAGTTATACCGGAAGTGCGCTTCAGTATTTAGAGTTACCTCCTCATCGCTAAAGGATGCGCAAGCTCCTTCCCAGCGCGTGACACCTTCGTTACACTCGTTATAGAGAGCTCCGTGAACGGGCTATCGCTGGGAGGAGTTGAAGGATGCGTTCGTAAAATGAGTGATTGATGAACTGGGTTGAAGAACTTTTTATTCCCCACTTATATATCTCAAACCCTATAAAATTCATGTGTGGTTACGATTTTAAACATGATTACCGAGCGCACGTTTTCGAATTCCAATTCGATTCCGTTATACAGTATAGATAAACGTAGTAACGTATTGAAGGCTGCCCGACCCTAACAATTTTAAACTGCCGCACCCCAAGGTCAGCTTCCCGCCCCGGTAGTCATATGAGATCGAAGAGGAAAAATCCATTGTATCCTAATGGGACGGCACACACACACACACACTCACACACACACACACACACACACACACACACACACACACACACACACACTCACAGAGTTATTCAATTACAATTAGACCAAGTTTTGTTTGTTAATAGTACAGTATATATGTTAATGTAGTATATCGCCACCTTGTGATCAAGTGGGGCGGCGGAGTAGTCTAGTGGTTAAAGCGCCCACGCCGAATACCGGAGTTCGATTTCCGACATGGGTACAATGTGTGATGCCTATTTCTGGTGTTCCCCGCCGTGATATTGCTGGAATATTTCAAAAAGCGGCGTAAAACCAAACTTTCTCACTCGTGATCAAGGACTACTCAGATGGGGAGCTCATGCATGTCCCCACTCCCCCCCCCCCCCCCCCCCCCCCCCCCCCAGCAATCTAGCACAAAATGGCATCAATTAGACGCCTCAGCACAGCAATACTCCAATGGGAGCCTCAGTCTGTGACTCACACAACCAATTTGAACGATTATGTGGAAGCTGTGCCTAAACACTCGGCAGAAAAAAATTTTGCTGCTCCTTCAGAAAGTTCACTAGCCGCCATTACGCCTGACATAGTAAGTGAAGTCAAAACGTTTATTTCTGTTTCACTTCGAGAACACCCTGCTGAGATAATCAGGAAAATTGACTGTATCCGTAGTGAAATAACAAGCCTATGCACGAGATATGAAGAAAGTGGAGATCAATGCTCCTAATAATCTCCTAATTGATAAATCAGAAATCTACCAACTGCGTGAAGACAGCACCAAACAGCTAGAAGAGATGGAAGGCAAAGTTTTAATGCAATAGTCATACAAGAGGAAGAATAACTACATTTCGCTGAAAACGAGTGATCCGTGGACTGGTAATTTATGGTTAGGGTGTGTGAGTGTGGTGGGATTGATTTGATGGATTAACGAGCGGTGATGGTTGCGAGCTTCAAGCGTAACGTAATTCGATGTCATTAAGATCTTAGTTCTCAATACGCTAAACAAAGATCTGAAGACACCCAATTTTGTTCTCTATGTCAAGCCGAGGATTTTTGCCACTTTTATCAACGAGTGTTGATATATTTGATATCAAAAGACACGAGGGTGAGATTTTATTTATCATCCAACATCATTCTTTCAACTTTTTCAATTTGTAGACAGTAATTAGCAGTGTCTTCAGTGTAAAAAAGTACTGCAAACAGCCTCAGTAGCAGAGCCATTGGTGATGTCAATTGATTGTGACGTCATGTAACCAGTGACGTCACAATGGTCTGCAAAGCATTGTGATGTAATTTCATTGCAGCGATATCTACAGTGTAGATATCGCTTGATCTCATCCAAGCGATATCTCCTGTGGGAGCCAGTTTTGGATGATAAAAAGTGGGTAAAGACTGTTCAAGATGATATTTTGAAGCTGCTGAGGGATATAGTTGGTATGTTTGGAAGACTATTGGAAAATTGGGCGTAGGTAATAAACGGCGAAATATTATTCCTATGGAAGTAACTTATCCTGATGGATCTGTGTCAAACTCCCCACCGGACGTCCTAGATCAATTGAAAACAGATTATGAGAGTCTGTCGAATGATCAATCTCCGTATAGCTTGCCCACACATCGGCCTGTTCGTTGAAGTGAACACGAGTACATGTGTACCCATCACCAGCAATGTAACCTAAATAAACCTTTTAATGAAGAGGAACTGACCAGCGCATTCAACAGTGCTTAGAATGGTAAATCTACAGGCAGTAAAAAACTACACTACCGGTGTGTTTTTGCTCAAGCTCTTAAAAAGGTGTTATAGTAACGGTCTTATTCCCGATGTCTGGTGGTAAAGTATAATTAATCCTATTTAGAAGTCGAATCTGACAGACCACATAGACCCTCTCTCGTACCGTGGCATAACTTTGGCTTCGGTTGTATACAAGCTGTATTGTAACGTGATTAATGTGCGCCTAGCATCATGGACTGAACTAAATGGCATTATCACAGAGGAGCAAAATGGTTTCAGAAGGGGATGGGGGTGGGGGAGCATAATAGACCACATATAGAAGTTTACTTCTATTGTAGACAGTAGGAAAAAGAGACTATCAACGTTTACTGCCTTGCTTGATCGTAAAAAAGGCCAATGACTTAGTTAATAGATGTATGTTGTGGGAGAGACTGGACGATCTAGGCCGAACGGGAAACATGAGAAATGGTCTACACGCATTATATGTGTCCAGTTATGTGTCCAGTTGTCTAAGGATTAACTGGTTTAAAACTGATTGGTTTAATCTCTGTTGTGGAGTCAAGCAAGGGTGCTTGTTATCACCTGTGTTATTTAATATCTACATGAAGGATTTAGCTGTTACCTTAAAGGGTCTCGGTAAAGGTTTTACTGTTGACAATGACCTTATATGTATTCTGTTGTATGCCGATGGTCGGGTTATTTCATCCGAGATGGGAATCAAATCTTCAATGTATTCTGGACTGTTTGAACTTTTGGTGCTGTAGAAACAAAATGAATGTCAATGCTGAAAAATCAAACGTGATACACTTCCGCAAACAGTCAGTCCCAAAGACTTCCGCAATATTTAACTGTGGTAATATTGTCTTGTATGTTGTTGAAAATTACAATATCTGGGTTTATTGTTGAATGAACGTCTAGACTATAAAGTCACAGCAAATGCAGTTGCGCAATCACCAGAAGGGCTCTTGGTTTTGTTATCACTAAATGTAAAGCTATGGGTGGTATGCCATATAACGTTTTCAGTAAATTACATGTATATTTTCTTCTTTGATAGGCATTTAGAAGTTGGAGTACTAAGTAAGGATAAGATTTATGGATGAGCAACTTCTTTGTTACAACTAAGAGCGACGTTGAAAATGATGTTAGAACCTACTCCGAAAACGCCGCTGTTAATTGTAATACGGAAGTTGTTCATCCATAAATCTTATCCTTACTTTGGATGGGATCGTTCGGCCACTGCCTTTATCTGCGCATCCCAGCTACATCTGGGGGGAACAACTCACCAAACACCTTCCCTCTAAAAAATAACGTCGTCAAATATATGACGTCGTCAAGTTGCGAGCGCATATTTGAATCTCTAGAAATGACATCATGATAGAACAATGTTTTATCGTGAAATAATTAAATTTTCGTTGTGTTCATTGAAATTCCTGCATTCTGATTAGCTGAATTGGTCTCGTGTTATTGCATTCATTTCCCAATGAATGTAAAAAAGTAAGCCACGCCCACCGAAGCGGACTACTTTTATTACTACGGAATGTCGGGGAATCCCAATATTACAGTCGAGGGATTTCCCTTTCTGCTCACGTGTATCGTCATGCACAGGACATTTAGCGACATTCATGCATATTCATTGTCCAAACTACCCTTTGAAACCAAAGGCCGAGAATGAATGAAACAGCAAACGTGCAGGCTCGCTCGCCTGTTTTTTTCCCCGCTCGCCTCGGTTCAACTTTCATGTCTTCGGGTTTCATTTCTAACTAGCATTTTTCCAACTGTGTTTTGCCGTTTTCAGGGAAGTGATGTTTGAATCTGGCGGTAACTGACAATGTCATTTGAAACAGCCGCCTTCTCCCGGACATATTTCTTCCGGTTCGTTTGAGTCTGACTGTTGCAGTTCTTCTCTCCTCTTGCCGTAATTGACAGGTTCTATGAACATTGTTTTGATCCTACTCTCCGTTGATTTGCTACTGACTGTGTAGGCGTGTCAAGTTATGTGCATAAATTAAACGATCACCTGATTCATGTGACGCTACAGTATGTATTCATACACCTGGAATGTTTATCAATCTCGTCATTTTTGTCTGCTTTGATATTTACAACAAGTTTTACGTTGTCGAATTTAATTATAAGCAATGACTGTGTATTGTTTTTAGGTTCATTTAGGTATGAATCGAAAAACCGATGTGCAAACATTTGAAAGAATCCGCTACGCGGATTCATATACTTTGCACATCAGTTTTTCGATTCATACCTCAATGAACCGAAAGAAATACACAGTCAATCCTTAAATAAACCACGCTTGTTCTTCATTGTTCTTTGCGATTTATCGCGCACATATCTTATGTATTGTAATGGAAAGGTGAACACTGAAGAGGTTTATTTTGAACTATAATATGTAGTCTACGATATGTAGCATATTGTGTTTCTAGTTGCTGATCAGTGTATCAATGTGATGTTCCGTATTGGACATAATAAGCGCTCTCAAAATTAGAAATAGGGGGCTCTTATGAGAATATTATTGAAAGATTGTAAATTTCGTTGTTTATGCTGGCAGCCTGTAATGTTTATATACGACAGATATATTTTTCCAGAATTTAATTTCCCATAATTAAGGTTGCATATAACACACGTGTTATACACGAATAAATAAGTCTTGTGTACATTGATCAATAAGGGCGGGGCGCTTATTACGTCGAATACGGTATGTATATAGTCGTGTTATCTCTCATCATTTTGTGGTTAAGTGGCACTGCTGCAGTTGTGGTGCTATTAGTGAAGGATATGGTCTACTCAATGTGTATATATATATATCCATCGTAAATATACAATATAGCGTACCATGATAGATTCTTGTTAAATTAGTTTAACCATTAGCCAAAATACACCTAAATATTGTATTACACCTAAACATAGGCAGGTTGTAATAAGCTGTGTAGTGTTCAATTACGGGAATAAAACGTATCGGTACGTTCATATGGTCGATGCCAACCAAATGTATACACAGAAGAGTAGTCTAAAAAGGAATTGTTTGGGTGAAGTATGTCATCGTATCTCAATTGCGTGGAACGATGCTCATGATGTCAATCAATGGATTGTCTGGTCCAGACTCGATTATTTACAGACCGCCGTCATATAGCTGGAATATTGCCTAGTTCGGCGTTAAACAACAAACAAACAAACAAAACATCAGGAAGACACACCTCCTAACACAACGACCAATGAGTTGCAGGAGATGCATGATACCACCTACCAAGATCCGGGGTAAAATAGGTCTTCAGCAACCCATGCTTGCCGTAAAAGGCAACTATGCTTGTCGTAGGAGGCGATTGAACATTTTTATTACACTTTGCAACTTTATTACAAAACGGGTTGCTATATGCATTTTACTTTGTAATAAGACTCTCGACCCTTTTTGTAAGTAACAACGCGGTTCCAGAGTCTTTCTCTAAGGAGTTGCTTTCCTCTGTTTTACGTGTCGGGCAAAAGCATGTTAATTTGTGATTAATTATTGTACGATTCCATGTGTGTAAGATCTCATAGATGGAACATCCAATACATGTATGTTTACGCAGTTGCATTAATATATCTCGGCCGTGCAACCCTTAATTGTGTTGGTGTAGTGTAGCGTGACGGTTGGGTATAGAAGTCCACGGATCTTTGGATATCGGCTCACTACTGCTTACTCACTAGGTTAATCTGCGATATGTACTTAAGCATCGAGGAGGTGTTTCTTACTCAGATGAGTACAAATAGAACAGTGCAATATATAGAATGAACGGCAAGATGACAATGTATTATTTAAATTTCATATTAATTTGTTTTAAGAGAACTTCCCTTAAATTCCCTTTTGTTGAGATATTGTTGTTTGAGAACAGTTGACGGTTTTTTGATAGGTTAGGCCATATATAGAAGAAATCTTTTTAGGAATGATTTACGATCATATATAAAGTATGGACATTTAAATAAATAATGAAATTCATCTCCAATTAAATTTGAATCACGAAAAGTAGACAGTCTCTGTTCACGTGGGAGGTTTAGCCATCCAGTTTCTATGGGGAGTCCATGATTACTTGTTTTAAAATAAAGGATAGGTTTAGATATATCGCCTGGAAGAAGTAGACAATTTTCGAAAGAGGACGAGTCCTTTATGACCTTATAATATATACCTTTAGTTGAATATTTTCACATCACTCGCCCATATTTGCAGAAACTGGTCTTTTAACGTTAATTCACCTTTTGCAATGATCCAAACTTCTGTAATACATGAAGGTCTTCAAATACATCAGGCAAACCGCATTGACATAGAATATATGTACAGTAAACTACGGTTATAACGAACTCAAAGGGACCACTAATTTTAGTTCGTTGTAGCCGTGGTTCGTTATATGCATATATACAGCATAACTACAGCAAATAGTCAGGACAAAAAAGTAAGTTCGTTATATCCGTCAGTTCGTTATGAGCGTGTTCGTTATAACCGTAGTTTACTGTAACATGATTCAACCAAGGGGAGTTGTTACTTGCTTGACGAAGGATTCCAAGTCCTTCAGAAAAAAATTGAAAACAGAAGTGGGGACACATATTCTCCTTGCCTTACCCCAGACATACATGGGAAGAAATCTGATTTGTCACTTTTTACCATAACACAGGATTATATATCTTTGTACATATTTTGTATCATAGTGAGTATTTTCCTTTCACATCCGTGTTTTTCAATTTCATCCAAAGACCAGCCCTCCATACCTTATCAAATGCCTTACCCCAGACATACATGGGAAGAAATCTGATTTGTCACTTTTTACCATAACACAGGATTATATATCTTTGTACATATTTTGTATCATAGTGAGTATTTTCCTTTCACATCCGTGTTTTTCAATTTCATCCAAAGACCAGCCCTCCATACCTTATCAAATGCCTTACCCCAGACATACATGGGAAGAAATCTGATTTGTCACTTTTTACCATAACACAGGATTATATACCCTTGTACATATTTTGTATCAGAGTATTTTCCTTTCACACCCGTGTTTCTCAATTTCATCCAGAGACCAGCCCCTACCTTGTCAAACACTTTCGAGAAATCTCTATAAACACAGTTTCTTCTTTTCTTTGCTGCATTCGATTGATAAGCTATTGCAGTAAAAAAACAGTATCTACTGTAGAAAAAAGCCCTTTCTGAAACCAGACTAATCATGGGAAATTAATTCATAATGGTCATAAAATGTAGTTAATTTGTCGTGTAGTATTTTAGTAAACAATTTACCAAAACAGCCTAATATATTAATTTGTCGATATGAGGCGGGATTCGTAGGGTTACCATTTTTCTTCAAAGTGGGTTTAATATTACCAGTCAGCTACGATTCAGGATATATTCCAGTCTCAAATACAGCATTAAAGTACTCGACATAAAATGATATCAATATCAATTACTACACTTGACACCGCCAGATATTACAATAGTGTATTTGTAGGGACATATCAAACTCGCTTTCGCTCGTTAGGTGCGAAAACACATACACTTGTTTTGTAAAATTAATCTATATATATACAGATATATAATTATGTCGAGAATGTGTGACGTCACAGTATCAGCTAAGGTCATCGCGCATGCGCAAAACAAACGACCTAAGCATCACCGATGTTTGCTGTACTTTCTCATTTTAACGCCATGTTTACACGCACTGATGTGCTTCTTGTTTTTGTTCAGACTTGATAAACATATAGAAGTCCAACAAGTCCCCACACCGCAAATACACTCCCCGCAGATAATTTCTAGATACTGTGTTATACGACGGACATCGATCACGCGCTATAACGAGGCACTTCAGGCTCGATTGAGCAACTCAGCAAGCTCAGACTTGTACACTTACCTGATCTATATTTGAACCTGTGCTGACGCTGCTTGTTTTTACGATTACATCTGATAGTATATAAGAACGCACGCGTATGCGGGACACGGAAAACAGAAGTTAGATCTCCACGGGAACTAGGTGAGTCCTGCTTGTTGATACTCGGTATAACACAACAGACAATGGACACAGCAGTATATGCGAACTATCGCTGGGAACATGCAGCTCCTTGTAGAGGGGCGTGGCACCGGCAAAGTTATACTCAATGACATGGACGCTAATCTTATCAGTTATTATTTTTATTGTTTAATTTTCTTTTTTTTCATATGTTTTACAGCTTTACATGCTGTTTCAGTGGGGAATCGCCAGATCGCGGTCACGTTAACCCACTGATAAACCTCCATTTTGGAATGTTGAATTTGTGTGGGTTATTTCACGGTAACGTTTTTCCAACATGCACCTCGATAAAACACTAACAGTTTCATCCCCGTGCTGCATGTGCTTGTTGATAATCCATACTTAAATACTGGGGAGAACCCGGCAGTGAAGACGACGCCAAGGTGTCCGCTAGTTACACACATATAGTACACCCCGGCACACAGCCCGCCGTACTTCGTCATAATCCCGTATGTTAGAGCATATCACCAGCAATGCCTACCTCATACATGTAGTGGCTTTTATCAGCGTTTGTTAATGTGGTAATCAAAGCCCTGTGCAAGGATAAGTATGAGGGTGCAGCCATTTCATTTTTATTGTGGGGTGGGGATAATTTTAGTTTAAGATCAGCCATTTAAAACAAATAAAATATGAGCTCATTTATTTATTCCAACATAGGGGCACGGTTATATTTATTTTTCGTTAATATTATGCAAAAAACTAGTTCGTGTTTCACAGTTTGTAGTTTTACAGATTAATAAATGGAGTTGTTAATAATAATAGGACTTCTCGATATAATACACAGTCATCAAGAAATTTGACTAACAATTAGTCAATGAAAACATTTAAAAAAAATATTTATTATTGCTTTACTACAAAAGAACCTATCCTCTTCTGCTGTTTTCATAGGAAACTAGACTTGGTTTAGTTTGATCTAGACTTGCCTAAGCTTTTAAAAAAATCTCTCTCTCTCTCTCTCTCTCTCTCTCTCTCTCTCTCTCTCTCTCTCTCTCTCTCTCTCTCTATATATATATATATATATTCTTGCAATGCGAGTTTTCAGGTTTTTGCCAAGATTAAGCTGTCTGATGGGTCAGAGAAGATCAGGAACATATCACGACAGACCCGGGAAAGAATTGTTTACCCTATGTATTTTGTTTACACTCAAAACCTGGCAGTAAACAAAAAAAAACAATGTTCACTATATTAAATAGAGAAACGATATGGAATAAAATAAACACTGTATTCAACTTAAAATACAAAACCTGTATTCCAGGGGCTCTGCACTACTATAAACCAGTAGGTCTACCCTAGGTTAATTCGAGTTATATTGGAACACACGTATTTCGTACAGATTAAAGGTTCAGTCATTAGTCGTACATAGTAATATACTGACAGGTAGGACCTAAGTACCGTTTTCGACGTAATAAGCGCCCAGGGAGCCCTCAAAATTAGAAATAGGGGGCCCTAATTAGAATATTATTTTGAAGTCCTGAGTTGAAAGATAAATTTCGTGCTTTATGCTGACAGCCTGAAATGTTTATGTACGACAGATATATTTTTCTAGAATTTAATTGCCCATAATTAAGGGTGCATATAACACACGAGTGCGTATTGTACGCGAATAAATAAGTCTTGTGAACATTGATCAATCGGAAGAGGTGCTAATTGGGACTGTTCACTAGCCAATATATTAGCAAATGGGCGCTAATTAGAACGGGGCGCTTATTACGTCGAATACGGTAATTTGTTATCGCTTGCGTCCCTCTTCAGTTATCCTCGATTATTCAGTGTATTTTATTTATTCGTAATAGTTCTGTTAAAAGTATGTTGAGACATAGGGTTTATGAGAAATTGTATAATCATCATGAAATTCATGCAGTTTTAATTTTGTCTACAATTGTCTGTGACAATTCACTTTGGGTATATGTGTTTTACACTTTCCTGTCATGTTGTTAGTAGTTCATTTTTATTTTTACCGAAAATCCCTAAAATGTTTTAGAAATTTTGTCACAATATATTGATGAAAGGAGACCCGTGATCTGAATAGTATACCGCTCTTATTCCACGGGGTTCCAACGGAGTTTATGAAATCGGAAACTACGGGAGGTAACCGCATGTGAGGCAGAACAATACTGAAAAAAGTAGGACTAGTGAACGAATAATGCATTCGAACGAGGGTTACTATTTGCTTCAAAATGTGTCTGTGTTGATATTACATTTAATATTCTATTTGTTATAGTTTTCTGAAAAGTGTATGGGACTTATGGGTAAATGAATAGAAAGTACATGCATTTCAATTTATTTTGCACAATTGATAAGAAGTTTCCTCAATTTTACAACCAATATTGGTCATCTTGTTTTAAACATGTATCGTACGGTTGAAAACTACGACCACACGGCGATGTTTTTCAGCACTTTATTCGGAGGGCTAGCTCTCGCTGCCCAACTCACCACCGTTGAAGCTTGATGTCCCTGACCGCTGACCCCATCCGGTCACCGGCCGGTCATCCCGGGACTCCAGCTAGCTGCACACATACATTAATATATTATGTCTATTCTACACATGCACTACAAGTTCCAGACTCTACGTGCCCTACTTCGTTACACTATACAATGGCATTGATACAACACAGTTATTTCAATATGAAACGGGTAATTCATTTCTAAAATACTTATCATTCACTTCTATAATAGTTAACCTCTACGATACTTGCCCGTTTTGATTAAATATTTTGGAACATTATTTCATTGTAAATATAATTTGACGAATAAAGAGTTGGCCGCCGTATTGATGCATCGCATGAAATGTTTCCTCGTCCATTCTATTTTGATTTTGATCAAAATAGAATGAGTGAGTGAGATAGGTAAACTTTAAAGTCACATCAGCATTTTTTCAGCCACGTAGTGCCTCGAGGCTGGATAACCGTTTAGGTGTCGATGCCGTTTAGGTGTCGGTCATACATCCCGAAAAAGACATTTCTATGTAGTTGGATTGAAATCGATTTTTGGTCCTGTAATATGGTTCAGCAAATCTGGCGTCAACTTGAAGTTTGGCTACTTCAAAAGGCTAACATCCAAATCGAAATTACAAAAAAATATGTGATGATGTGCTTTCCAGAAAAGCGCAATGACCATCTAAATATCATCTTTTTGATAATAAAAGACCTTATATTTAAAAGTAAGTTACATAAGAGACTCCCGTCATTTCAAGTCTTTCAGAACGAAATAAGAAACTACTACAACCCTACTAAATGTGCAGCGATTATTGAGTGTGACATTGGCCTATTCTATAAATTTTGGTCAACATGCAATCATCTATTTAGATGACTATTTAGCTATGTACTGGAATGTCACATTTGATCAAATAAATGTAAAATGATTGAAAAAATAAAAAAATATAAAAAAAGAAAGAAAAAGAAAAGATAAAAAAGAAATCGATTTCCGAATGCAGTACACTTTCGTAGCGCCTGACTGCCTACACTCAGTGAGCTTTGTACCATGGTTCAGTTCTATCACGGCGTTATGACTTTGGTGAAGAGTTGCAGACACGCATGGTCCTCACAAATCAGGAATCATTATCACGGCGAATCTGGGATTCGAACCCATGATGATAACCCTCCTTGGGAGATTCTTCATAGCTGAAGTTATCTTTGTTCGATGCTTCAATTTGCTTGTGTTCTTACAGAAGCTTCGATAAACCTTGTACTTGTATGCGATTTTGTGTGTGTTCGGTCGCTGAAGAGCACTGTAAACAGATAGGCATTTCTTAACATTACACTTTTTCACTTAGCCTGACGTATATTAAATGTAAATGATCTCTATGCCAAAAAATAAGTATTTATTTTCGAGCCGTGGGTGTTTGTAAATGTTACCTAACCTGAAGCAAATGTTCGTAACGTTGAGCTGACGCCTTACAGCAGTGGTATATGACACGGTATTCCGGTCAGGCATGTTTGATGGCCGCCAAGGAACGCTCAAGCCTGACCGTCTGCATCCCCGATTATTCAATGTTATATTGGTTTTCCATCACGATGCATACCGTAGACAGATTCTCAATCTTAGCTTCGTGTAGAGCCCAGTTTACCATCATGATGCATACCCTAGACAGATTCTCAATCCTAGCTTCGTGTAGAGCCCAGTTTACCATCATGATGCATACCCTAGACCCCTAGACAGATTCTCAATCCTAGCTTCGTGTAGAGTCCAGTTTACCATCATGATGCATACCCTAGACAGATTCTCAATCCTAGCTTCGTTTAGAGCCCAGTTTACCATCATGATGCATACTCTAGACCCCTAGACACATTTGCAATCCTAGCTTCGTTTGGAGACCATTGTTTGAAACTGATTACTGGACTACATGTACATATATTTATGCAAGTGATGTAGCTGGAGAGCTTCCTGCATGTTTTTTATTCTTCAAATAATTCCATGGTGGAGTAATGTTTTTAAATCATCCTGCCAAATATGGTCATCTGTTTGATATCTCGACATCAGAATCTCGCATCAACGTTAGTTTCCCGTAACAGTAATCTCGTATGTATATGAAGTGTTGCTCAAGTTTTACCGAGAACAGTATAGGGCGATCAAAGCAGATATCAATATGATTTTAAGCAAGTTGACTATTTTACAGCTATTTTTGTATTATAAAAAATAACGCTGCTGATCTCCCAAGTAGAGATTTGAACCTAGGCCTCTCCCGTCAAGAGCGAACGCAACACCGCTGTGCTGACAAAGTAAGAGTGGCATCATGCTAGTGAGCGTTAGCTTGAAGGTCACATTACGCAATTATGATAACGCCAGTATTTTCTCAAGGAATATAGTGATAAACAATGGCGTTTTCCCGTAAAACATGAACAGATTCTGCGCTGGGTTTGAAGCACATACTAAACAGACAGACATACAGACACACACAGACACACACACACAGAGACACACACACACACACACACACACACACACACACACACACACACACACACACACACACACACACACACACACACACACACACACACACGTGCATCGATCGTTTACCCAGCCTGCATTGGTCCCTCTTTATGTTGTAGGTAACCTAGCAACATGCCGGGGATTAAACGTAAGGCATCACGGGCTTCGCCTTATGAACCGGTCTGTAAACTGACCAAACAGCGAACGTCCACCACAGTGAAACCTGTCAGGGAGGAATCCACCATCCGACCACCGCTGCCTCTACCAAAATGGCCAAGTCTTAAAAGAAAAACGACAAAAGAAAGCGCCACCCCCGGGGAATCAGGAGACGCGTCCCCTCCCCCGGGATTGAGAAGGGCCCCCACCCTTACCCTCGAAGATAAAGAATCAAAGTCGGCTTCACCTCTCTCTGGCAAGAAGAGTTTGTCAAAGAAAGGGTCTGTTGTTGTAGGCGAGGTCGTTACTGCCCCTTCACTGCCTAAAACCGCGTCCATCGTTGAAGGTGACGATAGAGTTACGACCTTGACCCGGCTTGCTTCAGGGTCAACTGTCGGTCGCACCACTAGTTTCTCTGAAGCACCTGCAGCAATAAGCAAGGAATTGTCCAAGACATCCACCAATACCAAGACGCCTCTCATCTGTAAGAGCATCAGCAGAGGAGGCAGCATCGTCATCGGCGGGGGAGACGTCCTATCTCTCAGCAAGTCGTCGTCCAAGTCCACGTCTGTGTCATCGAAAGCGGGGTCCGAGACTGGAGTCGCTTTGGAGAAGGTTCTCAGTCTCTGTAAATCTCTGTCCAAACCGTCGCTGACGAAGGAGAAGTCTGCCAGCCTCATCAGTGCCGCCGCTGAAGACGCTGCAGCTGCTGATGATGACGAGGATGGTGACGGTGCAGTCGTAGTGGACATCCCCCTTCCACCTGGGGGACTTATGGAGATCGTCTTCTCATTTGATACGACAGGCTCCATGTACAGGTGAGTGGGTGGACTTTTTTTGTAGCCAACCTGATTGAAAGTCAAGTGAGCTTATGTCATAGCCTGCTTGTCTGGCGTCCGACGACGCATGTAAACATATTTAAAAAAACCGCTGGACCAAAGCTGAAACTTCACAAACATGTTCCCACTAAATATAACGCCTGAATTTGTTCAAGATGTATGAATTCGGTTTTTAATATGACCACCACAGCAGGCTATTGATGGCTATTACTCGGTCATTATGTTTGGCTCATGTGTAGTTCGTGAAGAAACTTAAAAAAACATTTGCAATAATTTTAAATTTTGAGCTAGATTTAACTTTGATCGGCCATACTGAAAGCTGAAACTTCATTTCATTTGAAACAATTGCATATCAGAAAAGGTATGTTCCTTGGAAGGTTTTTAGAAGGCTCTGAGTTAAGACTGTGGAATATATGCAACTTTAGTGCCCTGAAAATCTAGATATCTGTGAAAAATCTCTTTCTCCTGAAGGGCAAAACAATGAGCGAGACTACAGACTGCCGCCTTTATAGCTAACTTGTTATTACTTAGCACTATGTTCTTGTTTTGGCAGCTGTCTGGACCAGGTCCGAAGCCAAATCCAGGACATGGTTCAGCGTCTCCAGGCAGATATCCCTGGCATTCGCATCGGCATCTTCGCCCATGGCGACTACTGCGACGCCAGCAACTACGTTGTTCAGTGGATCGACTTCGGCGCCTCCACCCCCGAGATCTGCAAGTTCGTTAAAGACGTAAAGCGTACCGGAGGTGGTGACTTCCCCGAGGCCTACGAGGTGGTGCTGAGACGCTGTCAGAGCGTTCTGTCCTGGACCCCAGGAAGTCAGCGTTCCCTGGTGATGATCGGGGACGCCACTCCCCACGAGGCGGATGATCCTCAGAATGAGGAGAACATTGACTGGAAGACAGAGTGCAGGGCTCTGAGAGATGTGGTATGTGGGATATACACGTCACGCACACAAAGTACAGTCACTGTTAAAATGTGCAATGTAATAGTGTTTATTGGTGGAAAATCCAAACTCGATTATTTAATAATACAGTCAGTTGTAATCAGCATTAAGTCATTTAATTTCCTACTTCTTGTCGAGGTAAACGAGTAGGTTAACCATCTGTGACGTTTCTTCTTACAGGGCGTCCGCATCTATGGTGTACAGTCCGGGTCAAACAGTGAGGCAGGAACCTTCTTCAAAGAAATGACCCGCATCACTATGGGTCGCCACTTGCAACTGGATCAGTTCTCTAACATCTTCGACATGATCATGGCTATCTGCTACAGAGAGAGGGGAGCAGACTTCCTCGAGGTGAGTGAGTGACTTGATACAGGGATGGTCAGCTGTGATGTGGGCATGTAAGGGATGGTCAGCTGTAATGTGGGCATGTAAGGGATGGTCAGCTGTGATGTGGGTATGTGAGGCTGGTCAGCTGTGATGTGGGTATTTAAGGGATGGTCAGCTGTGATGTGGGCATGTAAGGGATGGTCAGCTGTGATGTGGGTATGTAAGGGATGGTCAGCTGTGATGTGGGCATGTAAGGGTGGTTAGCTGTGATGTGGGTATGTAAGGGTGGTTAGCTGTGATATGGGCATGTAAGGGATGTACAGCTGTGATATGGGTATGTAAGGGTGGTTAGCTGTGATGTGGGTATGTAAGGGGTGGACAGCTGTGATATGGGTATGTAAGGGTGGTTAGCTGTGATATGGGTATGTAAGAGCTGGTCAGCTGTGGTGTGGGTATGTAAGGGGTGGACAGCTGTGATGTGGGTTTGTAAGAGCTGGTCAGCTGTGGTGTGGGTATGTAAGGGGTGGTTAGCTGTGATATGGGTATGTAAGGGTGGTTAGCTGTGATATGGGCATGTAAGGGTGGTTAGCTGTGATGTGGGTATGTAAGGGTGGTTAGCTGTGATATGGGTATGTAAGGGTGGTTAGCTGTGATGTGGGCATGTAAGGGTGGTTAGCTGTGATGTGGGTATGTAAGGGTGGTTAGCTGTGATATGGGCATGTAAGAGCTGGTTAGCTGTGATATGGGCATGTAAGGGTGGTTAGCTGTGATATGGGTATGTAAGAGCTGGTCAGCTGTGGTGTGGGTATGTAAGGGGTGGACAGCTGTGATGTGGGTATGTAAGGCTGTTAGCTGTGATGTGGGTATGTGAGGGTGGGTGGCTGTGATGTGGGGGTATGTAAGGGATGTTCAGCTGTGATGTGGGTATGTAAGGGATGTACAGCTGCGATGTGGGTATGTAAGAGCTGGTCAGCTGTGATGTGGGTATGTGAGGGTGGTTTGCTGTGATGTGGGTATATAAGTGTGGTTAGCTGTGATGTGGGTATGTAAGGGATGTACAGCTGTGATGTGGGCATGTAAGGGTGGTTAGCTGTGATGTGGGTATGTACGGGTGGTTAGCTGTGATGTGGGTATGTAAGGGTGGTTAGCTGTGATGTGGGCATGTAAGGGTGGTTAGCTGTGATGTGGGTATGTAAGGGTGGTTAGCTGTGATGTGGGTATGTAAGGGTTCGTTAGCTGTGATGTAGGTATGTAAGGGTGGTTAGCTGTGATGTGGGTATGTAAGGGTGGTTAGCTGTGATGTGGGTATGTAAGGGTTCGTTAGCTGTGATGTAGGTATGTAAGGGTGGTTAGCTGTGATGTGGGTATGTAAGGGTTCGTTAGCTGTGATGTAGGTATGTAAGGGTGGTTAGCTGTGATGTGGGTATGTAAGGGTGGTTAGCTGTGATGTGGGTATGTAAGGGATGTTCAGCTGTGATGTGGGCATGTAAGGGTGGTTAAACTGTGATGTGGGTATGTGAGGGATGTACAGCTGTGATGTGGGTATGTGAGAGCTGGTCAGCTGTGATGTGGGTTTGTAAGAGCTGGTCAGCTGTGGTGTGGGTATGTAAGGGGTGGACAGCTGTGATGTGGGCATGTAAGGGATGTTCAGCTGTGATGTGGGTATGTAAGGGTGGTTAGCTGTGATGTGGGTATGTAAGGGGTGGTTAGCTGTGATGTGGGTATATAAGAGTGGTTAGACTGTGATGTGGGTATGTAAGGGATGTACAGCTGTGATGTGGATATGTAAGGGTTGTTAGCTGTGATGTGGGTATGTAAGGGATGTACAGCTGTGATGTGGGTATGTAAGGGATGTACAGCTGTGATGTGGGTATGTAAGGGTGGTTAGCTGTGATGTGGGTATGTAAGGGTTGTTAGCTGTGATGTGGGTATGTAAGGGTGGTTAGCTGTGATGTGGGTATGTAAGGGTTGGTCAGCTGTGATGTGGGTATGTAAGGGTTGTTCGCTGTGATGTGGGTATGTTAGGGTTGTTAGCTGTGATGTGGGTATGTAAGGGTGATTAGCTGTGATGTGGTATGTAAGGGTGGTCAGCTGTGATGTGGGTATGTAAGGGTTGTTAGCTGTGATGTTGGTATGTGAGGGTGGTCAGCTGTGATGTGGGTATGTAAGGGTGGTCAGCTGTGATGTGGGTATTTAAGGGTTGTTAGCTGTGATGTGGATATGCAAGGGTGGTTAGCTGTGATGTGGGTATGCAAGGCTGGTCAGCTGTGATGTTGGTATGTAAGGCTGGTTAGCTGTGATGTGGGCATGTAAGGGATGTTCAGCTGTGATGTGGGCATGTAAGGGTGGTTAGCTGTGATGTGGGTATGTAAGGGTGGCTGGCTGTGATGTGGGTATGTGAGGGTGGCTGGCTGTATGTGATGCTGCAGTATAGATCAGTGTAACGTGACACCTAGCCATAGAGAGTTCCTTGTTATGTGTTACAGGCATACGAGGATGAAGTCCGGGGACGCCACGGGGGAGGGGCCATCAATAAGGATCTGGAGGGATTGTTCGGGACTCTGAGAGATGACACTGACCCGCCTGGGCTGACACTATCCCCGTCCTTGAAGAAAATCCCCACTATGTCCTTGTTTGGGGCCAAGAAGGGCGCCTCGAGCGCCTCAGCTCTGAAGAAATTGAAAGCAGTTGTAAAAGCTAAAGGCGCGGCTAAGAAGGTCAAGGGCGCCGGAAAAAACAAACCTAAGGCAAAAACAGGAGCAAAGAAAACGAGAAAGCCGAGGCGGAAGACAAAGAAAAAGAAGGTAAGGAAACGAGACATTTTGTCATGAAGTCAGACAAGTGCACTAGTATCGATCCACGCTATCATGTATGAAGACAAGCAACCAGACAAGTAACCCATCCCTCCATTTGGGCAGATCCTACGGGGTATTCGTGGGGTACATGCGCAATTACTTTTGAATCTCAAATACAAACATGGCTACTTAAAATGATTCAGTGATCTCTAATTCAAAACTGATATTTTATTTCAGAAGGCCCTTCGTGAAAATGTAAGCGACAAGAAATTCAAGGACGGCGACTTTGCAGATGCCATTCTGAAGAACATCGACTGGACGGATTGGAGGCGTGCCATCTACCCCGTCGTATGGCCAATGGTTGGCCGACAGCCCAAGAACTGCCGCATCACCAGGCGGGTATTCAAAGGGACTAACGGACACTTGTTGTCGGATATATTCGACTATGAGCACGAGGTTCAGGCAATCTACGAACTCGGCGTCCGCCCCCCTCGTACCCGTCGGAAGCGTATCTACACGACGCTGTTTAAAATTTCAAAGGGATTTAGTAACTATCAGGGATGGTATGAATTCCTCTTGAAGAACAAGCGCGTGTACCGGGCGGTGACCCGTGTTGTGTGGGAGAAAGGAACGATCTTTGTCAGGCGAGCTGTGTTCCCTCGCGGTGACGACGCTGTGTTCGCGGATGCTATAAAGCGCATCAAGGAAGTATTTGACTATGCTTGGTACCGGCCCAAGAGAGCCGCTGAAAACTTTAGAACGATAGAAAAAAGTAATTTTCTCATCAGCGGAATCCGAAAGGTTCGGAAGACTCCCGAAAAGAAGACCACACCCAAGAAAGCTGCCCCATCTAAGGGTAAACGCGCTTCTAAACAGACAAAGGCATCTGCTGTAAAGAAATTAAAGACCAAAACCAAAACCAAAACCACTAAAGCGGCAGCTAAAAAGGGCAAACCAACTAAAAAGACAAAAACACCCGCTAAAAAAGCCAAACCAACCAAGAAGACAAACACACCCACTAAAAAAACGAAAGGCAAAGGGAAGAAGGCAGCTAAATAGACTGAATATACTTGAATACTGTTCGGTTGCAATTGAGAGTTGAACAATCATCAGGGAGACTAGAGCACCAATACCTGCATGAGCATCTCGACCAACATACTGGATGCTCACAGAGGAATACATGGCCATGGGGGCTAGACGCCATAGTGCTAAATAATTACATTGTTGTGAAATCACATGACCAGTGTGGAATACTGACGCACAACTGGAATACTGATGCACAACAATGAAAGACCATCGTACCACCCCATTCACAACAAGCAATGGCTGTTTTTATTTCCGTTTTTTTTAAAGATACTGCACTTAGAAAGCAATATACTGTCCCAATTGATAGAAAATGTCGTGCGTTCACACACGTTTTCAAAAGAGATCTGATTGTATATGTCTTGCCAGTGCCATCTTTGTTTCTGTTTTTGCACATTATGAAGTCAGCATGTTCGGCCTTTTGTCTTCGTTACCTGGTTTACGGGTTTGTTTTCCAAAACCATACGTTCCTAGGTGGACGCAATCTAACGATGCCGAATTACATGCATGGATTTAAAAAAACATGATTCCTGAATGTAATGTAGTTTGGAATAAGAATAAAATGAAAAAAAACAAACTCATAAAGAGAAGGATTTAATTAATTACGGAAGTTAGTTTACTGGCTCGGCGGGGAAAAAAGACCCTTGAATACTGTAACGAAGCTTGCATGTCCAGGTGAATGGGTATTTTCGTGACAAAATAGGTGAATGGGTGCTTTAGTGAAAACATGAGTGGCGTGTCCAGGTGAACGAGTGCTTTAGTGAAAACATAGCTGGCATGTCCAGGTGAATGGGTACTTTAGTGACAAATTAGGTGAATAGGTGCTTTAGTGAAAACATGACTGGCATGTCCAGGTAAACGAGTGCTTTAGTGAAAACATGAGTGGCGTGTCCAGGTGAACGAGTGCTTTAGTGAAAACATAGCTGGCATGTCCAGGTGAATGGGTACTTTAGTGACAAATTAGGTGAATAGGTGCTTTAGTGAAAACATGACTGGCATGTCCGGGTGAACGAGTGCTTTAGTGAAAACATGAGTGGCGTGTCCAGGTGAACGAGTGCCTAAGTGAAAACATGACTGGCATGTCCAGGTGAAAGAGTGCTTTAGTGAAAACATGAGTGGCATGTCCAGGTGAAAGAGTGCTTTAGTGAAAACATGACTGGCGTGTCCAGGCGAAAGAGTGCTTTAGTGAAAACATGACTGGCGTGTCCAGGTGAACGAGTGCTTTAGTGAAAACATGAGTGGCATGTCCAGGTGAAAGAGTGCTTTAGTGAAAACATGACTGGCGTGTCCAGGTGAACGAGTGCTTTAGTGAAAACATAGCTGGCATGTCCAGGTGAACGAGTGCTTTAGTGAAAACATAGCTGGCGTGTCCAGGTGAACGAGTGCTTTAGTGAAAACATGAGTGGCGTGTCCAGGTGAACGAGTGCTTTAGTGAAAACATGAGCGGCATGTCCAGGTGAACGAGTGCTTTAGTGAAAACATAGCTGGCGTGTCCAGGCGAATGGGTGCATATTGTTGAGTGTTTGATTAACAAGGCCAACCGTTTAAAATAGTGGATTAATTTTAATAGTGGATTAATTTAATGATTGTCAAGTATCAAGTATTGATAAATAATTGCGTGTACATTGTCAAGGCAGCAGTGTCTGTTGTAGTATGTTTGTTTAATTGTTGTTTTTTCGTGTTTTTGTAGACTAAAATATGTAATCGAAAAGAAACTCCCGTCTTCTTCTTCTTCTTCAACATCATAAATATCTATGATGACAACCCTTGTAAGTACACCAGTGATACAGAAATTACAACCTGCCACCAACACAAATATACTTTCCTGATCCTCGGTCTCTAGAAACCCAGTTTCTCGATTGGATGAGGCCATAGCTGTGCTCGTCGGTTTCATCAAAGCAGTTGGGGCAGTGAGGTTGCCAGCACGTTCAAGCGACCGCCCGTCACAGCGAACACCTGCCAAAGTGAGATTTAATATACAAACTACACTAAATGGGCTTTCCTCCCACACTAAGCTTGATACCGATGAAAGTGATTAAACCGAAACCCCACACTCAATAAGATCCATCCGTCATCGATATTTAACAGTTAGTTTAACAAATCAATCTTAAAAAACAAACAAGCGTCACCAGAAGGTGACAAATTCCCCCGGCCCTCACAAGTGCGAAAGAGAGTCATCTGTTATTTTAAGTCCAACTTGAATAGAGAATTTCTATATGATCTGTCTGTCCGTATACAAGTGTAGTTATTGAGCTTTCATAGACATGCCATGGAATTGGTATTTGAAACTTTGTATTTCTATGTCATCTACACACCAATATGAACGTAGTCAAAGTCAAACTTGTTGCCATGGACACGGACAAATATATAAAATATTAAAGTACCTCAATAGCAATAGGCACCTGTTGACAACCTGGTCTTTGTGTGTGTAAAGTTTCATGAAAGAATGCCTATTAGTTTTAGAGATATATGGTCCGGACAAACACACTACGATGAACAGAGTCAAAGTCAAACTAGTTGCCACGGAAACAGGATGAAATTATTTTTGAAAATTCCTAAAGAGCACAAGGCACCACTTCAGCTCCTGATAAAAACATGTACCAAGTTTAGATGTAAAATTTTGAATAGTTGAATAGAATCACTTTTGATAGATTTCATGTTAAGGGCATAAAAACCTGCAGCCCAAAACCTCAACTCTGTATGACGCAATGGGTGCAATTAAAACAATATATAAGCGTAGGAAAATGTCCACTTGGAGACGTGACGTTGAGCCTTATAAGATGTACTCCTAAATACCACTCCAAGACAGGAGTAGCTTGAGTCCACAACCTCAATGATTTGATGGCCCAGGTTAAGTATCTTTTCTGTTGAAGATCCTCCAAATAAAATGACTTTAGTTTTTTTCCCATTAATGCGAGTTAATATAAAACTCAGACTCCATCCAGTCGAAAAGAATAATCTCATCCTCAAAATAAAGTCTCGACAGCAATATGGCCATCCTCATCAATACAGAGCATTTCATAAGCAATGCCATCATCTTTGGCATCGAGACATGCCATATCATGCAAGTCACTGTGCAGTATCCTTGGACAAGCTTATGGTGAGGTGAGGAGAAATTGGGTTTAACGTAGCGTCCAAGATCATTGCACTTATATAGCATGCACGTGTGTGTGTGTGTGTGTGTGTGTGTGTGTGTGTGTGTGTGTGTGTGTGTGTGTGTGGTGGGTGTGTGTGTGTGTGTGTGGCTGCTTGTACTAGTCCGGACTGATGCCGATTTATAGTGCTAGCCCACTGAGATACCATGCCGCAGTTTAACATGAATACCCCACTCAGACACAGTATACTGACTCCTTCCGCTCTCCGGGCGGACGCTCTACCACTAGACCACGGAGGCGGTCGACAAGGTTATGGACTCCACTTGTCCCGCTGCGATATGACTGAAACAGTTGTTGGCAGTGGCGTGTAATGCCCATTAAGCATAATTTACCCTTACTTGGAAAACAATACAACATAAACATACTTGTATTGTTAAAAGACATGAATTTTATATGCAAAGAATGATAACAAACAATAAGGTATTGTGTCCACAGTTTGGAGGTTGGGGTGAGTTGTTCAGTATTCGATCAACCATCAAGACCCAAATCAGCACATGAAACTCCATTTAATCTTTAGGATGTCACAATTGTCAGTATTGTGTATGCCCACCACGGGAACCAATGCACTCCCCAACTCGTCCATGAGAAGATGTGATACGTCTGATCACAACACCACTCTTCACAGATGGCCTGACTTATCCTTGTTATAAGGGCGACCTTGCCGTGCTCTAATTGCCGTGCTCTAATCAAGGTGATCCCACACGCACAAGTTCTATAGTTCTATAGGTGACAAGTCAGGTGATTGTGCTGGCCAAGGTAAGATTGTGTCTTGGAACTGTCCTGTCCGTTGCAAGAAAGGTAGTACAACAGGGTAAGAGAGATTGGTCAATGTAATGCTGTCCAGTGATGCTTCCTTCCAAAATCACCAGATGTATCTTGACAAGTTAATTTTAAGTTGAGAGCGAGCAGAGCATGAACAGACCACAGACATCAGCAAACAGTAGGTGGGCCAGGTGGGGGACTGCGGTAAACTTACCTGACCCGGGATAATCCTATAGGTCTTTAACGTACATACTGGAGAAAGTAGGGCTGCAGACACATCCCTGCTTGACACCAATGTTATAATGCACAGGGGCACATAAGCCGTCAGAAACTAAATGCAAAGGCAACTCAATTGTTCATCTGAACAAAACCCCAGAACACAATCAAAATCAAAAGAGGGAATCGGACATCATTTTCGTCACTGATGCATCAAATTTTGAAATGTTCAAAACGATTCCATGTGAGTTGTGATTCGTGAGTTTATAATAGAGGGTACGAATTTAGAGGATCAGCTTCCAGGAGCGATACCTCTCTAGTTATTAACATCGTCAATATCTTCCTTCTTGTGTACTGTAACGAAGGGAGTCCTCCACGAAGGGAATATACCACTGTCTAAAATCAAGTTAAATAACTTCAGACAGTTGTCTGTTAGTAAAGTGCCGGCTAGTAACGTACAAGTGCCTTCCCAGATACAACGTCCTGCTAGTCTATAAATATCCAACCCTGATGACACCCGAGATAAGAGTACAGGGACGAACTTATGCGCGAATATCACTGTTAAAGCGTGTTTCATCATAACATTCTTAGTTTACATACCTAAGGCATTTTTGTCAGCCTACATCTGTTCACGGTATATAGTCTCTGGTTCACTATATATTTATATATTGTGACGTCAAATTGCCAATTAATGCTGTCGCACATGCGCAAAATTAAACAACCTATGTCACACAGTACCAGGGCTATTTGCCGTGTCGTCTACTCAAATATATCACCAACAACAATTCATTTCACCGCAACACACCTGATATCGGAAATGCGCTATAACGAGGTGTCGAGCGACACTATCAAGATCTATTTTAACCTGTGCTGACGCTGCCATTTTTCGGTATTACACCTGATAGTACATAGGAACGCACGTGTACACAGGTCACGGACTCTGAAGGTAGATCTACACGGGAACCAGGTGAGTCATGCGTGTTTGACACTCGGCATAACACGACAGTCAATGGACACAGCAGTATATGTGAACATGCAGCTCTTTGTAGATTATTAGTTGTCATTGTCTAACTGACGTTTTTCATATGTTTTATTTCTTAACATGCAGTTTCAGTCGGAGATCTCCGGATCGCGGTCACGTTACCCCTGCCTAGAAACAACCTCGGCCGGAAACAACCTTATAACTCGCTGCAACGGTAAGTATAATTTAATTTGATTAACCTGTTCGATGGAGAAGCATGGAAATATCTTGATAGGCTCGGGGAAAATTTATGAAAATTACAGTACTTTATGTCATTTTACTGATAAAACATAGACTGAAAACAGAGAAAAATGTTTGCTGTATGAAATAGGGAAACGTCATTATTAAATCATGATCTGTGTCCTCGCCTAAAATACAAAATCTTCCTCCTCGGCGCCGCGACACTGACAACAAATCTGCAGAGTTACTCTAGATTAATGCGAGCTATACTTGAGCACAGGTATATATTGCACGGGTATTCAAATATTGTAGATAAGTCGGGCATAGTTATGTTACTGGGTGGGTTCGTACCGCAAGCGTCACTGTTCAGCCATCTTTGATAAGATTGTCCGAGGTCGAGCTCAGATACATGCCTCTTTCAAGACGTTCAACTGTTCAACTCATTTTGGACATTCGTAGAGGACCTGTTACTTATAGCTGCTTATTCGCCTTATTTAAGCCATTGTAATTATGTTTTATTGCAAATTAAAATTGTTTATTTCAATTTGTTGATTATTATTGATCTTGTGTGGTCATTTTCTGATTTCACAATTTATTTCTTTAGGAACCGATTTCTGGGTTAAGCAAACGGATTGGACGTTGAATACAGGTCCAAGTCATGCGTAACGAGAAAACATTTCTATATAAATTTAGTTTGATTTCCGATTCCGACAGTAGAACACTTGTACAGTACCAGACTGCACACATTGAGGCTTACATCGCATTGTGACCCGTGAAGATCCGGGGAAGAATAGGTCTTCAGCAACCCATTCTTGCCGTAAAAGGCGACTATGCTTGTCGTAAGTGGCGACTAACGGGATCGGGTAGTCAGGCTCGTTGACTTGGTTGATGGTCATCGTATCCCAATTGGTGTGGATCGATGTTCATGATGTCACTCTGATTGTCTGATCCAGACTCGATTATTTATAGACCTCCGTCATATAGCTTGAATATTGCTGAGTGCGGCGTTAAATAACAAACAAAATAACTCAAGTCCGTTCCAGCTAGCACAGTGGATGTATGACACCAAGAGATGGTGAACCAGTTAAAACCTCAGTCAGTTCCAGCTAGCACAGTGAATGTCATGCCCCAAGGAGATGACAACCTGCTAAAACAAACAAACAAACAAACAAACAAACAAACAAACAAACAAATTGGTCAGCGTTTCAGTTCTGTTACGGCGTTCATCACTTTGGTGAAAACTTACGAACATGGGTATGGTACACACCAGGAATCACTAACAGGGATTCGAAGCCAGTGATGATGAAAATTCAGCATTTCTTTCTCAGCTCGCGCCTTCATATATGAATTAATCAGAAGTGAATGTTCGTAGCATTACGTTGATTCCATTCAGCAATGGTATATTACTCATGACAAATGCACTTGTTTCTCAGAGAAGCATTTATGTGTTATTATTTAACAAAGTATGAGTGTTATGATGAACATGAAGTGTACAATTCACAGTTATGAGTAAAACACCAGTATTTCCCCAAGGAATGGAGTTGTAAACAATTGTATTCACTTACAAAAAACATGGGCATATTCTCTGAAAACACAAACGCTAATCATACTAAACACATACACAATGTGTGACGTACATCGATTCTTTACAGTGTAGCCTGTATTGGTTCCTTTCTATGTTGTAGGTAACCTAACATGCCGGGGATAAAACGTAAGGCATCACGTGCCTCGCCTTATGAACCGGTCAGTAAACTGACCAAACAGCGAACGTCCACTACAGTTAAACCTGTCAGGGAGAAATCCACCATGGTATGTAAGTGTGGTCAGCTGTAATGTGGGTATGAAAGGGGTGGTTAGCTGTGATGTGGGTATGTAAGGGGTGGGTAGCTGTGATGTGGGTATATAAGAGTGGTTAGACTGTGATTTGGGTATGTAAGGGGTGGGTAGCTGTGATGTGGGTATGTGAGGGATGTTCAGCTGTGATGTGGGTATGAAAGGGGTGGTTAGCTGTGATGTGGGTATGAAAGGGGTGGTTAGCTGTGATGTGGGTATGTAAGGGGTGGGTAGCTGTGATGTGGGTATATAAGAGTGGTTAGACTGTGATGTGGGTATGTAAGGGGTGGGTAGCTGTGATGTGGGTATGTGAGGGATGGTCAGCTGTGATGTGGGTATGAAAGGGGTGGTTAGCTGTGATGTGGGTATGTAAGTGGTGGTTAGCTGTGATGTGGGTATGTGAGGGGTGGGTAGCTGTAATGTGGGTATGAAAGGGGCGGTTAGCTGTGATGTAGGTATGTAAGGGGTGGTTAGCTGTGATGTGGGTATGTAAGGGGTGGTTAGCTGGGGGATATGGGTATGTAAGGGGTGGTTAGCTGTGATCTGGGTATGTAAGGGGTGGTTAGCTGTGATGTGGGTATGTAAGGGGTGGTTAGGTGTGATGTGGGTATGTAAGGCCGGTTAGCTGCGATGTAGGTATGTAAGGCCGGTTAGCTGTGATGTGGGTATGTAAGGGTGGTTAGCTGTGATGTGGGTATGTAAGGCCGGTTAGCTGTGATGTGGGTATGTAAGGGTGGTTAGGTGTGACGTGGGTATGTAAGAATAGTCAGCTGTGATGTTGGCATGTAAGGATGGCTAGCTGTGATGTGGGTATGTAAGGGTGGTTAGCTGTGATGTGGGTATGTAAGGGTGGTTAGCTATGATGTGGGTATATAAGAGCTGATCAGCTGTGATGTGGGTATGTAAGGGTGGTTAGCTGTGATGTCGGTATGTAAGGTGGTTAGCTGTGATGTGGGTATGTGAGGGATGTTCAGCTGTGATGAGGGCATGTAAGGGTGGTTAGCTGTGATGTGGGTATGTGAGGGATGTACAGCTGTGATGTAGGCATGTAAGGGTGGTTAGCTGTGATGTGGGTATGTAAGGGATGTACAGCTGTGATGTGGGTATGTAAAAGGGTTGTTAGCTGTGATGTCGGCATGTAAGGGTGGTTAGCTGTGATGTGGGCATGTAAGGGTGGTTAGCTGTGATGTGGGCATGTAAGGGCGGTTAGCTGTGATGTGGATATGTGAGGGTGGCTGGCTGTGATGTGGGTATGTAAGGGTTCGTTAGCTGTGATGTGGGTATGTGAGGATGGTCAGCTGTGATGTGGGTATGTAAGGCATGTACAGCTGTGATGTGGGTATGTGAGGGATGTACAGCTGTGATGTGGGTATGTAAGGGTTGTTAGCTGTGATGTGGGTATGTAAGATGTGGTTAGCTGTAATGTGGGTTTGTAAGGGATGGTTAGCTGTGATGTGGGTATGTAAGGGTGGTTAGCTGTAATGTGGGTATGTAAGGGTGGTTAGCTGTGATGTGGGTATGTAAGGGTGGTTAGCTGTGATGTGGGTATGTAAGGGGTGGTTAGCTGTGATGTGGGTATGTAAGGGTGGTTAGCTGTGATGTGGGTATGTAAGGGTGGGTAGGTGTGATGTGGGTATGTGAGGGATGTTCAGCTGTGATGTGGGTATGTAAGGGTGGTTAGCTTTGATGTGGGTATGTGAGGGATGTCCAGCTGTGATGTGGGTATGTAAGGGTGGTTAGCTGTGATGTTGGTATGTAAGGGGTGGTTAGCTGTGATGTGGGTATGTAAGGGTGGTTAGCTGTGATGTCGGTATGTAAGGTGGTTAGCTGTGATGTGGGTATGTGAGGGATGTTCAGCTGTGATGAGGGCATGTGAGGGATGTACAGCTGTGATGTAGGCATGTAAGGGTGGTTAGCTGTGATGTGGGTATGTGAGGGATGTACAGCTGTGATGTAGGCATGTAAGGGTGGTAAGCTGTGATGTGGGTATGTAAGGGTGGTTAGCTGTGATGTGGGTATGTAAGGGTGGTTAGCTGTGATGTGGGCATGTGAGGGTGGTTAGCTGTGATGTGGATATGTGAGGGTGGCTGGCTGTGATTTGGGTATGTAAGGGTTCGTTAGCTGTGATGTGGGTATGTGAGGATGGTCAGCTGTGATGTGGGTGTGTAAGGGATGTACAGCTGTGATGTGGGTATGTAAGGGTGGTTAGCTGTGATGTCGGTATGTAAGGTGGTTAGCTGTGATGTGGGTATGTGAGGGATGTTCAGCTGTGATGAGGGCATGTAAGGGTGGTTAGCTGTGATGTGGGTATGTGAGGGATGTACAGCTGTGATGTAGGCATGTAAGGGTGGTTAGCTGTGATGTGGGTATGTAAGGGATGTACAGCTGTGATGTGGGTATGTAAAAGGGTTGTTAGCTGTGATGTCGGCATGTAAGGGTGGTTAGCTGTGATGTGGGCATGTAAGGGTGGTTAGCTGTGATGTGGGCATGTAAGGGTGGTTAGCTGTGATGTTGATATGTGAGGGTGGCTGGCTGTGATGTGGGTATGTAAGGGTTCGTTAGCTGTGATGTGGGTATTTGAGGATGGTCAGCTGTGATGTGGGTATGTAAGGCATGTACAGCTGTGATGTGGGTATGTGAGGGATGTACAGCTGTGATGTGGGTATGTAAGGGTTGTTAGCTGTGATGTGGGTATGTAAGGGGTGGTTAGCTGTAATGTGGGTTTGTAAGGGATGGTTAGCTGTGATGTGGGTATGTAAGGGGTGGTTAGCTGTAATGTGGGTATGTAAGGGTGGTTAGCTGTGATGTGGGTATGTAAGGGTGGTTAGCTGTGATGTGGGTATGTAAGAGCTGGTTAGCTGTGATGTGGGTATGTAAGGGTGGTTAGCTGTGATGTGGGTAAGGGGTGGTTAAACTGTGATGTGGGTATGTAAGGGGCGGTTAGCTGTGATGTGGGTATGTAAGGGTGGTTAGCTGTGATGTGGGTATGTAAGGGTGGTTAGCTGTGATGTGGGTAAGGGGTGGTTAAACTGTGATGTGGGTATGTTAGGGGTGGTTAGGTGTGATGTGGGTATGTGAGGGATGTTCAGCTGTGATGTGGGTATGTAAGGGGTGGTTAGCTTTGATGTGGGTATGTGAGGGATGTTCAGCTGTGATGTGGGTATGTAAGGGGTGGTTAAACTGTGATGTGGGTATGTAAGGGCTGGTCAGCTTTGATGTGGGTATGTAAGGGTGGTTAGCTGTGATGTTGGTATGTAAGGGGTGGTTAGCTGTGATGTGGGTATGTAAGGGTGGTTAGCTGTGATGTCGGTATGTAAGGTGGTTAGCTGTGATGTGGGTATGTGAGGATGGTCAGCTGTGATGTGGGTATGTAAGGGATGTACAGCTGTGATGTTGGTATGTGAGGGATGTACAGCTGTGATGTGGGTATGTGAGGGTTGTTAGCTGTGATGTGGGTATGTGAGGGTGGCTGGCTGTGATGTGGGTATGTAAGGGTGATTACCTGTGATGTGGGTATGTAAGGGTGGTTAGCTGTGATGTGGATATGTGAGGGTGGCTGGTTGTATGTGATGCTGCGGTATAGATCAGTGTAACGTGACACCTAGACATAGAGAGTTCCTTGTTGTGTGTTACAGGCATACGAGGATGAAGTCCGGGGACGCCACGGGGGAGGGGCCATCAATAAGGATCTGGAGGGACTGTTCGGGACGCTGACAGATGACACTGACCCGCCTGGGCTGACATTAAAGCAAGTCCCCTCTAAGTCCTTGTTTGAAACCAAGACAGGCATCCAAAAGGCGAGACTGAAAGCAGCTGTGAAGGCGGAGATCAAGGGCTCTGAGAAAACCAAACGTAAAGCAAAAAAGAAATCAATAGGAGGAAACACGAGTACTATGTTTCATTTGGTAAAGATCAACATATCAAAGGTATGGAGTGAGTGAGTGAGTGAGTGACTGATTAGGGTTATACGCCGCCTTTAGCAATAGTCCAGCAATATTACGGCGGGGACACCAGAAGTGAGTTTCAAACCATTTCCCAATTTTGGAAATTAAACCCGGGTATTCGGTGTGACGAGCGAACGCTTTATCAACTGGGCAACCTCCCCCTAAATGTATGGAGATGAAGAATATTGTTTCATTAAGTCAGATAACAGGTCCATAAGTGAATGTTCTTAAGCGCTGCAACGTCTCAGCTATATTAGGGCAGGTGCTACAAATAGTCTGTACCAGGCAAACCAAAACCAATTACTGAAAATATCATAAAGATCCACGCTATCGTCTATGATGACAGGTCGTCAGGAAGTACTTGGGGTCTGACCCGAAATCCCACAGCATGTTGGTATCCCCTTGAAATGAATTAATTTCATTATCATTTCAGAAGTTCCTACGTGAAAATGTAAGCGACAGGGACTTCAAATTCTCCAACGACGATGGCTGCGAAGATCCCTTGCTGAACGACATGAACTGGACGGACTGGAAGCGCGCTATCTACCCCGTCAAGACTAAGCTCCACTCACCACTACCCACGTCTTTTCGCTTCATTAAACGAATATTCAGAGGTGCTAACGGATACGTGATGGCAGACCTATTCGACTGGAAGCACAACATTATGGCTATCTACGAACTCGGCGTACGACCTCCTGCAACCAATCGCATCTACGCGACGCTGTTTACATCTTCAAAGGGGTTTATGAACCATGAAAGATGGGATTCAGTCCTGTTGAAGAACAAACGCGTGTTCCAGGCGGTGAGCAGTGTTGTGGCACGAGGAGGACAGATCTTTGTCAGGCGAGCTGTGTACCCTCCAGGCAATAACATTTGGTTCCCGTATACTATCAAGCGCATCGACGAAATATTTGACTATGCCTGGAACAGGCCCGACCTAGTGGGTGAAAATTTCAGAACCATTGAAAAAGACAGTTTTCTCATCAGGGGTATCGAAATGCTTCCGAAGACTCCAAAGAAGAAGACGACAATCAAGAATACTGTCATCTCTAAGGGTAAACGCGCTTCAAAAATGGCAAAAACAGATGATGTAATGAAATCAAAGACCAAAACCAAAACCACTAAAGCGGCAGCTAAGAAAGCCCAACCAACTGAAAAGACAAAAACACCCACTAAAAAGGTCAAACCAACTGAGAAGACAAAAACACCCACTAAAAAGGCCAAACCAACTGAGAAGACAAAAACACCCACTGAAAAGGCCAAACCAACTGAGAAGACAAAAACACCCACTAAAAAGGCCAAACCAACTGAGAAGACAAAAACACCCACTGAAAAGGCCAAACCATCTAAGGAGACAAAAGCATCCGCAAAAAAGAATGGTTAAAGGTAGCTACATATACTTAATAATACTTGAATACTGTTCAACTGTCATGTTATTTTGATATTACTTGAACAACTAACTGGGAAACTATAGCTATCACCAGCACCTTCATCAGCATCTTCACCAACATACTGGATGTTCACAGAGGAATACATCGCCATATGGACGAGACGCGATTGTGCTAAATAACATTTTAATGATATAAACATGATTTAAAATGCAAAAGTTTAAAAACAACAACAACACGATTCTTGAAAATTATTGTCAGTTGGAATTTAATAAAAAGACTGAAGCATGTAACAAAAATAACATAAATAAGTAAACACAGTCTGTGAAGTCTTTGATGAGCGGTTACATGAACCAAGAAATTAAAAAACCCGCTTTAGTGAAAACATAGCTGGCATCTCCAGATGAACGAGTGCTTGAGTGAAAACATGACTGGCATGTCCAGGTGATCGAGTGCTTTAGAGACAAAATAGCTGGCATGTCCAGATGAACGAGTGCTTGAGTGACAAAATAGCTGACATGTCCAGATGAAAGAGTGCTTTAGTGAAAACATGACTGGCATGTCCAGGTGATCGAGTGCTTTAGAGACAAAATAGCTGGCATGTCCAGATGAACGAGTGCTTTAGTGAAAACATAGCCGGCGTGTCCTGGTGATCGAGTACTTTTGTGAAAACATGACTGACATGTCCAGGTGAACGAGTGCTTTAGTGAAAACATAGCTGGCGTATCCAGGTGAACGAGTGCTTTTGTGAAAACATGACTGACATGTCCAGATGATCGAGTGCTTTAGTGAAAACATAGCCGGCGTATCCAGGTGACCGAGTACTTTTGTGAAAACATAGCTGGCATGTCCAGGTGAACGAGTGCTTTAGTGAAAACATAGCTGGCGTGTCCAGGTGAACGAGTGCTTTAGTGAAAACATGAGTGGCGTGTCCAGGTGAACGAGTGCTTTAGTGAAAACATGAGTGGCATGTCCAGGTGAACGAGTGCTTTAGTGAAAACACAGCTGGCGTGTCCAGGCGAATGGGTGCTTTGGTGAAAACATGACTGACATGTCCAGATGATCGAGTGCTTTTGTGAAAACATGACTGACATGTCCAGATGATCGAGTGCTTTTGTGAAAACATGACTGGCATGTCCAGGTGAACGAGTGCTTTGGTGAAAACATGACTGACATGTCCAGATGATCGAGTGCTTTTGTGAAAACATGACTGGCATGTTCAGGTGAACGAGTGCTTTTGTGAAAACATGACTGACATGTCCAGATGATCGAGTGCTTTAGTGAAAACATGACTGACATCTCCAGGTGCACGAGTGCTTTAGTGAAAACAATACTGGCATGTCCAGGTGAACGAGTACGCTAGTGTTAATCAATATTGTCGTGTTCAAGCAACAAAGAACGTACACTCGTGCAGACGTTATGATTCAATATACAACTCCTGTGTCCTTGTGAGCTGGTTGGAACTTTATTTCCGATCGGCAGCAAACTCATAACTGGTGGTCGCCCCTTCGAGGTGCTATGCTTTGTGATGTATCACTATAGTCAATGTCTTAAGCGACTCGTATCGCATTTGTTGTAAGCGACTTCCTGTCATAGAGACGCGCAATAAACGTCTTCCGGACCCCGCCATACTTGTGATCGTCAGTTTATTTGTTTGTTAGTTGTTTAACGCCGCACTCAGCAATATTCCTATATGAAGGAGGTCTGTGAGTAATCGAGTCTGGACCAGACAATCCAGCGAATGACAACATGAGCATCGATCCAAGCAATTGGGATCGATGACATGCATGATGCCATCAACCAAGTCAGCGAGCCTGACCTCCCGATCCCGTTAGTCGCCTCCTACGACAAGCATAGTCGCCTTTTACGGCAAGCATGGGTTGGTGAAGACCTATTCTAGCCCGGATGTTCACGGGCCTGTGATCGTCAGTATATATAACATTCCTCACTATATACAGAATACAGACACGTGCGCCCTCTGCAGAGCAGCAGAAGCGAGATATGCCATGTCTGGTATTTGAAATCATTCGTGCAGCCCGTAACTGTCGTTTGCGTAGTCCCATGTTAACCATTTCGAAGTTGCTTGATCAGAAAACACATGCGGAAGTGCACAAACTTCCACGTTGGCGATCTCGTCAGCGACACTGTGATTGGTCGGAGGCGAGGTCGTTCTGACGTGACCTGTATAAATGGAATGTCCTCATATCTTTGTGCAGCGGTACTGAGCACTAAGATCTGATTTTAACGATATTGTCCAACTGCTCTTATAGTCTGAAGACGTAAAAATAGTATAGGGTATGGGCTATCCCTTTTGGGAGGTGATCTTCTATAACACACTGGCGATAGTCTGCTTAAAATATTTATAGACTTTATATGAAGTCAAGACCTGTGTTTATGGACCCGACTAAAAACCCGGTTTTGACCGAGGACGAAGTCTGATGTCAAAATTGCTGTTTTCGGGTAAATAACATGTATTAACCTCATATAAAGTCTATATAATTGTTTAATAATAAAAAAAGAGAGACAAAGGTAGATTCAACACATTTAACCATACTGTGTTCAAGGAGCTTTAACAGCAGGTATTCATGAACTACATGTAGGTCTCCAGCCACCCAAGTTTGCCGTAAAAGCTGACTATGCTCGTCGTAAGATAGATCGGGTGTTCAGGCTCGCTGACTTGTTCGATTCATGGCATCGCATCCCAATCGCGTGGATCGATGCTCATGATGTAAATCACTGGATTGTCTGGTCCAGACTCGATTATTTACAGACCGCCATCATATACATGAAATATTGCCGAGTTCGGCGTTAAACAACAAACAAACAAACAAATTAAAGGTATTCATGAATCAATAGGGTAATGACTATGTCCGGACCCGATCTGAAGACTACCCCAGCCGACGCCAGCCGATCCATAGCTGTAGCACAGCACCATTGGAGCGAATATGGTTTTGAACACGCCACTGGTAACATGTCTTAGTCTTTAGTTATTCACATCAGTCTGACACAACGACATAAGAATCTGGCATTGAAGCTATGGCGTTACGACCGGTGCCACGTCTCTCAAATGGGCAGCCTGACGGGCACTACGGTATGACGTAAGGGTCATGGTTTGGTGTGCTTTCTTTGGGATAGGCCGTCTCAACGTTGCCGGATACCGTACCAGCAGCTGAGCTGACCCAGGAGGTACTGTTCTTCATGGCAACTCACGACCCAGGCCTAACCCTTTAACACCGCATACGGCCAGACCCCCCGCCACCCCCCCCCCCCCCCCCCCTCAAACACACACACACACACACACATACACGCATGTATGTCCGGACTGTTACCCTGCTTGGTGCTCGGCATTAAGGGGCTAAAACGAGGACTGGTTGGCTCGGAGTCAGTATACTGTGTGGGGTATTCATGTTAAACTGCGGCATGGTATCTCTGTGTGCTAGCACTTTAAATTGGCATCAGTCCGGACTTGGTGCCGCGCTATGGCGCCCTATCCGTACTGCAGTGTTCACGCCCCAGACAGTCAGTGAAGAGGTGTTTTATTGCTGTTGTGGGCGCACGGAGGACATACAAACTCCTGAACTACCTTCTTCATCACTTTCTTCTGTCATTTGCAAAGTGGCCAAGGTGAAACTGTACTGAAGTTTTTAGGTTGACTCATTATATGTTAGCTGCAATAACGTTGGGGTTTTCCAACAATCACAAGCATCTAATTGGCTTCGGTTTGGGGAATGCCACTGCCACTACCACTATGTATCTCAGACAATATACCAAGTCTCAAACTGTAACATCTTGGACGGAAATTATTTCATCTGAAAACTTTTATGTTATATGTTACACATGGTTGTATTTAAAGTCCGACCGCAAAGATAAACTTAAGCGAGTACATGATTGGCACGTGCAGTTGATGCAATCAAATATTGTCTGTATTATGGGACTTTTATTGAATAAGCTGTCTGTCTGTCTTATCAGACTTGACATGAGTCCCTATGCGTTGTCCAGTAACACCTGACCTGTTCTTGGCCAATAAAGGAGGTTGAAAAACCCTCGTATTATTAAATAAAGCTCTACTTTCGAAGGGAAGCAACTCTGTGACCTTTGGGTAGCACGTGCCTGCATGTTTTTCGACTGATGTCTTACAACTAATTGTTAAGTTTGTGTGTTTGTTGGTTTGTTTGCTTGTTGTTTAACGCCGCACTCAGCAATACTCCAGCTAAACGATGTCAGTCTGTAAAAAAATGGAGTCTGGACCAGACAGACCAGAACAGCAACGATCTACGCAATTGGATACGATGACATGCATCAACCGATTGAGGGAGCCTGACCACCCGATTCCGTTAGTCGCCCCTTACGACAAGCATGGCTTGCTGAAGACCAATGGGCCAGAGTGTTATATTTCGGTTTTATAATGGCATGTTAGCTTAATGTAGGAGGAAAGCCCATTGTAATACAGGTTGTATGCATAAAATACCACTCTGGTGAATGAGTAAGTGAGTGAGTGAGTGTTGTTTTACGTTGCATTCGCAATACTTGTATTCCTGCAATATCTGAGAGGCGGAACAGCAAAATGGCCTTAGAACCCGTCTTCAGTGTGCCGACCGAACGCTTTAACTTCTGGGATCCGCGGCGCCGCATCTGCTTGGTGAAACTCACTAGCACTTCAGATCGAGACCACCGTCTCCGTGGTCTAGTGGTAGAGCGTCCGCCCGGAGAGCGGAAGGTCCGGGGTTCGATCCCCAGCCGCGTCATACCGAAAGACGTTAAAAGATGGTACTTGTTGTTACCCTGTCTGGCGCTCGGCATTAAGGGGCTAAAACAAGGACTGGTCGGCCCGGAGTCAGTATACTGTGTCTGAGTGGGGTATTCATGTAAAACTGCGGCATGGTATCTCAGTGTGCTAGCACTATAAATCGGCATCAGTCCGGACTATTACAAGCACACACACACACACACACACACCGCTATATAAGTGCAATAATCTTGGACGCGACGTTAAACCCCATTTCACCTCACCTCACCTCAGATCGAGACCGGGTCGAATCTGGCATTCGAGAGAAGAATCAGCAGACCTACTGGACTGACCAAGTTGTCCATATTCCACACCCTTACTGGTGTGGGTGATGTGCAATTTCTGCATCGCTGAAGCATTTTCAGAGAGTTGTCATCACATCTCTTTATGAAGAAAAAGACTCGAGTTTCTTTTCGATTACATTTTTTTATCTACAAAAACATGAGAAAACAGTATATATAAAAAATAGAAAATCTCATCCGAGTGTCTTCCGAGGTCAAATATATCAACACGCGTTGATAAAAGTTATCCAAAGGCTTGCCGAGGATATTTTTTTTTTTATCACCAAGTCTTGATGTAATTTATCTTGGAAGACACGATGATTAGATTCTAGTTATTATCTAAATTGTTCTGTTATAATAATTCTGTTCTGTAATAACAAGTGTCATGTTATTAATAGTACACCTACATCAGACACTGCTGCCTTGTCAATGTACATTCAGTTAATGAATATGATTCTTGACACTCATGAATCCTTTATATGAAAATTAGTAAACATGGTTTGCCGTGTAAACACAAAACATTCAACAATATACACGCATTCACCTGGAGTTCCGCCCACCAAAGATTTCCCATTTCATTACAGTGTTGAGGAGTATTCAGTAATTAATAAAATCCTTTCCTTTCTTCTTTTGCATGCCAAAGGACAATGCTTTTCGGGTATCATGTTGTTTTCAATCCATGCATCATGGAAACAAACCCGAAAACCAAGTTGAAGTTGGAATCCAACATGCAGACTTCAGAATGCAATGAACAAAGGCAGCACCTCCGATAAAAATGTATGTTAACAAGACGTGCGACCATCTCTATCAAAAGGTACAATATATCTAAATAGATCGGTATTTTTAAATAATGGAAATGAAAGAAGGCATTGTTGGTCATGAATGGGATGCTACAATGCTTTTCATTGTTTTAAATCAGTATTCCACCCAAGTCATGTGATTTATCTGAAAATGTAAAGTTATTTAGCACTATGGCGTCTAGCCCCCATGGCTATGTATTCCTCTGTGAGCATCCAGTATGTTGGTCGAGATGCTGATGAAGGTACTGGTGCTCTAGTCTCCCTGATGATATCAAAATATATATAAAATGGCAGTTGAACACTATTAATTCAGTCTATTTAGCTGCCTTCTTTCCTTTGCCTTTTGCTTTTTTAGCGGGTGTCTTTGTCTTCTTAGTCGGTTTGGCTTTTTTAGCTGCCGTTTTATTGGTTTTGGGTATATTCTTTGGTTTCTTTACAGAAGCTGCCTTTGTTTCTTTAGATGCGCTTTTACCCTTAGAGGGGGCAGCTTTTTTGGGTGTCGTCTTCTTCTTAGGAGTGTTGCGAACCTTTCTGACACCACTGATGATAAAACCACTTCTTTCAATGGTTCTGAACGTTTCACACGCTTTCGTGCGCCTGTTCCATGCATAGTCAAATATTTCGTTGATGCGCTTGATTGTATCCGGGAACCAAATGTCATTGTCGGAAGGATACACAGCTCGCCTGACAAAGATCAGTCCCTTCCGTGCGATAACACTTCTCACCGCCTCCAACACTTGTTTGTTCCTCAACAGGAATGAATCCCATGAATGATTGTTCTTAAACCCGTTTGAAAATTTAAACAGCGTCGTGTAGATGCGCTTCCGATTGGTCCCAGGAGGTCGTACGCCGAGTTCGTAAATTGCCTGGACATCGTGCTTCCTCTTGAACAAATCGGCCCTCACGTATCCGTCAGCTGCTTTGAATGTCCGCTTATTGCCACGGACGGACCTGGACTTTGAGTAGAGAGGTATCTTGGCGGGGTAGATTGCGCGCTTCCAATTCGTCCAGTCCATGTCGACCAGCAATGCATCTTCGAAGCCATCGTCATTGGAGCCGAAGACGAAGTTCTTGTCGTTTACATTTTCACGTAGGAACTTCTGAAATAAGGATGCCATTAATTAGAGGACATTAAAACACTTCAACGGGATACGAACATGTTTAGGTTTGGAACTCCGCGAACGGTCCCGAGTAACTCATGCTTATCATAAGAGCTACCTAAAATAGGACTGCTTGGTCAACTACATTGCTGATTGCTCGCCATCAAAGTAGTTGATATTTGATATAATATTTTTAGGAAATGGTTCGTCTGGTCCAGTTCGCTTAATTACAGACAGCCATCATGCCGGAATATTGCTACGTGCGGTTCCAAACACTATTCACTAACGTATTTGTCTTCTTTCTTCATGAAGGAGGCACGGGTGGCCCAGTCGTCTAAGGCGCCGCGATTCGCTGTGCAGAGTTGCGTCCCTTAGGCACGCCAGAAACCTATGATTGTGGGTTCGAATCCCGGTTCGCCCCGATTACGTTTCTAGGTTTGGCAGCACCATACCCGTGCTCGTGGGTTTCACCGAAGTGGTAAACGTCTGAGACCTGCATCACTTCGGGCTTCTCACCCACATTAAGCTGACACGCCGTGATATAACTGGAATAATGTTAAAAGCGGCGTTAAACCCAACTCACTCACTCACTCACTCTTTCTTCATGAAACAAAAATTTCCGTCTCCATACCTTAGATTCTTTTGCCTTCGCCTTTGGCTTTTTCGTTTTCTTTGCTCCTCCTTTTTTCTTTGCCGTTTTTGCTTTAGGTTTGGTTTTCCCAGCGCCCTTGACCTTCTTAGCCGCGCCTTTAGCCTTCACCACCGCTTTCAGTTTCTTCAGGGCTGTGGCTTTCGGAATACCCTTCTTGACCCCTGTCATTACGGGTTTTGATGATGTCAACCCTGAAAGGCCAGTGTCATCTCTCAGGGTCCCAAACAATCCCTCCAGATCTTTATTGATGGCCCCTCCTCCGTGGCGTCCCCGAACTTCATCCTCGTATGCCTGTAACACACAACAAGGAACTCTCACTGTATAAGTGACACGTTACACATACTAATACTACAGCCTCAAAGATAACCACAAACCCGTAATACTTACATAACAGTTGACCAGTCTCACATGCCAACATCACAGCTGACCATCACTTACATGCCCACATCACAGCTGAACATCACTTACATACCCACATCACAGCTGACGATCCCTTACATACCCACATCACAGCTAACCACCTCTTACATACCCACATCACAGCTGACCATCCCTTACATGCCCACATCACAGCTGACCATCTCTTACATACCCACATCACAGCTGACCATCCCTTACATACCCACATCACATTTGACCATCCCTTACATACCCACATCACAGCTGACCATCCCTAACATACCTACATCACAGCTGATCATCCTTTACATGCCCGCATCACAGCTGACCATCCCTAACATAACTACATCACAGCTGAACATTCCTTACATACCCACATCACAGCTGACCATCCCTCACATGCCCAGATCACAGCTGACCATCCTCACATACCCACATCACAGCTAACCACCCCTTACATGCCCACATCACAGCTGAACATCCCTTACATACCCACATCACAGCTAACAACCCTTACATACCCACATCACAGCTAACCACCCTCACATGCCCACATCACAGCTGACCATCCCTTACATACCCACATCACAGCTGACCACACTCACATACTCACATCACAGCTGACCAGCTCTTACATACCCACATCACAGCTAACCACCCTTACATACCCACATCACAGCTGACCATCCCTCACATGCCCACATCACAGCTGACCATCCTCACATACCCACATCACAGCTAACGGCCCCTTACATGCCCACATCACAGCTGAACATCCCTTACATACCCACATCACAGCTGAACATCCCTTACATACCCACATCACAGCTAACAACCCTTACATACCCACATCACAGCTAACCACCCTTACATACCCACATCACAGCTGACCATCCCTTACATACCCACATCACAGCTGACCATCCCTCACATGCCCACATCACAGCTGACCATCCCTTACATACCCACATCACAGCTGACCATCCCTTACATACCCACATCACAGCTGACCATCCTCACATGCCCACATCACAGCTGACCATCCCTTACATACCCACATCACAGCTGACCATCCCTTACATACCCACATCACAGCTGACCATCCCTTACATACCCACATCACAGCTGACCATCCCTTACATGCCCACATCACAGCTCACTATTCCTTACATGCCCACATCACAGCTGACCATCCCTCACATACCTACATCACAGCTGATCATCCCTTATATGCCTACATCACAGCTGACCATCCCTGTATCAAGTCACTCACTCACCTCGAGGAAGTCTGCTCCCCTCTCTCTGTAGCAGATAGCCATAATCATGTCGAAGATGTTTGAGAACTGATCCAGTTGCAAGTGGCGACCCATAGTGATGCGGGTCATTTCTTTGAAGAAGGTTCCTGACTCACTGTTTGACCCGGACTGTACACCATAGATGCGGACGCCCTGTAAGAAGAAACGTCACAATTGGTTAACCTACTCGTTTACCTCGACAAGAAGTAGAAAATTAAATGACTTAATGCTGATTACAACTGACTGTATGATTAAATAATCGAGTTTGGATTTTCCACCTCAACCAAAAAGCACTATTACATTGCACATTTTAACAGTGACTGTACTTTGTGTCCGTGACGTGTATATCCCACATACCATATCTCTCAGAGCCCTGCACTCTGTCTTCCAGTCAATGTTCTCCTCATTCTGAGGATCATCCGCCTCGTGGGGGGTGGCGTCCCCGATCATCACCAGAGAACGCTGACTTCCTGGGGTCCAGGACAGAACGCTCTGACAGCGTCTCAACACCACTTCGTAGGCCTCGGGGAAGTCACCACCTCCGGTACCCTTTACGTCTTTAACGAACTTGCAGATCTCGGGGGTGGAGGCGCCAAAGTCGATCCACTGAACAACGTAGTTGCTGGCGTCGCAGTAGTCGCCATGGGCGAAGATGCCGATGCGAATGCCAGGGATGTCTGCCTGGAGACGCTGAACCATGTCCTGGATTTGGCTTCGGACCTGGTCCAGACAGCTGCCAAAACAAGAACATAGTGCTAAGTAATAACAAGTTAACTATAAAGGCGGCAGTTTGTTGTCTCGCTCATTGTTTTGCCCTTCAGGAGAAAGAGATTTTCCACAGGTATCTAGATTTTCTCGACACGCGTAAAGCAAGATTATTATTTATCTTTAGAAATTCATTGGCTTGATTGTGTTCCCAGCCCCGAGTGAAACAACAAAATGTAGTCAACAGTTTAAAATGCCAACAAACACAGCCACTTAGCAAAAGTGGCATTTCTATTCCAATATTGTCCAACTGTTCCACAATGTTTCTAAATCTGTAAGAATCAATGTTCTATTGAATAACTCCAGTTGAATATATTCCACACAAAGTCTTAACTCAGAGCCTTCTAAAAATCTTCCAAGGACAATACCTTTTCTGATATGCAATTGTTTCAAATGAAATGAACTTCAGCTTTCAGTATGGTCGATCAAAGTTACAACAAGCTCAACATTTAAAACTATGGCAAATGTTTTTTTAAGTCCCTTCACAAACTACACATGAACCAAACATAATGACCAAGTAATGGCCATCAATAGCCTGCTGTGGTGGTCATATTAAAAATCGGATTCATACGTCTTGAACAAATTCAGGCGTTATATGTAGTGGGAGCATGGCTGTGAAGTTTCAGCTTTGGTCCAGCGGTTTTTGTAAAGATGTTTATATGCGCCGTCGGACGCCAGACAAGCAGGCTACGGCATAAGCTCAGTTGACTTTCAATCAGGTTGGCTACAAAATGGTCGACCCCCTCACCTGTACATGGAGCCTGTTGTATCAAATGAGAAGACGATCTCCATGAGTCCCCCAGGTGGAAGGGGGATGTCCACTACGACTGCACCGTCACCATCCTCTTCATCATCAGCAGCTGCAGCTTCTTCAGCGGCGGCACTGATGAGGCTGGCAGACTTCTCCTTCGTCAGCGACGGTTTGGACAGAGACTTACTGAGACTGAGAACCTTCTCCAAAGCGACTCCAGTTTCGGACCCCGCTTTCGACGACTTGGACTTGGACTTGGACGACGACTTGCTGAGAGATGGGACGTCTCCACCGCCGATGACGATGCTGCCTCCTCTGCTGATGCTCTTACAGATGAGGGGCGTCTTGGTACTGGTGGATGTCTTGGACAATTCCTTGCTTATTGCTGCAGGTGCTTCAGAGAAACTAGTGGTGCGACCGACAGTTGACCCAGAAGCCAACCGGGTCAAGGTCGTAACTCTATCGTCACCTTCAACGATGGAGGCGGTTTTAGGCAGTGAAGGGGCAGTAACGACCTCGCCTACAACAACAGACCCTTTCTTTGACAAACTCTTCTTGCCAGAGAGAGGTGAAGCCGACTCGGGTTCTTTATCTTCGAGGGTAAGGGTGGGGGCCCTTCTCAATCCCGGGGGAGGGGACGCGTCTCCTGATCCTCCGGGGCTGGCGCTTTCTTTCGTCGTTTTTCTTTTAAGACTTGGCCATTTTGGTAGAGGCAGCGGTGGTCGGATGGTGGATTTCTCCCTGACAGGTTTCACTGTGGTGGACGTTCGCTGTTTGGTCAGTTTACTGACTGGTTCATAAGGCGAAGCACGTGATGCCTTACGTTTAATCCCCGGCATGTTGCTAGGTTACCTACAACACAGAGAGAAAACCAATACAGGCTACGCTCGAAACAATCGATGCGCTAGTGTTTTCTGAGAATATGTCCATGTTTTATGGGTGAACGCCATTGTTTACCATTCCATTCTTTCAGGAAATACTGGTGTTTCACGCATAGCTCATTCTGAATTGTACACTTCATGTTCAAGCTGACGGCCACTTCACTCACCAGCATCATGCAACCCTTCCTTTGTTAGCACAGAGGTGGCTCGTTCGCTGCTTACGGGGAACATCCAGGTTCAAACCTCAACTTAGGAGCTCCGCAGTGTTATATACATCTTCCCGAGACAAGACAATAAACTGACTGTAAAAGTCCAGTTTCCACCCTTGCCGATTTAGACCGGAATTTTTGGGCTCGATCGTAGCGCCACCAGTGGCTATTACGAGTTATGGCCCTTCTATTTCCTGCCGTATGAGGCGACTAACGGGATCGGGTGGTCATGTTCGCTGTCTTGGTTGATGCATGTCATCGTATCCCAATTGCGTAGATCGATGCTCATGATGTCAATCACCATATTGTCTGACTCCATTATTTACAGACCGCCGTCATATAGCTGGAATATTGCTGTGTGCGGCGTTAAGTGAGTGAGTGAGTAAGTGAGTATGGTTTTACGCCGCTTTGAGCAATATTCCAGCACTATCACGGCGGGGGACACCTGAAATGGGCTTCACACAGTGTACCCATGTCGGGAATCGAACCCGGGTCTTCGGCGTGACGAGCGAACGCTTTAACCACTAGGCTACCCGACCGCCCCAAGTGCGGCATTAAACAACAAACAAAACATTGTAGGCAGTCTGGCGCTATGTAAGTGTACTACTATCGGAAATCAATTTCAACCCATGGCAACCTCATAGACATATGTTCTTGTTACGCGTGATGGTACCCGTTCTCAACGCCCAGTCCTTGTGTTTTGTTGTCAAGGGAGATTTAAGATAAATGCCAACTGTTACGAGGGGAGTTTCACCCTGAGACGTAAATGCTAACCCAGAAATCGGTTCGTACAGAAATACACCATGAAATCAATAAATGACCATACCAGATCAATCACTGATCGATAAATTATATTAAACACAGTTTTTGTTTTAGACTAAAATAATCGATACACCATGGGTCAAATAAGGGGAGCAGCAATGGGTAGGGGTCCTGTAATAGAAGTCAGTGCACTCAAGAATGTCCAGTCCTTGTCCCTTTGTCCCGATGTATTTGTGATTTGGTTGTCAATGGAAACTGGAGATCAATGACAAGCTATACGTGCAACCGCCTTGTACCTGAGCCCTAACTCAAACAACATGAACAAGTATGGTTCAACAACGATACAAACCCAACTAGCGTAATTATGTCCGACTTCTGAGTAAACCTTATACCTGCACATAATTTGAAATTAGATACGTGTGCTCAGATATAGCTCGTATCATGTTATATCAAGTTAATCTGCTGGTTTCTATTCAGTGTCCGCTCCTTGCAGACAGACATATTTTGTTGTTTAACTGGAGACACAGTTTATGATTTGATAGTGGCGCTTCCCTATTTAATACAGCTGACGTGTCACGAGTGAAATGACAAAGAGCATTTTAAACCAAGCGTGGCAATATATTTTCTTAATTCTCTCCGACACTAATATGACTTACCCTTCCCGGGGTTATAATGTAGGAATTAACAAACGCCGATAACAGCCACTACATGTTTTAGGTAAGCATTGCTGGTGATATGCTCTAACATACGGGATTATGACGGAGTAGGGCGGGCTGTGTGGCGGGGTGTACTATATGTGTGTAACCAGCGGACACCTTGGCGTCGTCTTCACTGTCGGGTTCTCCCATATTTAAGTATGGATTATCAACAACCACGTGCATCACGTGGATGAAACTGTTAGTGTTTTATTGAGGTGCATGTTGGAAAAACGTTACCGTGAAATAACCCACACAAATTCAACATTCCAAAATGGAGATTTGTCAGTGGGTTAACGTGACCGCGATGTGGCGATCCCCACTGAAACTGCAAGTAAAGCTATAAAACATATGAAAAAAAAGAAAATTAAACAATTAAAAATAATAACTGGTAAGATTAACGTCCATGTCATTGAGTATAACTCTGCCGGTGCCACGCCCCTCTACAAAGAGCTGCATGTTCCCAGCGATAGTTCACATATACTGCTGTGTCCATTGTCTGTTGTGTTATGCCGAGTATCAACAAGCAGGACTCACCTGGTTCCCGTGTAGATCTAACTTGGGAGTCCCTGTGCTATATACACGTGCGTTCCTATATACTATCAGGTGTAATAACGAAGACTGGCAGCGTCAGCAGAGGTTAAAATAGATCACGTGCGTGTTCAAGTCTGAGCTTGATAGTATTGCTCAACACCTCGTTATAGCGCATTTTACGATATCAATTGTATTTGCAGTATATCTGGTGAATAGGTAGCGATGAAATGAATTGTTGTCGGTGATCTATATGTGTATCAAGACTTAAACTACAATAAGCCGTATATTGGTAAATGTAAATATTGCGTTAAAAGGAGACAACACGATAAACAGCCTTGGTACGCTAACTGTGTGACAAAGGTCGTTTGATTTTGCGCATGTGCGATAGAATTATTTGACACTGTCACGTTACACTTACTAGATACACAATACTATAAGTATACAGCGAACAAATACTAGCTAGCCAGAATGCTTTAGGTTTGAAAACTGGCAGTTATCACGATAATAGGCTCATAAATATACTAAATTATAAATATTTGCTTTTCTATACATTTGTTTATGTTTTAAATACATTTGTGAATTACATATCTGCTGAATTATATTCATTTTTTACAGTTCCTTTTACCGATATTTATTAAGAGTTTTAGCCAATGCGTGTGACGGATAATCAGTCAGTTTTGTACAGCTGCAAACCCATATATATTTTTAAATAAAACTATGAGTCTAATTATATTTATTTAAAGAAAACATCTGGCAACAATGTATTATTTGTGAGGCATTTTTTTATTTTCAACTGTCTGAAGCATAATTATTTTTTTCATGCATTTTCTGGGACAATGTAGTTTTTTCGATAAAATCTCACAACAGAAAGTAATATCTATAGTGAATGTTGTTAATTCTGATGTTGAACATTGCCACGTGCATGTATTAGTTAATATACATTTATGCGTGTATTAATCGGCCACAACTAGACCATGGAGGCGGTCCTCAATACAAAGGGGCGAGAACCAAAGACTAAAACTCAAGTCGTCAAAGACGCCGTTTTATGATGATTCCTTCCATTTTAGATGGAATATTAAATTCATATTTTCACTCAAAACTGTAAAGAGTGTTTGTTCTACAACCCTCTATAGTTAAATGAGCATTTGGCACGATAGTCAATAAGTTTTGTTTGTTTGTTGTTTGTTGACAAAATTGACAAAATGATTATGATATATTGAATATAAATTGACATTCTAAGAGTTTTTGCCGGCCATCTTGTATTTACTACCACCAGGCGGCGCTGCTTAGGTGGAACCTTATCCAAAAATGTTAAGAATGGTCCATTGTATAAGTATGCCAAGTGTGCCAAGTTTGGTGCTTTGAACCCAAAGTTCACAATTTTGACAAATATCCAGCCTTAACTGCCCCACTATAATCAGTCGCCTCTTACGACAAGCATAGTCACCTTTTACGGCAAGTACTGGTTGCTGAAGACCTATTCTACCCCGGATCTCCTAGTTAATAGGTAACCATCTCTTTTCTTAACTGGAAAATAAGATTTTAAAAATAACTATCTTAGAAATAGTTTTTTGGGTAAGACATTTAGGCAAGAAGTTGGCATCCCCCGGGGCACCAGTTGTGCTCCCCTCCTTGCGATCCTCTTCATTGGCAAAGTCAAACAAGGGAATTTGGCCAAGAAGTTTAACATAATTAAGCTTCAGATATATCGTTGATCTGATATCGTTCCCTTCCACTGATTTACCCACCTGAACTAGAAATAAAGGAGACCATTGAGACTGCTTCATTTGTTTCATATTTGGATCTATGCATAAAGAATCAGAGTGACAAAACACTCTCCACAAGACTGTGCGACAGGAGGAATTACTTCAACTCTCCAAAATTTAACGTTCCCTTTACGCCGAGCATCTCCAGCCCTTGGTGCCTACATGTCACACTTTTTTAGGTACAATCGAGCATGTTCTTTCTACGAAAATTTCAAAAAACATCACTCGACTTTTGCTTAAAAGTTGTTTGATCAAGGTTACGACATACACTCTACCAGGCCACAGTTAAGCTTTCAAAACGTTGTTTGGTTGATGCATCGGTGACAAAAATTATGTCCGATGCAATTCCCTATTTTGACTTGTGCCATTTGTCCCCGTGTTTTTGTAGGTGAACAGTTGCCTTGACTTTGCATGTGTTTGTGACGGGTCCCACTGGTGGGGCAGGATACGCTCACCTTTTCGTGAACACCTGGTATCATCGCTATTTGATACTGATTCATAAACACTTGCTCATGAGAAAGTCGGATTTGTACAATGGACTTTGATTTCAGAGATTTCTTATGAAAGGGTTTTGTTATTATTATTTAATTAACCGGGACGCTCTCAAAATTAGAAATAGGGAGCTCTTAATAGAATATATTTTTGGTGAGAAAAAAACAAACGTAAGATGAAAGATTGTAAATTTCGTGGTTTATGCTGACAGCCTGAAATGATGCAAAAGAAAAATATGTGCGTATCATACACGACAGATATATTTTCAAGAATTTAATTGCCCTTATAATTAAGGGTTCATATAACACACGAGTGCGTATTATACACGAATAAATAGGTCTTGTGTACATTGATCGATCGGAAGGGGTGCTAATTGGGATTGTTTACTAGCTAATATATTAGCAAATATCGCCGTGGGCACTTATTAGAGCGGGGCGCTTTTTACGTCGAATACGGTATATCCAATAATATTTTCGACAAATTTCACATGGGTATGGGGAAGGTAAATCAGGTAAGAATTATTTTGGACATTAAGCAGCACGCTTTACAGGGGCCTGCTAAAAAACATAGCATCATTAACAAACTGCACATCAGAAGAAGTTTTAGCGAAATTAAGAGAGGATACATTTTCTGGAAATTTATTTTCTTTTGTACGAAAGTGAACGTATACAGATAATACAAGTAACTTTCAATCAATATGGATAGTTATCAATTAGAATGCACAACGAAAAAGACATATAAGCGTTTGAAAACTGTTATCATTGAAAATATGAGGAGAAAAATCATGTCTTTTACCATAAATGAAACAATTTGCAATTGGGCAAAGCATCGACAGTCCTATATAACAATAATGCATTAAATACTACAGAACATACAACAAAAGAATTACAAAGTTATGGTCAAAGCAAACACAATAAACAAATTATGTAAACGGGCAGAGAAATGAGTGAAAACAAAACAAATACACAAAGAATTAAACTTCATGCAACATAATTGCTGAAAGGGAAAATGACGACAAAAATGTTCGAGAAACACGTTACAAATGCCTCATACAAATATATATAAATGTACATAATGAACGGGGAACATTGGCGGAGTTTGTTGATGACATTCCTAGCCTATCTGTTGCAACATTAGGCGACAATTCAGTTCGTGCACATGGTCTTTTTACTTAAAGGATGTGCTGTATTAATTTGACTGCAGATATTAGTGACAGAATAAACCCGATCTTGCCTTGATATATGAACCAAGAGCTTAATAAAATTAAAGATCAATGGCTACGGTTAGAATCATTTATTATTATTGTCATGTTTGAAAAGCATTTCCATTGTGTCAATTCCTACATCAATGGATACGTTTATTCTCTGACGTCATACACAACGGCATGCATCTGCAATCTGGCCAACAGGAGTTATCTACCTTTGTATGATCAAACAACTACCCACAAAAGATGATTATGATAATATGATTATTGAGCATGCTTTTCATATTGGGTGCGTCTAAATACACCCAGAATTCCACATTCTTTGCTGATACACTATTAATGTAGGATATGTAGTTTTGCCTTGCTAATACCAGTGATTGCGTTAAAGTATGACTCGTGGATGTAAAGCTATGTGACAGCTTTGAATTACCTTCCCTCTCCTATTTGTTTGTTTGTTGTTTAACGCTGCCCTCAGCAATATTCCAGCTGTATGAAGGCGGTCTGTAAATAATCGAGTCTGGACCAGACAGTCCAGTGATTGATATCATGAGTATCGGTGCACGCTATTGGAACACGACGACATGCATTAACCAAGTCACCGAGCCTGACCACCCGATCCCGTTAGTCGCCTCTTACGACAAGCATGGTTTGCTGAAGGCTCTTCTAACCCGAATCCGATAATACTGAGGTTTAAAAGGTGTTATTTTAAGTCGGACTCCTAAAATGTGTGTGTGGTTGTTTGCTTGTAATAGTCCGGACTAATGCTGGCTTTCTAGTGTTACCTTATTGAGATACCATGCCGCAGTTTAACATGAATACCCCACTCACACACAGTATACCGACTCCGAGCCGACCAGACCAGTCCCTCAATGCGCAGAGCCAGGCAGTGTAAAACAAGTATCATCTTTTTTACAAATAGAATAGAACCAATAAATTGCATATATTAGCAAGATACACTCGGGATGACTGCCACCACAAGCCTAGATCTTATTCGCTAGAAGCAGTCTGTTGACAACAATCGAGGAAAGCTTCACGTGCTTAATGCAATAAGAATAAGCAATGAGAGAAAATATATATACATGTAGGTGTTGTTCATTGCCACAGTCAGCAATATTTCTGCTTCAACACGGCGGCCTGGAGGTAGCTGGGTGCCTGAAATTTTCATCATAGATCGGTCCCAGTATCCAATAGATCGGGATCTCAGCGCCAAGACAATCTACGTTAAGGAGGACAAGGGGGAGAGGTGAAATGGGGTTTAACGTCGCGTTCAATATAGCACTAATATAGTGACGTACATAAGTGTATAATGTACATGTTTGAGTATGTGTGCGTGCGTGCGTGCGTGCGTGCGTGCGTGTGTGTGTGAGTGCGTGCGTGCGTGTGTGTGTATGCGTGTGTCCGTGAGATCCCCCGGTTTGTCACAAGCTTGTTTTCGTCGTGCTTTGTAACAAAAGGTGTCATATTCATATTAAGGTGGTAATTCGTTTTGTGTTGAAGTGAGTGAGTGAGTATGGTTTTACGCCGCTTTTAGCAATATTCCAGCAATATCACGGCGGGGGACACCAGAAATGGGCTTCACACATTGTACCCATGTCGGGAATCGAACCCGGGTCTTCGGCGTGACGAGCGAACGCTTTAACCACTAGGCTACCTGACCGCCCCGTTTTGTGTTGAAGTCGAATGGTTACTGTTCTATGCCGGTATTAATACACATGCACGTCTATTTCGTAATGTTAAGTGCGGGTGTTTCAGCCAGTGATCCACCGATGGTGGCAGGATCTTCATAGATGTGGTCTGGTGTGATGTCCAGGTCCTCGTATATGCCCGTCGCGGTGTTCTGGTAGATTGGAGGTGTCACGTCCACGTCCGCTCCTTCCTTCTGTCCTTCCCCTAGTCTGCCGAGACTGACGCATTCAAGATCACCCAGAGTTGTCTCCCCTTGTCTGACTCTACGCCTCCTACAATCAAATTTGAGCAAACGGTCTAATGCAACATGGGTCTTGTCTTGAAGGACCGTGACCACCTAGGTCCTGATTTACGTGACATCATACAACGAAGGCATATCTTAGCATCGCTACATTGCACGTCTCTACGTCAATATACACGTCTAGGCTTCTGATTATGTAAACCAACCATCTCAGAATATTTGTTAGAATGGCAGTCAACACATGATACATACATGAAGATACGTTTGAAAGGTACAGTCATATACAGTTTGACATTCGTTGATATAGCGAGTCTCACCCACGCGTCTTTTGAAATCAAGAATATCAACACAAGTCGGCACAACACCGAGGCTTTCCGCCACTTATGGTGATAATCTATTCTTCATCCAAATAAAAACATCAAAATAAAGACCATTCGTAACCCTTTTCAGTTTTTAAATAGTAATAACCAGCGTCTTCAGTGGAAACATACAGAAATAAACCAGCTTCACTGGCAGAGGATATGTACTTGTGGTGATGGCTTTATCTCGTCAAGCGATATCTCCCGTGCAAGCCACTTTTCGATGATATATGTATAGTTCAACGTCAAAATGCAAGCTGTTAGTGTCCAGTATGTTGAAACCAGAAACCTTTGATGCATCGTGGTGAATGTTATGGCTTATAGGTAATATGTCACATGTTGTCATGTTATAATGCTGATTTCTTTACAAATGTAAAATGTAGCTTTAAAGCCTTTTGTTGATGAAAACGCATTTTGTTTCTTTGATAGTCGCGGCGGTTGTTCATTGTATCAATGATTAACAATAAAGACAAAGTTTGGTTAAGTCATCTTATCTTAACTGTTCGGCCGTGACATTAACCAGTTAGAGAAATAAATACTCAAAGAAATTGGACGATAGCTTCATGTATGTACATGAGTAAGGACGAGTAATCTTGGCTCATGCAGGTGTGCTAGATATTGGAATTTATGTATCCGATCTCTACCAATGACTCTTCTGCAAGATCAATGTCCTCAAATCAATAATCATGCACTAACTACGAGTTTCAGTTTATGTTTTGTCTCAATTTGGTTAACACGTATCCGTACTAAATTTGTAAAATGCAATTTCAGATTTTTTGTTTTCTATTTCAGAAACGATATGCTAATATAAACAACTATAAGCATTTACTTGAAATTTGTTGAGTGAAGTATATTGGAGAATGAGTGAAATCAGTTCTTAAATATAACAAAACGTAGAGATTATATACACAAGGATAATCAATATATCATATTACCTGAGGATGTACATTGTTACAGCAACATTTCCTGCGATGATGATGATTATTATTGCTACACAGGATCCCACCACAGGAATTATAAGTTGGGAGTCAGAATTCCTGATACCTGAAAAAGAGTGACGTAAGCCACAACTGTCACAACATTCATCCAGGAATAGTTCCAATGCTACCATAGGTCATGTCACACCAATATTCTACCGAGTCCGCCCACAGCTACGTTACATTTGCCAGACAGACCAAGCTACCATAATTCATGTCACACCCACATTCTACCGGGTTTCCCTACAGCTAAGTTACATTTGCCAGACAGACCAAGCTACCATAGGTCATGTCACACCCACATTCTACCGGGTCCGCCCACAGCTAAGTTACATTTGCCAGACAGACCAAGCTACCATAGGTCATGTCACACCCACATTCTACCGGGTCTGCCCACAGCTAAGTTACATTTGCCAGACAGACCAAGCTACCATAGGTCATGTCACACCCACATTCTACCGGGTTTCCCTACAGCTAAGTTACATTTGCCAGACAGACCAAGCTACCATAGGTCATGTCACACCCACATTCTACCAGGTCCGACCACAGCTAAGTTACATTTGCCAGACAGACCAATCTACCATAGGTCATGTCACACCCACATTCTACCGGGTCCGCATACAGCTAAGTTACATTTGCCAGACAGACCAATCTACCATAGGTCATGTCACACCCACATTCTACCGGGTTTGCCTACAGCTACGTTACATTTGCCAGACAGACCAAGCTACCATAGAGCATGTCACACCCACATTCTACCAGGTCAGCCCCCAGCTAAGTTACATTTGCCAGACAGACCAATCTACCATAGGTCATGTCACACCCACATTCTACCGGGTCAGCCCCCAGCTAAGTTACATTTGCCAGACAGACCAAGCTATCATAGAGCATGTCACACCCACATTCTACCGGGTCAGCCCCCAGCTAAGTTACATTTGCCAGACAGACCAAGCTACCATAGGTCATGTCACACCCACATTCTACCAGGTCCGCCCACAGCTAAGTTACATTTGCCAGACAGACCAAGCTACCATAGGTTATGTCACACCCACATTCTACCAGGTCCGCCCAAAGATACACGTACCTGTTGCATGACAGGTGACCCCTTCTGATTCTAGTAAAACCATGATACTTGCCTTTCAGATTATACGTCGCACCCACATACTTTGGTCTGCACCCAAGTGGACACTCTCCTGTGATGGGGTGGCAGTCCTCCCCGAGACACATCCCACATGTCTCGTTGCAGTTGTAGCCGTAGAAGCCAGTGCCGTTGCAGGCTGATTGAAAGAATAACAATGTATGAGTCACTGACTGTAGTTTCCATCGATCAATTCTGATTTAACACCTGTACCACGGTATTAGGAATATAAAGACGTCAACCTTGCTGTACCAGGGGTGGATGTTGGATACCACAAACAACTAAGAAACACTTTAATTCATTGTTAATGGCAGCTTATGGCGCAACCGTATAGGCCTGAACCATCATTTTACGTGAATGTACGGCCATAACCTGGCCATCCCACCTGTTCCACATTGACGTCCCATCCATCCTCTCTCACACCTCGAACCCGGACATTGTCCTGTCACCTTGTCACACACATGTCCAGCCAGACACTGACCACAGGGTTGTCCGCAGTTAAGACCAAAGGTACCGTCTGTACATGCTACATACAAGAAACACTGATGTTAATATACACATTCTGATTTGGCATTCTAATATTCTAAACAGTCAACGGTCAAAGATTTCAAAACTTGCAATTTGATAAATTATGAATTCATGAAACTAGAACGGTCTCGAGTTCAATGTATACTGAATACATCATAACAAAACAATCATAGATGTTAGATTATTTACACAATGATCATTGAATTACGAGTATATCTAAATAAAAGAGCGTTAATATGTATAACACAATCCTTACATGATAATCATGAATATCAGACGGTTATTGTATAAAATACACTGACTACTTTGACTCGTCATCTGACATTAATAATGGCCAGATGAATATAATTTATGATTGAATATAAGCTGGTTGATTCAGGACCTACGTCACTACCATGTTTAGGTATATGTACAGAAGGAATATGTTAATAATCCAAAATCAAGAAATAGCTTACTAAAACATGTGGACACTAAAGGTTTAAAGACCCATGGAGAGAATCAAACCCACATCAAAGACGAGGGCAGCCTACACCTCTTAATCATGTAAAGAATATTTGGAACTACATAAAAAAACTACAATAAAATCGACACTAAGACAATACGAAAACATAAATAATCATAATACTGGTAAATTAATGAACAATTAGTGCAGAAAATGCTGTAACTAAAATGAGAGAACTGACAATTTATTATAAGAAATAAGAAAAAGATGAAGCAAAAGAAAAAGACCAAGGAAATTAGCTGTATAACACGGAGAAAGTTCCTGGAAATGCTGAAAAAAACCCAAATGCATTAACAAGGTTAAACAAAATATAGAATGATTCAAATCAATAATTTAAAAAAAAATTAATAATTATTTAAAATATCAAAGCAATATAGATTGAAAAAAGGCCCTGCCCCGTCCACCTCCCTCACTGACTACAGGTCACTTACCTACGCCACATCTCTGCCCCGTCTACCTCCTTCACTGACTACAGGTCACTTACCTACGCCACATCTCTGCCCCGTCGACTTCCCTGACAGACTACAGCTACGTTACATTTCCGCCCTGTCCACCTCCCTGACTGACTACAGGTCACTGACCTAATCCACATCTCTGCCCCGTCCACCTCCCTGACTGACTACAGGTCACTTACCTACGTCACATCACTGCCCCATCAACCTCCCTGACTGACTACAGGTCACTTACCTACGCCACATCTCTGCCCCGTCCGCTTCCCTGACTGACTACAGGTCACTTACCTACGCCACATTTCTACACCGTCCGCTTCCCTGACTGACTACAGGCCACTTACATACGCCACATCTCTGCCCCGTCCACCTCCCTGCCTGACTACCGGTCACTTCCCTACGTCACATTTCTGCCCCGTCAACTTCCCTGACTGACTACAGGTCACTTACCTATGCCACATCTCTGTCCCGTCCACCTCCCTGACTGACTACAGGTCACTTACCTACGCCACATCACTGCCCCGTCCACTTCCATGACTGACTACAGGTCACTTACCTACGCCACATCTCTGCCCCGTCCACCTCCCTGACTGACTACAGGTCACTTACCTACGCCACATCTCTGCCCCGTCCACTTCCATGACTGACTACAGGTCACTTACCTACGCCACATCCCTGTCCCGTCCACCTCCCTGACTGACTACAGGTCACTTACCTACGCCACATCTCTGTCCCGTCCACCTCCCTGACTGACTACAGGTCACCTTGCTACGCCACATCTCTGCCCCGTCCACTTCGAATACTGACTACAGGTCACTTACCTACGTTACATCTCTGCCCCGTCCACCCTCCCTGACTACAGGTCACTCACCTTCGACACATCTCTGCCCCGTCCACCCTCCCTGACTACAGGTCACTCACCTTCGTCACATCTCTGCCCCATCCACCCTCCCTGACTACAGGTCACTCACCTTCGTCAAATCTCTGCCTCATCCACCCTCCCTGAGTACAGGTCACTCACCTAAGTCACATCTCTGCCTTGTCCACCCTCCCTGACTACAGGTCACTTACCTACGCCACATCTCTGCCCCGTCCACCCTCCGTGACTACAGGTCACTTACCTGCGCCACATCTCTGTCCCGTCCACCTCCCTGACTGACTACAGGTCACTTACCTAAGCAACATCTCTGCCCGTCCACTTCCCTGACTGACTACAGGTCACTTAGCTACGCCACATATCTGCCCCGTCCACTTCCATGACTGACTACAGGTCACTTACCTACGCCACATCTCTGCCCCGTCCACGTCCCTGACTGACTACAGGTCACTTACCTACGCCACGTCTCTCCCCCGTCCACCTCCCTGACTGACTACAGGTCACCTAGCTACGCCACATCACTGCCCCGTCCACGTCCCTGACTGACTACAGGTCACTTAGCTACGTTACATCTCTGCCACGTCCACCTCCCTGACTGACTACAGGTCACTTACCTACGCCACATCACTGTCAAGTCCACTTCACTTACCTACGCCACATCTCTGCCCCGTACACCTCCCTGACTGACTACAGGTCACTTACCTACGCCACATCTCTACCCCGTCCCTCTCCCTCACTGACTACAGGTCACTTACCTACGCCACATCTCAGTCCCGTCCACTTCCTTGACTGACTACAGGTCACTTACCTACGTTACATCTCTGCCTTGTCCACCTCCCTGACTGACTACAGGTCACTTACCTACGCCACATCTCTGCCCGTCCACCTCCCTGACTGACTACAGGTCACTTACCTACGCCACATCTCTGCCCCGTCCAATTCCAATACTGACTACAGGTCACTTACCTACGTTTCATCTCTGCCCCGTCCACCCTCCCTGACTACAGGTCACTCACCTTCGACACATCTCTGCCCCGTCCACCCTCCCTGACTACAAGTCACTCACCTTCGTCAAATCTCTGCCTCATCCACCCTCCCTGAGTACAGGTCACTCACCTAAGTCACATCTCTGCCTTGTCCACCCTCCCTGACTACAGGTCACTTACCTAAGTCACATCTCTGCCTTGTCCGGCCTCCCTGACTACAGGTCACTTACCTACGTCACATCTCTGCCCCGTCCACCCTCCGTGACTACAGGTCACTTACCTACGCCACATCTCTGCCCCGTCCACTTCCAGGACTGACTACAGGTCACTCACCTACGCCACATCTCTGCCCCGTCCACTTCCTTGACTGACTCCAGGTCACTTACCTACCCCACATCTCTGTCTCGTCCACCTCCCTGACTGACTACAGGTCACATAGCTACGTTACATCTCTACCCCGTCCACCTCCCTGACTGACTACAGGTCACTTACCTACCCCACATCTCTGTCTCGTCCACCTCCCTGACTGACTACAGGTCACTTAGCTACGTTACATCTCTGCCACGTCCACCTCCCTGACTGACTACATGTCACTTACCTACGCCACATCACTGTCCAGTCCACTTCACTTACCTACGCCACATCTCTGCCCCGTCAACCTCCCTGACTGACTACAGGTCACTTACCCACGCCACATCTCTGCCCCATCCACTTCCTTGACTGACTACAGGTCACTTACCTACCCCACATCTCTGTCTCGTCCACCTCCCTGACTGACTACAGGTCACTTAGCTACGTTACATCTCTGCCACGTCCACCTCCCTGACTGACTACATGTCACTTACCTACGCCACATCACTGTCCAGTCCACTTCACTTACCTACGCCACATCTCTGCCCCGTACACCTCCCTGACTGACTACAGGTCACTTACCTACGCCACATCTCTACCCCGTCCATCTCCATCACTGACTACAGGTCAATTACCTACGCCACATCTCTACCCCGTCCACCTCCCTCACTGACTAGAGGTCACTTACCTACGCCACATCTCTACCCCGTCCACTTCCCTGAGTGACTACAGGTCACTTACCTACGCCACATCTCTGCCTCGTCCACCTCCCTGACTGACTACAGGTCACTTACCTACGCCACATCTCTGCCCCGTCAACGTCCCTGACTGACTACAGGTCACTTACCCACGCCACATCTCTGCCCTATCCACTTCCTTGACTGACTACAGGTCACTTACCTACGCCACATCTCTACCCCGTCCACTAGCCTGAGTGACTACAGGTCACTTACCTACGCCACATCTCTTACCCGTCCACCTCCCTGACTGACTACAGGTCACTTAGCTACGTTACATCTCTGCCCCGTCCACCTCCCTGACTGACTACAGGTCACTAAGCTACGTTACATCTCTGCCCCGTCCACCTCCCTGACTGACTACAGGTCACTTACCTACGCCACATCTCTACCCCGTCCACCTCCCTGACTGACTACAGGTCACTAAGCTACGTTACATCTCTACCCCGTCCACCTCCCTGACTGACTACAGGTCACTAACCTACGCCACATCTCTTACCCGTCGACCTCCCTGACTGACTACAGGACACTTAGCTACGTTACATCTCTGTCCCGTCCACCTCCCTGACTGACTACAGGTCACTCACCTACGCCACATCTCTACCCCGTCCACCTCCCTGACTGACTACAGGTCACTTACCTACGCCACATCTCTACCCCGTCCACCTCCCTGACTGACTACAGGTCACTAAGCTACGTTACATCTCTACCCCGTCCACATCCCTGACTGACTACAGGTCACTTAGCTACGTTACATCTCTGCCCCGTCCACCTCCCTGACTGACTACAGGTCACTAAGCTACGTTACATCTCTGCCCCGTCCACCTCCCTGACTGACTACAGGTCACTTACCTACGCCACATCTCTACCCCGTCCACCTCCCTGACTGACTACAGGTCACTAAGCTACGTTACATCTCTGCCTTGTCCACTTCCCTGACTGACTACAGGTCACTCACCTACGCCACATCTCTACCCCGTCCACCTCCCTGACTGACTACAGGTCACTTACCTACGTTACATCTCTGCCTTGTCCACCTCCCTGACTGACTTCAGGTTACTTACCTACGCCACATCTCTGCCCGTCCACCTCCCTCACTGACTACAGGTCACTTACCTACGCCACATCTCTGCCCCATCCACTTCTCTGACTGACTACAGGTCACTTACCTACGCCACATCTCTTGCCCCGTCCAACTCCCTGACTGACTACAGGTCACTTACCTACGGTACATCTCTGCCTTGTCCACCCTCCCTGACTACAGGTCACTCACCTTCGTCACATCTCTGCCCCATCCAACCATCACTGCAACCCTCCTGATCACATGTTCCGGTAACAGGGCTGCACTTCCCTGCACACTGACCACAAGTCTCAGAACACCCGTCACCATATCTGCCTTCGTCACATTCTGTCGACAATAATGAAGCTGTTGAGAGACTCATTAATGGAAAAGGTTACACCCGTGTAACACATTAAAAGTGTTGTCAATAAAACACCACCATGTAGTCGACTGTTTGTTTGAGCAGGTATGAAATACGTTTATACCAAACAAAAGTTCGTTTACCAGTATTGATACAGTAAAGCCAGTTTTACCTCCTTGACATATTGAGCCCGTCCCATTACAGGCTGGCCTATCCTTCTTCCGCACCAGGCGTAATCAAACAATCACAAGGGTTATAGTGGAATGTAAGAAATGCACAAAGTTACAGACACATAATTATGTAAAAAAGATATTTCCAAAATATTGGACCTTCGTTTGTTTGATGCAAGACGTATTGTCTCTGAGTTGATCCAATGCAAAACACAAACGACTGTGATACCTTGGTGACATGTCATCCCTTGCCATCCTGGTTCACATCCATCCAGGCAGTCGCCTGATGTTTTGCTGCAGATGGCGTTACCACGACACTGGCCACATCTAGAGTTGCACTGAGCCCCATAGAAACGGTCCGTACACTCTGCGTGGTAGACAGTTTACATTGTGGACATGGTACGTTGGGATGACTATACGCACACCTTCTCAATTTCAATAGTCTTTTTTACGACGAGACTTTATGTGCTATTACGCTCATATGTTTTAGTTGCGGTCGTTAAGAAACTAAATTAACCTTTTTCGTGGATAAATTCTCGAATCTATTTGACTAATTGTCACGTGAGTGTCACAGATGAATTTCCTGTTTTATGTCTATCTATTTGATTACACTATTTCCTGTTTAATTTGTTTCATATCCGTATATTAGTTTATTGTGTGTGTATTCTTATAGACACATTGATTATATCGTATTAATTAAAATATGTGTTTGGAAATTTTGTGCTTTCAAAGCGGCAAATTTTGCCGTGGTCGGTGGGTTCGGAAATAAAAAAAACCAAAAGTACCGCCAAAGTATTGAACTCTTTTTAAATTCGTCGTGGTAATAGTTTGTCAGTCCTTCACATGATGTTCAAAATCTTTAGTTGTGAATGTAAAATTGAAAATATGTTTACGTTTAGAATAGAATAATCACAACAAATCATATGAATATTAATGAGTGGATATATACTGCAACATGTGCCTCCAGTCTTGATCATGATATTGTTGTAAGCCTCGTTAACAGCTTATAAATCATGATTTCATTGTTCATGTAGTAATCTTTAGTGACATACTATACGATAATCGGTGCGCCTTGTCATACGGAATCCACTCACTCACTGAACTACCCAAACACCCACTCACTCACAGAAACTTATATGTTATTATGTTATCTATACTTGTAGACCACACGTGCAGCAATGACGTATGGCCCTGTCCTGGACACTCAGAGAGTACAGACATCTTGTGACAAAAGCTGACTCACCTCCACAACGACTTCCTCCCCAGTTGCCCTCACAACCAAGGTGACAGGAGCCGTTGTAGGGACTGCAGTTCTTGTGACCACCTGCACACTGACCACACCGCCCTTCACACTTCAGGCCGTAACTGCCGGACTCGCATACTTGAAACAAAACAGATCTATATGACTAAAGCAAGGGAAATGGTGAACACCGAAATGGACGTGAATCTAAGATGCCTTCCCGCACACTGACCACACCGCCCTTCTCACCAAAGGCCGTAACTGGCGGCCTCGCATACTTTAAACAAAACAGATCTATATGACTAAAGCAAGGGAAATGGTGAACACCGAAATGGACGTGAATCTAAGATGCCTTCCTGCACACTGACCACACCGCCCTACAGAAAAGGAAGTGATAAAGACCTATACTTGTCATTAATTAAAATCGACCAAGATGCCAAACATGGCTCGTTCATTGATACCAACATTCAGATCTAGATTCATGCTTATTACATGTGTAAGTGCGACAGAATAAAAACACCCAGCACCTGTGACACAGTCACAAGATGAAAACATGTAGAAGTCATAACTGACATATTCGGGCCATCAGAATTAAACGGGTGTTAGTATACCGGGTTTTCTAAAATGTTAACCCATTGATCGTTGATTAATGAATGTAGAAGAGGAAAAAAATACATTAAGAGATATGTTCTGATTTCTTTCAAAGTTATGGTACAGAAAGTAAATACAATCAATATACTGCAAAATAACATATTGGGGACTCGGGTGCAGGGTTGCTTCCTTAATTTCCACACGACATACCAACATGTAGTGCTGTTATGTAAACTCACATTGCTGACAGTCCCTCCCTGCTCTGCCTGCCTGACTACAGGATATCACAGCATGTAGTGCCGTTATGTAAACTCACATTGCTGACAGTTCCTCCCTGCTCTGCCTGCCTGACTACAGGATATCACAACATGCAGTGCCGTTATGTAAACTCACATTGCTGACATCCCCTCCCTGTTCTGCCTGCCTGACTACAGGGTATCACAACATGTAGTGCTGTTATGTAAACTCACATTGCTGACAGCCCCTCCCTGTTCTGCCTGCCTGACTACAGAATATCACAACATGTAGTGCCGTTATGTAACCTCACATTGCTGAGAGCCCCTCCCTGTTCTGCCTGCCTGACTACAGTGTATCACAACATGCAGTGCCGTTATGTAAACTCACATTGCTGACATCCCCTCCCTGTTCTCCCTGCCTGACTACAGGATATCACAACATGCAGTGCCGTTATGTAAACTCACATTGCTGACATCCCCTCCCTGTTCTGCCTGCCTGACTACAGGGTATCACAACATGTAGTGCCGTTATGTAAACTCACATTGCTGACATCCCCTCCCTGTTCTGCCTGCCTGACTACAGGGTATCACAACATGTAGTGCCGTTATGTAGACTCACATCGCTGACAGCCCCTCCCTGTTCTGCCTGCCTCACAGCCGCTCCTGCACTCCCCCGTGGTCTTGTCACAGATCTCCGTCACAGTCAGGCAGAGACAGGACTGGGTACAGTCGACTCCGAAGTGACCATCTCTGCACTCTAGAAAAACGAAGTGTATTGTTAAATTTTAGCTTTCTTACAAAATAGATCAATACCAGTATAACATAAATATTAAATATTCGACAAGCGTAAGTGTTCCTAAAGATGAAAAATACACAGACTTTGAACCTCAGTTGATTATTGGAAGCCTGGTGTCACAGTCTAGTCTGAGGATAATGTACTGATGGAAACAAAGAAGGAGACGTCTTCAGTATAAAGGAGAGCAATTACACAGTATGTTCTCCAGAATACAACAAGACGTTTCTCTAACGACTGCATCTTAACACAACAGTAACTTAGGTTTGTATGCGCTTTCTGTTTGGTTTAAACATATTTCTATTTCAAATAAAAATTGGAATCGGTAAACAAAACAGCGCTTATTTGAATACCTCTCCCTACATAGAAATCAGGTAACAAACATAGTCAAGGTGTATACATACATAATATTTACACAAAAATACCTTGATGTTTAGTTATCAATTATGATCAGAAGTGTCCGGTTTTGATAGTCAGAATGATGGGGTTATACGTAATATTAAGTACTACATACTATACAGAAGAAACATATATATTATATGTGAGAGTTTGGTGTATTTTGTAAGTTTAAATCTGCCAGAATTTGTGATGAAAGTATCTCTTGATTTGCTTCAGTTGATAGGCCGTCACATCTGCAAGGTACGTTATTTAGATCATATCCTTTTTATGTAATGTAATAAATTGCAAACAAAGAAGAAGTGTAGCGGGTGACCACAGGAACAACCTGGGCTGTCAGTTATGAATCTAGCGAATGTATGTCTGTTCCCCAGTACAGGATAACCAGTTTGCCATGAGGAATTCCCTGAGTTCAACGAACACTACACTTCAATTAAATATTCGTAAAGTGCAGGATGATGACAATAATGTTTTCAGATTTTATTCCATACCAAATAAAATTCAGACATGTTCTAAGAGTTGGGAGAACTGTACCTGCTCCTTCGTGATCTTCAGAGTACAGTAGAAAAACGGAAGATCAGATCTAGATGGGTATATATTTGTATATTACCGTCACACCGATCTCCCTGCCACTTCTCTTTACAACCGGTCCTACATCTCCCGTCTGTTCTATTGCATCTGGGGTTACCTCCCTTACACTGGCCACACACATCTCCACACTGGAAGCCATAGCGTCCTCTAGGACATGCTGTGGGGTAGAACATGACACAATGGTTACCTCCCTTACACTGGCCACACAAATTTCCATATTGGAACCCATCGCGTCCTCTGGGACATGCTTTTGGCTAAAACATGACACAATGGTTACAGTGAACACAGGTGTATATATAATATGTACAACATGCTTTATTAGACACACTGGATATATACTCACATCAGGCTTGTATAAACCCACTCCTCTCCAGCATACTAGTGTTATTTTATGGAACAATATGTGTTTCATAGTTAATCAGCTATGAATGTCTTTCTGTGGAAATGTCTATATTCGGTGGAAGATTGAATTAATTAATGTCAGAATGCCGCACCCTGTCCATCCATTTCTAGAGCCACTGCTACAGTCTCCGTTTGTTTTGTCCCATGCCTAACTTCTGTTCTCACAGCGACATTGCCGACTCTCAGACCCCTGTGAATAAGGGTCCAATCTAGTCTAGAATGATTGGGCAAGTCTAGATTACCTCAGCTCCTGAATTTAAGCATTGATCTGGGGTCCATTATATGATTATTTATTTATTTGTGCAAGTATAAAAGATAACTTTATTTCTGGGACTAAGTCTTAGTCTTATGTTTGTATTGAACCAGTAGTTGTATTTCATTAGTGTTCAGAGATACCAACTACCGTTGACTGTTCGTTATAAATTTATTATGCTTTATGATGATATCCTTCATCTACAGAACTACAAATACCGGATGATGTACAACAGATTTATCACACGCTAAAAGGAGATAAACAAACTGCGTTTTCAATGTAGAGCTATGCTAGCTTTAGGTTGATGGTTGTCGATTTGAATTAAGGAAACACCGATGATATCCTGTCGCTAAATATACTCAAACATTGTTATGTAAATCAAATACTTTACATCCCACAGATGCTCTATTGGGGACATGTCAGGGGACATAGCGGGCCTGTGCAATGTCCGTATGACTTCTCGTCGGAGATAATCAGTGACGACCTGCGCAAGATGTGATCTGGCATTGTCATTTTTCAGTTTAAAATTTCTGCAGATAATTCCAGCGAATGGAACGACAGGACGCATACCAATATTATGACGTCGCACCCTCGTTGTGACCCCCAATATATATGAGGTCATAGTCGGATATAAAAAAGAGCTTAACATCCATCCTCTTTGTTTCCTCAACATCTGAAACATGCTCTCTTAGTCAATATCCATCATGCTTTTTGCCCATCCCGTATTGTCACACATGCTTTGAAGATTGTTGTGACTGCAACTCTACATTGTACGTACACATAAACATATGCTACATGGGTTCGACATCTGGATGTGATCGTCCCAACTGCACCACTCACGTGTTTGACAGTCCAGTCCTGTCCATCCGTCTTCACACCCAGAGACACATTGACCTGTCTTCTTGACACAAACTTCATCAGGATCCTTACATTTACACTTCATGTCACATCGGCCACCAAACCAGAAGTTACTGCACTCTGTAACAACAACAGTCAATCATCCACGGGAGGTCTTGTACAGACAACACATAACAGTCAACCAGCCATGAGAGGACGGAGCTCTTGTAAAGACAACCTATAACAGTCAACAAAATAAACAAGAGTATGAGATTCCTTGTAAAAGGTTTATTCTAAGTATTTTCAACTAAACAAAATAAAAAGTGTTATGGGTTCGTTTGTTGTCAGACAATAATTATTCCACTATTCATCCGTGTCAGTGTCATTACAAATCATACAGTAAAGTTGCTGTTGTAAGTCACCAAAAGTGGTTATACTGAAATCAGATCAGTCCTCATATCTTTGGGCAACATTGTGGGTTGTCCGGCATCCCATGATGCGATGCCTACAAACGGAATCACCCAACCATTGTAAACATCAGAAGATGACAAATTCCCCCACCCCCACAAATTCGAAAGATGAAAAAAACCTCTGTTACTTTTTAAGTCGAATTTGAAGAGAGAATTTCTATCAACTTGTTGCCATGGAAACAGGAAAAATTAATAGTTTGTAAATATCTTAATAGCAAAAGGCACCACTTCAACCTTTGATTTATACATGTACCAAGTTTGGATGAAAAATGTTGAATAGTTGTTTAATGTGCTCCGGAAACGACACCTACTTCCGTTTCTGCTAAGGACCAGGTTTTGATGAAAAGTCTTTCACAGCTTTGAAGTTGTGCTCTGGAAACGACATCTGTCAGGCGTCGACTATATACTCCCCCCCCCCCGCGCATTATATATCGGGGGAAAACAAAACGAAAATGATCAAAACGGAAATATGTGTATTGGCATCACATATAGAACCTGTGTTTGATTGATGAGAAATTTCAAAAATGAAACGGAAAATAAAGATATATAAATATTATACTTGAAGTTTAAGGACTCCATATGATGTCACATGATCCGTTCATTTCTCAACAAACTTTAAAAAATGACGCTTTCAAAGTGTAAACTTCACCTTTTGCACTGATACCCATAGAAACGGTCCGTACAATCTGCATGGTAGATAGATTACATTGTGGACATGGTACGTTCAATAGTCTTTTTTATGACGAGAGTTTATGTGCTATTACGCTCATATATTTTAGTTTCGGTCGTTAGGAAACTTAAACTAAATCAACTACCTCTTTTTTGTGGAAACATGTAAGTTGAAACACTAAAGAGATCATGTAGATTTGTATACTAACCTTTCTAGCATGTAACGTGGATTAAAAGTAAACCTTTGTCATGATGTCCTTAAGTATTGCAGCACTTTGTTAATGTCTCCTTACGTTTACAGAGCAGGGTCATGAATCCTGGATCACACTTGGCACACTCTCCTCCTATCTTGTCACATGGCACTCCTCCCTGACATCTCCCACACCTGGATGTACAGTTGAAGCCGTAGGTCCCGTCCTGACACGCTGTGAAATTACACCCTATGGTTAAAGCACGAAAACACATGTCTCCTTGTGTGTTGACGTTGAAATAGTCTGCACATGGGGGTGAAGCAAACTTTATTACTTTTATAAGATGCCGAATTTGAGACTAACCTTGAGTTTAATTTGAAATCAAATCCGTCATAAGCGTGACCGTCAATTGAAAATTCTCGAACAGGCTGACAGGCCGTTCCACCTAACTGCCCTTTCCCTTACCTTTCCCTTACCATGATAATCATGAATATCAGACGGTTATTGTCTGAACAATACACTGAATACTTTAACTCGTCATCTGACATTAATAATGGCCAGATGAATATAATTTATGATTGAATGTATCCTGGTTGATTCAGGGGCTACGTCACCTACATGTATAGGTGTGTGTACAGGAAAGTTCCTATGGTACAGGGACATATACCATTGATGTTTCTAATTTTACATTGGTTGTACAATAATTAAATTTTCGTTGTGTTCATGGGAATTCCTGCATTCTGATTAGCTGAATTGGTCACGTGTTATTGCATTCATTTCCCAATGAATGTAAAAAATTAAGCCACGCCCACCGCGGGCACTACTTTTATTACGGAATGTCGGGGAATCCCAATATTACAGTCGAGGGAATTCCCTTTCTGCTCACGTGTATCGTCATGCACAGGACATTTAGCGACTTTCATGCATATTCATTGTCCAAACTACCCTTTGAAACCGAAGGCCGAGAATGAATGAAACAGCAAACATGCAGGCTCGCTAGCCTGTTTTTTTCCCGCTCGCCCCGGTTCAACTTTCATGTCTTCGGGTTTCATTTATAACTAGCATTTCTCCAACTGTGATTTACCGTTATCAGGGAAGTAATGTTTGAATCACGCAGTAAATGACCATGTTATTTGAAACTGCCGCCTTCTCTCGGACATATTTCTTCCGGTTCGTTACAGTCTGACTGTTGCAGTTCTTTTCGCCTCAGTAGCAAATCAACGGAGAGTGAGATTAAAACAATGCTACGCGGATTCATACAGTTTGCACATCGGCTTTTCGATTGATACCTCAATGAACCGAAAAAAATATACAGTCAATGCTTATAATTAAATTCGACAACGTAAAACATGTTTTATCTACAATAGTTTAACCCAAAACAGTTGCATATATCAAAACAGACAAAAATGACGACATTGATAAACATTCCAGGTGTAGGAATACATACAGTGGCGTGACATGAATCAGGTGATCGTTTAATTTATGCACATAACTTGACACGCCTACACAGTCAGTAGCCAATCAACGGAGAGTGAGATTAAAACAATGCTACGCGGATTCATACAGTTTGCACATCGGCTTTTCGATTCATACCTCAATGAACCGAAAAAAATACACAGTCAATCCTTAAACCAAAAATCTAACTAGGATAGACAATGTATGCTATACTTTAGGATACTTAGGTACCAACACCACATGACTTATGGCTGTTGAAGATTTTAACATTAAATTGAAGAGGTCTAAATAAAACAGCCCAACATAAACAGGTATTAGGATTTATGGAAAAAGAAAAAGGACTAAATATTTTTGTTAATAATATGTCCATTTTACAAACGAACAAGACCAAATTATTGAACAACAATGGGGATATTAGTCCATATGAATGCAATGCCAGAGGGACCGGTATTATTTGAATTATTTTCAAGGGCGAGGAGGGGTGGGGGGAGTTATGTAGCACTTAATATTAAAACAGAAGACAAATAATACACATTAATAAATATATATGGTCCCAAGATAATCCTGAATTTATAGTAAATTGCTGTAACTAAAAATTAGAGGAATGACAATTTACTATAAGAAATGAGGAAAGATAAAGCTAAAGAAAAAGACTCAGACAATAAGCTGAATAATACGGAGAAAATTCCTGACTTAGTAACAAATGCAGCAGAAAAAAATTATGTTTTAAAAAGGTTAACAAAGTAAATGAGTAAAATAAATAATTTAAAAAACAAAATGAATATTTAAAAGGGCAAAACAAATATAGATTGAACAAAGGGAAAAGCGTACAGAATATGTCACCTACGTCGCAACTCTGCCCCGTCCACCCTCCCTGGCTACATGTCACTTACCTACGTCACATCTCTGCCCTGTCCACTTCCCTGACTACAGGTCACTCACCTTCGTCACATCTCTGCCCTGTCCACCTCCCTGACTACCGGTCACTTACCTACGTCACATCTCTGCCCTGTCCACCTCCCTGACTACAGGTCACTTACCTACGTCACATCTCTGCCCTGTCCACCTCCCTGACTACAGGTCACTTACCTATGTCACATCTCTGCCCTGTCCACCCTCCCTGGCTACAGGACACTCACCTACGTCACATCTCTGCCCCATCCACCCATCACTGCAACCCTCCTGATCACATGTTCCGGCAACAGGGCTGCACTTCCCTGCACACTGGTCACAAGTCTCAGAACACCCGGCACCATATCTGCCTTCGTCACATTCTGTCGACAATAGTCAAGCTGTTGAGAAACTCATTTATGAAAAAGGTTACACCCGTGTAACACACTAAAAGTGTTGTCAATAAAACACCACCATGTAGTCGACTGCTTGTTTGAGCAGGTATGAAAAACGTTTCTACCAAACAAAAGTTCGTTTACCAGTAATGATACAGTAAAGCCAGTTTTACCTCCTTGACATATTGAGCCCGTCCCATTACAGGCCGGCCTATCCTTCTTCCGCACCAGGCGTAATCAAACAATCACAAGGGTTATAGTGGAATGTAGGAAATGCACAAAGTTACAGACACATAATCATGTAAATTTAAATATAAATATTTTCCAAAATATTGGACCTTCGTTTGTTTGATGGAAGACGTATTGTCTCTGAGTTGATCCAATGCAAAACACAAACGACTGTGATACCTTGGTGACATGTCATCCCTTGCCATCCTGGTTCACATCCATCCGGGCAGTCGCCTGACGTTTTGCTGCAGATGGCGCTACCACGACACTGGCCACAGCTAGAGTTGCACTGAGCCCCATAGAAACGGTCCGTACACTCTGCGTGGAAGACAGTTTACATTGTGGACATGGTACGTTGAGACGACAATACGCACACTTTCTCAAATTCAATAGTCTTTTTTTATGACGAGAGTTTATGTGCTATTACGCTCATGTCTTTTAGTTTCCGTCGTAAGGACACTTAAACTAAATCAACTACCTCTTTTTGTGGAACAATTCTCGAATCTATTTGACTAATTGTCACGTGAGTGTCACAGATTGATTTCCTGTTATATGTCTATTTATTTGATCACAATATTTCCTGTTTATTTTGTTATGTATCTGTATACCAGTTTATTGTGTGTGTATTCTTATAGACACATTGATTGTCGCGTACTAATAAAAGTATATCTTTTGAAATTTTGTTTTTCCAAGCAGCAAATTTTGCCGTGGTCGTGGTAACCTAAAATAAAAAAAGGTTCCGCCTAAGTATTGAACTGTTTTCAAATTCTTTGTGGCAATAGTTTGTCAGTCACTCTCGTTCACATGATGATCCTAATCCTTAGTAGAAATATAACTAGTGTTGTGAATGTGTAAATGGAAATATGTATTATATTTAGAATAGAATGATCACAAATTATATGAATATTAATGAGTGGACGTTTACTGCTGCATGTGCCTCCGGATTTGATCATGACACCGTTCTAAGCCTTGTTGTCAGCTTATAAATCATGATTTCATTGTTCAATTGGCAATCTTTAGTCATATATCATACAATAATCTGTGGGACTGGTCATACAGAATTCACTCCCCCCCTCCCTCCCTCACTCACTCATTCACTTACCCACCAAAACACCCACTCACTTACATTATCTTATATTTTCCTATGTTATTCATCTATTCTAATGTGCAACAATGACGTATGGCCCTGTCCTGGACACTCAGAGAGTACACACATCTTGTGACAAAAGCTGACTCACCTCCACAACGACTTCCTCCCCAGTTGCCCTCACAACCAAGGTGACAGGAGCCGTTGTAGGGACTGCAGTTCTTGTGACCACCTGCACACTGACCACACCGCCCTTCACACTTCAGGCCGTAACTGCCGGACTCGCATACTTGAAACAAAACGTATCTATATGACTAAAGCAAGGGAAATGGTGAACACCGAAATGGACGTGAATCTAAGATGCCTTCCTGCACACTGACCACACCGCCCTTCACACCGCCCTACAGAAAGGGAAATGATAAAGACCTTTACTTGTCATTGAATAAAATCTACCGGGATGGCAAACGTGGCGTATTCATTGATACCAACATTCAGATCTAGATTCATGCTTATTACATTTGTAAGTGCAACAGAATAAAAACACCCAGCACCTGTGACACAGTCACAAGATGAAAACATGTAGAAGGCATAAATGACATATTCGGGCCATCAGAATTAAACGGGTGTTAGTATACCGGGTTTTCTAAAATGTTAACTCATTGATCTTTGATTGATGAATGTAGAAGAGGAAAAAAATACATTAGGAGATATGTTCTGATTTGTTTCAAAGTTATGGTACAGAAAGTAAACACAATCAATATACTGCAAAAAACCATATTGGGGACTCGGGTGCAAGGTTGCTACCTTGATTTCGACATGACATACCAACATGGTACTACTGGGTATCACAACATGTAGTGCCGTTTTGTAAACTCACATTGCTGACAGTCACTCCCTGTTCTGCCTGCCTGACTACAAGATATCACAGCATGCAGTGCCGTTATGTAAACTCACATTGCTGACATCCCCTCCCTGTTCTGCCTGCCTGACAACAGGATATCACAACATGTAGTGCCGTTATGTAAACTCACATCGCTGACAGCCCCTCCCTGTTCTGCCTGCCTCACAGCCGCTCCTGCACTCCCCCGTGGTCTTGTCACAGATCTCCGTTACATTCAGGCAGAGACAGGACTGGGTACAGTCGACTCCGAAGTGACCATCTCTGCACTCTGGAAAAACGAAGTGTATTGTTAAATTTTAGCTTTCTTACAAAATAGATCAATACCAGTTTAACATAAATATTTGACATTCGACAAGCGTAAGTGTTCCTAAAGATACAAAATACACAGACTTTGAACCTCAGTTGATTATTGGAAGCCTGGTGTCACAGTCTAGTCTGAGGATTATGTACTGATGGAAACAAAGAAGGAGACGTCTTCAGTATAAAGGAGAGCAATTACACCTGACACAGTATGTTCTCGAGAACACAACAAGACGTTTCTCTAACGACTGCATCTTAACACAAAAGTAAGTTAGGTTTCTATGCTCTTCCTGTTTGGTTTAATCATATTTTTATTTCAAATGAAAATTGGGATCGAGAAACAAAACAGCGCTTATTTGAATACCTCTCCATACATAGAAATCAGGTAACAAACATAGTCAAGGTGTATACATACATAATATTTACACAAAAATACCTTGATGGTTAGTTATCAAGTATGATCAGAAGTGTCCGGTTTTGATAGTCCGAATGATGGGGTTATACGTAATATTAAGTACTACATAATACACAGAAGATACATATATATTATATGTGAGAGTTTGGTGTATTTTGTAAGACTTAGTTTACATCGACCAGAATTTGTGATGAAAGTATCTCTTGATTTGCTTGAGTTGATAGGCCGTCACATCTGCAAGGTACTGTATTTATATCATATCCTTTTTTTGAAATGTAATGAATTGCAAACAAAGAAGAAGTGTAGCTGGTGACCACAGGAACAACCTGGGCTGTCAGTTATGAATCTAGCGAATGTATGTCTGTTCCCCAGTACAGTATAACCAGTTTTCCATGAGGAATTCCCTGAGTTCAACGAATACTACACTTCAATTAAATATTCGTAAAGTGCAGGATGATGACAATAATGTTTTCAGATTTTATTCCATACCAAATAAAATTCAGACATGTTCTAAGAGTTGGGAGAACTGTACCTGCTCAGGATCCCTAGAGTATAGTAGAAAAACGGAAGATCAGATCTAGATGGGTATATATTTGTATTTTACCGTCACACCGATCTCCCTGCCACTTCTCTTTACAACCGGTCTTACATCTCCCGTCTGTTCTATTGCATCTGGGGTTACCTCCCTTACACTGGCCACACACACCTCCACACTGGAAGCCATAGCGTCCTCTGGAACATCCTGTGGGGTAGAACATGACACAGTGGCTACCTCCCTTACACTGGCCACACAAACTTCCATATTGGAACCCACAGCGTCCTCTGAGACATGCTTTGGGCTAAAACATGACACAATGGTTACAGTGAACACAGGTGTATATATAATATGTATCACACGCCTTATTAAACACACTGGATATATACTCACATCAGACACGTATAAACCCACTCCTCTCCAGCATACTAGTGTTATTCTATGGAACAATATGTGTTATATAGTTAATCAGCTATGAATGTCTTTCTGTTGAAATGTCTATATTCGGTGGAAGATTGAATTGATTAATGTCAGAATGCCGCCCCCTGTCCATCTATTTCTACAGCCACTGCTACAGTCTCCGTTTGTTTTGTCGCATGCCTAACTTCTGTTCTCACAGCGACCTTGCCGACTCTCAGACCCCTGTGAATAAGGGTCCAACTCAAACCTAGAATGATTGGGCAAGTCTAGATTACCTCAGCTCCTGAATTTAAGCATTGGTCTGGGGTCCATTTATATGATTATTTATTTATTTGTGTATATATAAAAGATAGTTTTATTTCTGGGACTAGGTCTTAGTCTTATGTTTGTATTGAACCAGTAGTTGTATTTCATTAGTGTTCAGAGATACCAACTCCGTTGACTGTTCGTTATAAATTTATTATGCTTTATGATGATATCATTCATCTACACAGCTACAAATACCGGATGATGTACAAAAGATTTATCACACGCTTATAGGAGATAAACAAACTGCGTTTTCAATGTAGAGCTATGTTGCCTGTAGGTTGATGGTTTCGATTTGAGTTAAGGAAACACCGATGATATCCTGTCGCTGAATATATTCAAACATTGTTATGTAAATCAAATACTTTACATCCCACAGATGCTCTATTGGGGACATGTCAGAGGACATAGCGGGCCAGTCCAATGTCCGTATGCCTCCTCGTCGGAGATAATCAGTGACGACCTGCGCACGATGTGGTCTGGCATTGTCATCATTCAGTTTAAAATTTCTGCTGATAAATCCAGCGAATGGAACGACAGGACGCATACCAAAATTATGACGTCACACCCTCATTGTGACCCCCAATATATATCAGGTCATAGTCGGATATAAAGAAGAGCTTAACATTAACCCTCTTTGTTTCCTCAACATCTGAAACATGATCTCTTAGTCAATATCCATCATGCTTTTTGCCCATCCTGTATTGTCACACATGCTTTGAAGATTGTTGTGACTGCAACTCTACATTGTACGTACACATCTAACCATACGATACATGGGTTCGAGAACTGGATGTGATCACCCCCACTGCACTACTCACGTGTTTGACAGTCCAGTCCTGTCCATCCATCTTCACACCCAGAGACACACTGACCTGTCTTCTTGTCACACGCTTCATAAGTATCCTTACATTTACACTTCATGTCACATTGGCCACCAAACCAGAAGTTACTGCACTCTGGAACAACAACAGTCAATCATCCACGGGAGGTCTTGTACAGACAACACATAACAGTCAACAATCCATGAGAGTACGGAGCTCTTTGAAAGACAACCTATAACAGTCAACAGTCCAGGAGAGTGCGGAAGGTTTTGTAAAGACAATATATAACAGTCAACAAAATAAACAAGATTATGGGCTTCCTTGTAAAAGGTTTATTCTAAGTATTTTCAACCAAACAAAATACAAAAGTGTTATGGGTTCGTGTGTTGTCAGACAATAATTATTCCACTATTCATCCGTGCCACTGTTATTACATACCATACAGTAGGGTTCCTGTTGTTAGTCACCAAAAGTGGTTATACTGAAATCAGAGCAGTCCTCATATCTTTGGGCAACATTGTGTGTTGTCCGGCATCCCTTGATGCCTACAAGCGGAATCACCGAACCATTGTAAACAAGAGTCATCAGAAGATGACAAATTCCCCTGTCCCCCACAAATTCGAAAGATGAAAAAAACCTCTGAAGTTACTTTTAAGTACAACTTGATGAGAGAATTTCTATCTAATCAGTCAAAGTCAAACTTGTTGCCATGGAAACAGGAAAAGTTAATAGTTTGTAAATATCTTAATAGCAAAAGACACCACGTCAACCTTTGATTAATACATGTACCATTTTGGATGAAAATTGTTGAATAATTGTTTAGTTGTGCTCCGGAATCGACACCTACTTCCGTTTCAGCTAAGGACCAGGTGTGGACAAAAAAGTCTTTCATAGTTTTGAAGTTGTGCTCTGGAAACGACATCTACCCCGTACCCTTTCGAAACAGGTCCAAATAGTTCCATGGAAATCGAGAAAAATAAAAATGCCAGAAATCCCCAAATAGCAAAAGGCACCACTTCAGTATCTGTGTGATATATCTACTAAGTTTTGTTGAAAGTTATTGAACGGTTTTTGAGTTGTACTCCGGAAAAGAAATTATTACGGACGGACAGACGAGGAGTCGACTATATCTATATTCATGTGCTGTCACATGATGCATTCATTTCTCATCGAACTTGACGCTTTCAAAGTGTAAACTTCACCTTTTGCACTGAACCCAATAGAAACGGTCTCTACACTCTGCGTGGTAGACACAATTCGTTTACATTGTGGACGCACAACTTTATGTGCTATTACGCTCATATCTTTTAGTTAGGGTCGTTAGGAAACTTAAATTAAATCAACTACCTCTTTTTTGCGGAAAAGTTCTCGAATCTGTTTGACTAATTGTCACGTGAGTGTCACAGTTGGATTTCCTGTTTTATGTCTATTTATTGGATTACAATATTTCCTGTTTATTTGGTTTTGTAACCGTATACTAGTTTATTGTGTGTGTATTCTTATAGACACATTGATTGTCGCGCATTAATAAAAAATTATTTTTTTAATTTTGTGATTCCAAGCGGCAAATTTTGCCGCGGTCTGTGGGTTCGTAAACCTAAAAAAAGGAAAAGTTCTGCCTAAGTATTGAACTCTTTTTAAATTCTTCGTGGTAAAAGTTTGTCAGTCATTCTCCTTCACATGATGATCATAATCTTTAGTAGAAATATAACTAGAGCTGTGAATGTGTAAATGGACGCTGTGATCTTATTCAACATCTCGTGAGTATTTATCCCCAAAACATTTCGTTCTGTTTCGGAGACGAGTCTGAGTCAATCTTACACACGCGAATAATATCCATGTAAGTTGAAACACTAAAGAGATCATGTAGATTTGTAACCTTTCTAGCATGTAACTTGGATTAAAAGTAAACCTTTTGCATGATGTCCTTAAGTATTGCAGCACTTTGTTAATGTCTCCTTACGTTTACAGAGCGGGGTCGTGAATCCTGGATCACACTTGGCACAGTATCCTCCTATCTTGTCACATGGCACTCCTCCCTGACATCTCCCACACCTGGATGTACAGTTGAAGCCGTAGGTCCCGTCCTGACACGCTGTGAAATTACACCCTATGGTTAAAGCACGAAAACACATGTCTCCTAGTGCGTTGACGTTGAAATAGTCTACACATGGGGGTGAAGCAAACTTTATTACTTTTATAAGATGTCGAATTTGAGACTAACCTTGAGTTTAATTGGGATAGGTTTGAAATCAAATCCGTCATAAGCGGTACCGTCAATTGAAAATTCTCGAACAGGCTGACAGGCCGTTCCACCTAACTGCCCTTTCCCTTACCTTTCCCTTACCATGATAATCATGAATATCAGACGGTTATTGTCTGAACAATACACTGAATACTTTAACTCGTCATCTGACATTAATAATGGCCAGATGAATATAATTTATGATTGAATGTAACCTGGTTGATTCAGGGGCTACGTCACCACCATGTATAGGTGTATGTACAGGAAAGTTCCTATGGTACAAGGACATATACCATTGTTGTTTCTAATTTTACATTGTTTGTACAACCAAATATCAAACCACGATAGACAATGTATGCTATACTTTATGATACTTAGGTACCAACACCACATGACTTATGGCTGTTGAAGATTTTAACATTAAATTGAAGAGGTCTAAATAATACAGCCAAACATAAACAGGTATTAGGATTTATGGAAAAGAAAAAGGACTAAATATTTTTGTTAATAATATGTTCATTTTACAAACGAACAAGACCCAATTATTGAACAAACAATTGGGATATTAGTCCATATAACAGCAATGCCAGAGGGATCGGTATTATTTGAATTATTTTCAAGGGCGGGGAGGGGTGGGGGGAGTTATGTAGCACTTAATATTAAAACAGAAGACAAATAATACACATTAATAAATATATATGGTCCCAAATCAAGATAATCCTGAATTTATAGTAAACATTTAAAAAATGACAGAAGACTTGGATAGTGAGAGATTTATTCTTTGTGGAGCCCGGAATCCGGTATTAGATGGCAATAAGGATACTTGTAACTACAAACGCCTTAATAATCCAAAATAAAGAAATAGCTTACTAGAGCATGTAGAAACTTTATGTTTAAAGACCCTCGGAGAGAATCAAACCCACATAAAAGACGATACACCCGGGGGCAGCCTTCAACTCTTAATCATGAAATGAATATTCTGAACTACATGAAAACCTACAATAAAACCTTCACTAAATCAATACCAAAGCAAAAATAATCATTTTACTGGTTCATTAATGAACAACTAGTGTAGAAAATGCTGTAACTAAAAATTAGAGGAATGACAATTTACTATAAGAAATGAGGAAAGATGAAGCTAAAGAAAAAGACTCAGACAATAAGCTGAATAATACGGAGAAAGTTCCTGATTTAGTTACAAATGTAGCAGAAAAAAAATTATGTTTTAGAAGGTTAAACCAAGTAAATGAGTAAAATAAATAATTTAACAAACAAAATGAATATTTAAAAGAGCAAAACAAATATAGATTGAACAAAGGGAAAAGCGTACAGAATATGTCACTCACCTATGTCACATATCTCCCCCGTCCACCCTCCCTGGCTACAGGTCACTCACCTACGTCATTTCTCTGCCCCGTCCACCTTCCCTGAATATAGGTCACTCACCTACGTCACATATCTGCCCCGTCTACCTCCCTGGCTACAGGTCACTCACCAACGTCACATCTCTGCCCCGTCCGCCCTCCCTGACTACAGGTCACTTACCTACGTCACACCTCTGCCTTGTCCATCTCCCTGACTACAAGTCACTTACCTACGTCACATCATTGCCCCGTCCACCCTCCCTGACTACAGGTCACTCACCTACGTCACTTCTCTGCCCCGTCCACCCTCCCTGACTACAGGTCACTCACTTACGTCACTTCTCTGCCCCGTCCACCCTCCCTGACTACAGGTCACTCACCTACGTCACATATCTGCCCCGTCCACCCTTCCTGACTACAGCTCACTTACCTACGTCACATCTCTGCCCCGTCCACCCTCCCTGGCTACAGGTCACTTAGCTACACCACGTCTCTGCCCCGTCCACCATCCCTGACTGACTACAGGTCACTCCCCTACGTCGCATCTCTGCCCCGTCCACCCTCCCTGACTGACTACAGGTCACTCACCTTCGACACATCTCTGCCCTGTCCACCCTCCCTGACTACAGGTCACATACCTACGTCACATCTCTGCGCCGTCCACCCTTGTCGTTACTACAGGTCACTCATCTACGTCACATGTCTGCCCCGCCCACCCTTCCTGACTACAGGACACTCACCTTCGTCACATCTCTGCCCCATCCACCCATCACTGCAACCCTCCTGATCACATGTTCCGGTAACAGGGCTGCACTTCCCTGCACACTGACCACAAATCTCAGAACACCCGTCACCATATCTGCCTTCGTCACATTCTGTCGACAATAGTGAAGCTGTTGAGAAACTCATTTATGAAAAAGATTACACCCTTGTAACACATTAGAAGTGTTGTCAATAAAACACCACTTTGTAGTCGACTGCCTGTTTGAGCAGGTATGAAAAACGTTTCTACCAAACAAAAGTTCGTTTACCAGTATTGATACAGTAAAGCCAGTTTTACCTCCTTGACATATTGAGCTCGTCCCATTACAGGCCGGCCTATCCTTCTTCCGCACCAGGCGTAATCAAACAATCACAAGGGTTATAGTGGAATGTAAGAAATGCACAAAGTTACAGACACATAATTATGTAAATTTAAATATAAATATTTTCCAAAATATTGGACCTTCGTTTGTTTGATGCAAGACGTATTGTCTCTGAGTTGATCCAATGCAAAACACAAACGACTGTGATACCTTGGTGACACATTTGCCAGACAGACCAAGCTACCATAGGTCATGTCACACCCACATTCTACCAAGTCAGCCCACAGCTAAGTTACATTTGCCAGACAGACCAAGCTACCATAGGTCATGTCACACCTATATTCTACCGGGTCCGCCTACAGCTAAGTTACATTTGCCAGACAGACCAAGCTACCATAGGTCATGTCACACCTATATTCTACCGGGTCCGCCTACAGCTAAGTTACATTTGCCAGACAGACCAAGCTACCATAGGTCATGTCACACACACATTCTACCGGGTCCGCCTACAGCTAAGTTACATTTGCCAGACAGACCAAGCTACCATAGGTCATGTCACAGCCACATTCTACCGGGTCCGCCCACAGCTACGTTACATTTGCCAGACAGACCAAGCTACCATAGGTCATGTCACACCCACATTCTACCAGGTCCGCCCACAGCTAAGTTACATTTGCCAGACAGACCAAGCTACCATAGGTCATGTCACACCCACATTCTACCGAGTACGCCCACAGCTATGACACCGGTTGCAAGACAGGTGACTCCAACAGATTCCAGAGCAAGACCACGGTGCGTACGCGTACCTCTCAGATGACACGTCGGTCCAACATACTTGGGCCTGCACCCTCGGGAACACTCTCCTGTGATGGGGTGGCAGTCCTCCCCGAGACACATCCCACATGTCTCGTTGCAGTTGTAGCCGTAGAGGCCAGTGTCGTTGCAGGCTGATTGAAAGAATAACAATGTATGAGTCACTGACTGTAGTTTCCATCGATCAATTCTGATTTAACATCTGTACCACAGTATTAGGAATATCAAGACTTCAACCTTGCTGTACCAGGGGAGGATGTTGGACACCACAAACAACTAAGAAACGTTGTAATACATCGAATGTCATGGTCGAATTGGCCTGTACCTTCCTCTGTTCTAATCCTATTTTACGTGGATGTACGACCATAACGTGACCAACCCACCTGTTCCACATTGAAGTCCCATCCATCCTCTCTCACACCTCGAACCCGGACACTGTCCTGTCACCTTGCCACACACATGTCCAGCCAGACACTGACCACAGCGTTGTCCGCAGTTTAGACCAAAGGTACCGTCTGTACATGCTACATACAAGAAACACTGATTTTAATATACACATTCTGATTTGGCATTATAATATTCTAAACAGTTAACGGTAAAAAAATTCAAAACCTGGAAATTGATAATACAGATGAATTCATTAAACTAAAACGGTCTTCAGGTCAATGTATTCTGAATACATCATAACAAAAAAATCATAGAGGTTAAATTATTTACACAATGATCATTGAATTACGAGTATATGTAAATAAAGAGTGTTAATATGTATAACACAATCCTTACATGATAATCATGAATATCAGACGGTTATTGTCTGAACAATACACTGAATACTTTAACTCGTCATCTGACATTAATAATGAGCAGATGAATGTAATTTATAATTGAATGTATCCTGGTTGATTCAGGGGCTACGTCACCACCATGTATAGGTGTATGTACAGGAAAGTTCCTGTGGTACAAGGACATATACCATTGTTGTTTCTAATTTTACATTGTTTGTACAACCAAAAATCAAACCACGATAGACAATGTATGCTATACTTAAGGATACTTAGGTACCAACACCACATGACTTATGGCTGTTGAAGATTTTAACATTAAATTGAAGAGGTCTAAATAATACAGCCAAACATAAACAGGTATTAGGATTTATGGAAAAGAAAAAGGACTAAATATTTTTGTTTATAATATGTCCATTTTACAAGCAACAAGACCAAATTATTGAACAACAATGGGGATATTAGTCCATATAAAACCAATGCCAGAGGGACCGGTATTATTTTAAATTTTTTCGAGTGCGGGGGGAGTTATGTAGCACAATATTAAAACAGAAGAAAAAATAATACACATTAATAGAGGTTATCACGCGAGTGTGTTTGGGGATGGTAAATATCCTGCATTAGGAATAAACATTGTATTTAGCGAGCCTTGGCGAGCTAAATAGATAGTGTTTATTCCTAATACAGGATATTTACCATCCCCAAACGCACAAGCGTGATAACCTCTTTATCATATAATGTCATTCTTTAATTCTGTGCTTCAAAATCGCTTTCCCTCTCTCATAAACATTACCGAAACATTGCGAGTTTTCCTGGAATACGCGCATTAATATTTATTACGTCACAGGGTAAGTGATGTGTCAGTCGGACAGTGACAGTAGCCAATATAGTTCCAACTGAAATCTGTTTCTTATACAGTGGCGAAGCAACATATACGCAAAACGACAATTGTCTTTAATTGCCTTTCGCGGCAATCATCTGTCTGTCTGCTAGAGTAACTGCCCTTTGTCAAAGGGAAGCTACTCTAAACCTAGTCTGTGAGACGTCACGGCCACGGTCAGACGTTGTTGACAGTCGGTCTGTCCTGTCATAACGTTAAAAAGTGTAGTCAGATGTACACACAGCGACAAAACGAAACAAGGTAACAATTCAAACATATTTCGGCCAAATCCAACTATTTTAATTTGTGGAGAAGGTTTCAGGCCGCAGAGGTCTACAAGCACAGATATGGCTACTGATCCCGCTCGGCTAGGCCTCGTGCCCTCGCAAAATTGTTTCTCCAAAGTTGCCAAAACTTATAAAATGCCTTCGCTACGTCACAGTTAGACACTGATTTTCAGTATATTATACTTTTGATAATGATAGCAATTATCTCTGTAGTTTATCCAGATTCCCGATGGTTAATTCTGACTAGATCGCCGAATGACAAGGGCGACGCCATGTTTGTTTATAAACAATGAAAGTAGTCCCTACTTGACCTTTAATATTTGCATCTCTATCCGCATATGACCCCAACGGATATCGTTTTTATCCGTTGGCTTTATCCTGCCGAGAAACCTACCCATTATATGATAAATAAATATATATGGTCCCTATCAAGATAATACTGAATTTATAGAAAACATTTTTAAAAATGACAGAAATCTTGGAGAGTGAGAGATTTATTCTTCGTGGAGACGGGATTCTGGTATTAGATGGCAATAATGATACCTGTAACTACAAACGCCTTAATAATCCAAAATAAAGAAATAGCTTACTAGAGCATGTGGATACTTTATGTTTAAAGACCCTCGGAGAGAATCAAACCCACATAAAAGACGATACATCCGGGGGCAGCCTTCAACTCTTAATCATGAAATGAATATTCTGAACTACATGAAAACCTACAATAAAACCTACACTAAATCAATACCAAAGCATAAATAATCATTTTACTGGTTCACTAATGAACAACTAATTTAGAAAATGCTGTAACTAAAAATTAGAGGAATGACAAATTACTATAAGAAATGAGGAAAGATGAAGCTAAAGAAAGAGACTCAGACAATAAGCTGAATAATACGGAGAAAGTTCCTGATTTAGTAACAAATGCAGCAGAAAAAAGTTTTAAAAAGGTTAAACCAAGTAAATGAGTAAAATAAATAATTTAAAAAACAAAATGAATATTTAAAAGAGCAAAATAAATATAGATTGAACAAGGGGAAAAGCGTACAGAATATGTCACCTACGTCGCAACTCTGCCCTGTCCACCCTCCGTGGCTACAGGTCACTTACCTACGTCACATCTCTGCCCTGTCCACCCCCCTGACTACAGGTCACTTACCTACGTCACATCTCTGCCCTGTCCACCCTCCCTGACTACAGGTCACTTACCCACGTCACATCTCTGCCCGTCCACCTCCCTCACTGACTACAGGTCACTTACCTACGCCACATCTCTGCCCCATCCACTTCTCTGACTGACTACAGGTCACATACCTACGCCACATCTCTGCCCCGTCCACCTCCCTGACTGACTACAGGTCACTTAGCTACATTACATCTCTGGCCCGTCCACCTCCCTCACTGACTACAGGTCACTCAGCTCAATCACATCTCTATCCCGTCCACCTCCCTGACTGACTACCGGTCAGTTAGCTACGTTACACCTCTGCCCCGTCCACCTCCCTGACTGACTACAGGTCAATTAGCTATGCCACGTCTCTGCCCCGTCCACTTCCCAGACTACAGGTCATTTAGCTACGTTTCATCTCTGCCCCGTCCACCTCCCTGACAAAATACAGGTCACTTAGCTACGCCACATCTCTGCCCCGTCCACCTCCCTGACTGACTACAGGTCACTTAGCTACGCCACATCTCTGCCCCGTCCACCTCCCTCACTGACTACAGGTCACTTAGCTACGTTACATCTCTGCCCCGTCCACCTCCCTCACTGACTACAGGTCACTTACCTAAGCCACATCTCTGCCCCGTGCACCTCCCTCACTGACTACAGGTCACTTAGCTATGCCACGTCTCTGCCCCGTCCACCCTCCCTGACTACAGGTCATTTAGCTAGTTCCATCTCTGCCCCGTCCACCTCCCTCACTGACTACAGGTCACTTAGCTACGTTCCATCTCTGCCCCGTCCACCTCCCTGACTGACTACAGGTCACTTAGCTATGTTACATCTCTGCCCAGTCCACCTCCCTGACTGACTACAGGTCACTTAGCTACGTTCCATCTCTGCCCCGTCCACCTACCTGACTGACTACAGGTCACTTAGCTACGCCACATCTCTGCCCCGTCCACCTCCCTGACTGACTACAGGTCACTTAGCTACGCCACATCTCTGCCCCGTCCACCTCCCTCACTGACTACAGGTCACTTAGCTACGTTACATCTCTGCCCCGTCCACCTCCCTCACTGACTACAGGTCACTTACCTAAGCCACATCTCTGCCCCGTGCACCTCCCTCACTGACTACAGGTCACTTAGCTATGCCACGTCTCTGCCCCGTCCACCCTCCCTGACAACAGGTCATTTAGCTAGTTCCATCTCTGCCCCGTCCACCTCCCTCACTGACTACAGGTCACTTAGCTACGTTCCATCTCTGCCCCGTCCACCTCCCTGACTGACTACAGGTCACTTAGCTATGTTACATCTCTGCCCAGTCCACCTCCCTGACTGACTACAGGTCACTTAGCTACGTTCCATCTCTGCCCCGTCCACCTACCTGACTGACTACAGGTCACTTAGCTACGCCACATCTCTGCCCCGTCCACCTCCCTCACTGACTACAGGTCACTTAGCTACGTTACATCTCTGCCCCATCCACCTCCCTGACTGACTACAGGTCACTTACCTACGTCACATCTCTGCCCCGTCCACCTCCCTCACTGACTACAGGTCACTTAGCTATGTTACATCTCTGCCCCGTCCACCTCCCTGACTGACTACAGGTCACTTAGCTACGTTCCATCTCTGCCCCGTCCACCTCCCTGACTGACTACAGGTCACTTAGCTATGTTACATCTCTGCCCCGTCCACCTCCCTGACTGACTACAGGTCATTTAGCTAGTTCCATCTCTGCCCCGTCCACCTCCCTCACTGACTACAGGTCATTTAGCTAGTTCCATCTCTGCCCCGTCCACCTCCCTGACTGACTACAGGTCACTTAGCTATGTTACATCTCTGCCCCGTCCACCTCCCTGACTGACTACAGGTCACTTAGCTACGTTCCATCTCTGCCCCGTCCACCTCCCTGACTGACTACAGGTCACTTAGCTATGTTACATCTCTGCCCCGTCCACCTCCCTGACTGACTACAGGTCACTTAGCTACGTTCCATCTCTGCCCCGTCCACCTCCCTGACTGACTACAGGTCACTTAGCTATGTTACATCTCTGCCCCGTCCACCTCCCTGACTGACTACAGGTCACTTAGCTAGTTCCATCTCTGCCCCGTCCACCTCCCTGACTGACTACAGGTCACTTACCTAAGCCACATCTCTGCCCCTAACGACTTCCCTGACTGACTACAGGTCACTTACCTACGCCACATCTCTGCCCCGTCCACTTCCCTGACTGACTACAGGTCACTTAGCTACGTTACATCTCTGCCCCATCCACCTCCCTGACTGACTACAGGTCACTTACCTACGTCACATCTCTGCCTTGTCCACCCTCCCTGACTACAGGTCACTTACCTACGTTAGATCTCTGCCCCGTCCACCCTCACTGACTACGGGTCACTTACCTACGTTACATCTCTGCCCCGTCCACCCTCCCTGACTACAGGTCACTCACCTTCGTCACATCTCTGCCCCATCCACCCATCACTGCAACCCTCCTGATCACATGTTCCGTTTACAGGGCTGCACTTCCCTGCACACTGACCACAAGTCTCAGAACACCCGGCACCATATCTGCCTTCGTCACATTCTGTCGAAAATAATGAAGCTGTTGAGAGACTCATTTATGAAAAGGTTACACCCTTGTAACACATTAAAAGTGTTGTCAATAAAACACCACTTTGTAGTCGACTGTTTGTTTGAGCAGGTATGAAATACGTTTCTACCAAACAAAAGTTCGTTTACCAGTATTGATACAGTAAAGCCAGTTTTACCTCCTTGACATATTGAGCTCGTCCCATTACAGGCCGGCCTATCCTTCCTCCGCACCAGGCGTAATCAAACAATCACAGGGGTTATAGTGGAATGTAAGAAATGCACAAAGTTACAGACACATAATTATGTAAATTTAAATATAAATATTTTCCAAAATATTGGACCTTCGTTTGTTTGATGCAAGACGTATTGTCTCTGAGTTGATCCAATGCAAAACACAAACGACTGTGATACCTTGGTGACACATTTGCCAGACAGACCAAGCTACCATAGGTCATGTCACACCCACATTCTACCAAGTCAGCCCACAGCTAAGTTACATTTGCCAGACAGACCAAGCTACCATAGGTCATGTCACACCTATATTCTACCAGGTCCGCCTACAGCTAAGTTACATTTGCCAGACAGACCAAGCTACCATAGGTCATGTCACACACACATTCTACTGGGTCCGCCTACAGCTAAGTTACATTTGCCAGACAGACCAAGCTACCATAGGTCATGTCACAGCCACATTCTACCGGGTCCGCCCACAGCTACGTTACATTTGCCAGACAGACCAAGCTACCATAGGTCATGTCACACCCACATTCTACCAGGTCCGCCCACAGCTAAGTTACATTTGCCAGACAGACCAAGCTACCATAGGTCATGTCACACCCACATTCTACCGAGTACGCCCACAGCTATGACACCGGTTGCAAGACAGGTGACTCCAACAGATTCCAGAGCAAGACCACGGTGCGTACGCGTACCTCTCAGATGACACGTCGGTCCAACATACTTGGGCCTGCACCCTCGGGAACACTCTCCTGTGATGGGGTGGCAGTCCTCCCCGAGACACATCCCACATGTCTCGTTGCAGTTGTAGCCGTAGAGGCCAGTGTCGTTGCAGGCTGATTGAAAGAATAACAATGTATGAGTCACTGACTGTAGTTTCCATCGATCAATTCTGATTTAACATCTGTACCACAGTATTAGGAATATCAAGACTTCAACCTTGCTGTACCAGGGGAGGATGTTGGACACCACAAACAACTAAGAAACGTTGTAATACATCGAATGTCATGGTCGAATTGGCCTGTACCTTCCTCTGTTCTAATCCTATTTTACGTGGATGTACGACCATAACGTGACCAACCCACCTGTTCCACATTGAAGTCCCATCCATCCTCTCTCACACCTCGAACCCGGACACTGTCCTGTCACCTTGCCACACACATGTCCAGCCAGACACTGACCACAGGGTTGTCCGCAGTTTAGACCAAAGGTACCGTCTGTACATGCTACATACAAGAAACACTGATTTTAATATACACATTCTGATTTGGCATTATAATATTCTAAACAGTTAACGGTAAAAAAATTCAAAACCTGGAAATTGATAATACAGATGAATTCATTAAACTAAAACGGTCTTCAGGTCAATGTATTCTGAATACATCATAACAAAAAAATCATAGAGGTTAAATTATTTACACAATGATCATTGAATTACGAGTATATGTAAATAAAGAGTGTTAATATGTATAACACAATCCTTACATGATAATCATGAATATCAGACGGTTATTGTCTGAACAATACACTGAATACTTTAACTCGTCATCTGACATTAATAATGAGCAGATGAATGTAATTTATAATTGAATGTATCCTGGTTGATTCAGGGGCTACGTCACCACCATGTATAGGTGTATGTACAGGAAAGTTCCTGTGGTACAAGGACATATACCATTGTTGTTTCTAATTTTACATTGTTTGTACAACCAAAAATCAAACCACGATAGACAATGTATGCTATACTTAAGGATACTTAGGTACCAACACCACATGACTTATGGCTGTTGAAGATTTTAACATTAAATTGAAGAGGTCTAAATAATACAGCCAAACATAAACAGGTATTAGGATTTATGGAAAAGAAAAAGGACTAAATATTTTTGTTTATAATATGTCCATTTTACAAGCAACAAGACCAAATTATTGAACAACAATGGGGATATTAGTCCATATAAAACCAATGCCAGAGGGACCGGTATTATTTTAAATTTTTTCGAGTGCGGGGGGAGTTATGTAGCACAATATTAAAACAGAAGAAAAAATAATACACATTAATAGAGGTTATCACGCGAGTGTGTTTGGGGATGGTAAATATCCTGCATTAGGAATAAACATTGTATTTAGCGAGCCTTGGCGAGCTAAATAGATAGTGTTTATTCCTAATACAGGATATTTACCATCCCCAAACGCACAAGCGTGATAACCTCTTTATCATATAATGTCATTCTTTAATTCTGTGCTTCAAAATCGCTTTCCCTCTCTCATAAACATTACCGAAACATTGCGAGTTTTCCTGGAATACGCGCATTAATATTTATTACGTCACAGGGTAAGTGATGTGTCAGTCGGACAGTGACAGTAGCCAATATAGTTCCAACTGAAATCTGTTTCTTATACAGTGGCGAAGCAACATATACGCAAAACGACAATTGTCTTTAATTGCCTTTCGCGGCAATCATCTGTCTGTCTGCTAGAGTAACTGCCCTTTGTCAAAGGGAAGCTACTCTAAACCTAGTCTGTGAGACGTCACGGCCACGGTCAGACGTTGTTGACAGTCGGTCTGTCCTGTCATAACGTTAAAAAGTGTAGTCAGATGTACACACAGCGACAAAACGAAACAAGGTAACAATTCAAACATATTTCGGCCAAATCCAACTATTTTAATTTGTGGAGAAGGTTTCAGGCCGCAGAGGTCTACAAGCACAGATATGGCTACTGATCCCGCTCGGCTAGGCCTCGTGCCCTCGCAAAATTGTTTCTCCAAAGTTGCCAAAACTTATAAAATGCCTTCGCTACGTCACAGTTAGACACTGATTTTCAGTATATTATACTTTTGATAATGATAGCAATTATCTCTGTAGTTTATCCAGATTCCCGATGGTTAATTCTGACTAGATCGCCGAATGACAAGGGCGACGCCATGTTTGTTTATAAACAATGAAAGTAGTCCCTACTTGACCTTTAATATTTGCATCTCTATCCGCATATGACCCCAACGGATATCGTTTTTATCCGTTGGCTTTATCCTGCCGAGAAACCTACCCATTATATGATAAATAAATATATATGGTCCCTATCAAGATAATACTGAATTTATAGAAAACATTTTTAAAAATGACAGAAATCTTGGAGAGTGAGAGATTTATTCTTCGTGGAGACGGGATTCTGGTATTAGATGGCAATAATGATACCTGTAACTACAAACGCCTTAATAATCCAAAATAAAGAAATAGCTTACTAGAGCATGTGGATACTTTATGTTTAAAGACCCTCGGAGAGAATCAAACCCACATAAAAGACGATACATCCGGGGGCAGCCTTCAACTCTTAATCATGAAATGAATATTCTGAACTACATGAAAACCTACAATAAAACCTACACTAAATCAATACCAAAGCATAAATAATCATTTTACTGGTTCACTAATGAACAACTAATTTAGAAAATGCTGTAACTAAAAATTAGAGGAATGACAAATTACTATAAGAAATGAGGAAAGATGAAGCTAAAGAAAGAGACTCAGACAATAAGCTGAATAATACGGAGAAAGTTCCTGACTTAGTAACAAATGCAGCAGAAAAAAGTTTTAAAAAGGTTAAACCAAGTAAATGAGTAAAATAAATAATTTAAAAAACAAAATGAATATTTAAAAGAGCAAAATAAATATAGATTGAACAAGGGGAAAAGCGTACAGAATATGTCACCTACGTCGCAACTCTGCCCTGTCCACCCTCCGTGGCTACAGGTCACTTACCTACGTCACATCTCTGCCCTGTCCACCCCCCTGACTACAGGTCACTTACCTACGTCACATCTCTGCCCTGTCCACCCTCCCTGACTACAGGTCACTTACCCACGTCACATCTCTGCCCTGTCCACCTCCCTGACTACAGGTCACTTACCTACGTCACATCTCTGCCCCGTCCACCCTCCCTGACTACATGTCACTCACCTACGTCACTTCTCTGCCCCGTCCACCTTCCCTGAATACAGGTCACTCACCTACGTCACATCTCTGCCCCGTCCGCCCTCCCTGACTACAGGTCACTTAGCTACGTCACATCTCTGCCCCGTCTACCCTCCTTGACTACAGGTCACTCACATACGTAACATCTCTGCCCTGTCCACCCTCCCTGACTACAGGTCACTTACCTACGTCACATCTCTGCCCCGTCCACCCTCCCTGAAGACAGGTCACTTACCTACGTCACTTCTCTGCCTCGTCCACCTCCCTGACTGTCTACAGGTCACTTAGCTACGTCACTTCTCTGCCTCGTCCACCTCCCTGACTGACTACAGGTCACTTAGCTACGCCACATCTCTGCCTTGTCCACCTCCCTGACAGACTACAGGTCACTTATCTACGCCACATGTATACCCCGTCCACCTCCCTGACTGACTACAGGTCACTTAGCTATGTTACATCTCTGCCCCGTCCACCTCCCTGACTAAAAACAGGTCACTTAGCTACGTTACATCTCTGCCCCGTCCACTTCCCTGACTGACTACAGGTCACTTAGCTATGCCACGTCTCTGCCCCGTCCACCCTCCCTGACTACAGGTCATTTAGCTAGTTCCATCTCTGCCCCGTCCACCTCCCTGACTGACTACAGGTCACTTAGCTACGTTCCATCTCTGCCCCGTCCACCTCCCTGACTGACTACAGGTCACTTAGCTAGTTCCATCTCTGCCCAGTCCACCTCCCTGACTGACTACAGGTCACTTACCTAAGCCACATCTCTGCCCCTAACCACTTCCCTGACTGACTACAGGTCACTTACCTACGCCACATCTCTGCCCCGTCCACTTCCCTGACTGACTACAGGTCACTTAGCTACGTTACATCTCTGCCCCATCCACCTCCCTGACTGACTACAGGTCACTTACCTACGTCACATCTCTGCCTTGTCCACCCTCCCTGACTACAGGTCACTTACCTACGTTACATGTCTGCCCCGTCCACCCTCACTGACTACAGGTCACTTACCTACGTTACATCTCTGCCCCGTCCACCCTCCCTGACTACAGGTCACTCACCTTCGTCACATCTCTGCCCCATCCACCCATCACTGCAACCCTGCTGATCACATGTTCCGTTTACAGGGCTGCACTTCCCTGCACACTGACCACAAGTCTCAGAACACCCGGCACCATATCTGCCTTCGTCACATTCTGTCGACAATAGTGAAGCTGTTGAGAGACTCATTTATGGAAAAGGTTACACCCTTGTAACACATTAAAAGTGTTGTCAATAAAACACCACTTTGTAGTCGACTGTTTGTTTGAGCAGGTATGAAATACGTTTCTACCAAACAAAAGTTCGTTTACCAGTATTGATACAGTAAAGCCAGTTTTACCTCCTTGACATATTGAGCTCGTCCCATTACAGGCCGGCCTATCCTTCTTCCGCACCAGGCGTAATCAAACAATCACAAGGGTTATAGTGGAATGTAAGAAATGCACAAAGTTACAGACACATAATTATGTAAATTTAAATATAAATATTTTCCAAAATATTGGACCTTCGTTTGTTTGATGCAAGACGTATTGTCTCTGAGTTGATCCAATGCAAAACACAAACGACTGTGATACCTTGGTGACATGTCATCCCTTGCCATCCTGGTTCACATCCATCCGGGCATTCGCCTGACGTTTTGCTGCAGATGGCGTTACCACGACACTGGCCACACCTAGAGTTGCACTGAGCCCCATAGAAACGGTCCGTACACTCTGCGTGGTAGACAGTTTACATTGTGGACATGGTACGTTGGGATGACTATACGCACACCTTCTCAATTTCAATAGTCTTTTTTACGACGAGACTTTATGTGCTATTACGCTCATATATTTTAGTTTCGGTCGTTAAGAATCTCGAATCTATTTGACTAATTGTCACGTGAGTGTCACAAATGAATTTCCTGTTTTATGTCTATCTATTTGATTACACTATTTCCTGTTTAATTTGTTTCATATCCGTATATTAGTTTATTGTGTGTGTATTCTTATAGACACATTGATTATAGTGTATTAATAAAAATATGTGTTTGGAAATTTTGTGCTTTCAAAGCGGCAAATTTTGCCGTGGTCGGTGGGTTCGGAAATAAAAAAAACCCAAAGTACCGCCAAAGTATTGAACTCTTTTTAAATTCGTCGTGGTAATAGTTTGTCAGTCCTTCACATGATGTTCAAAATCTTTAGTTGTGAATGTAAAATTGAAAATATGTTTACGTTTAGAATAAAATTATCACAACAAATCATATGAATATTAATGAGTGGATATATACTGCAACATGTGCCTCCAGTCTTGATCATGATATTGTTGTAAGCCTCGTTAACAGCTTATAAATCATGATTTCATTGTTCAGGTAGTAATCTTTAGTGACATACTATACGATAATCGGTACGCCTTGTCATACGGAATCCATTCACTCACTGAACTACCCAAACACCCACTCACTCACATAAACTTATATGTTATTATGTTACATCCATACTTGTAGACCACACGTGCAGCAATGACGTATGGCCCTGTCCTGGACACTCAGAGAGTACAGACATCTTGTGACAAAAGCTGACTCACCTCCACAACGACTTCCTCTCCAGTTGCCCTCACAACCAAGGTGACAGGAGCCGTTGTAGGGACTGCAGTTCTTGTGACCACCTGCACACTGACCACACCGCCCTTCACACCTCAGGCCGTAACTGCCGGCCTCGCATACTTGAAACAAAACAGATCTATCTGAATACAGCAAGGGAAATGGTGAACACCGAAATGGACGTGAATCTAAGATGCCTTCCTGCACACTGACCACACCGCCCTTCACACTTCAGGCCGTAACTGCCGGACTCGCATACTTGAAACAAAACAGATCTATATGACTAAAGCAAGGGAAATGGTGAACACCGAAATGGACGTGAATCTAAGATGCCTTCCTGCACACTGACCACACCGCCCTACAGAAAGGGAAATGATAAAGACATTGATACCAACATTCAGATCTAGATTCATGCTTATTACATTTGTAAGTGCGACAGAATAAAAACACCCAGCACCTGTGACACAGTCACAAGATGAAAACATGTAGAAGGCATAAGTGTCACTGACATATTCGGGCCATCAGAATTAAACGGGTGTTAGTATACCGCGTTTTCTAAAATGTTACCAATTGATCTTTGATTGATGAATGTACAAGAGCAAAGAAATACATTAGGAGATTTGTTCTGATTTGTTTCAAAGTTATGGTACAGAAAGTAAACACAATCAATATGCTGCAAAATAACATATTGGGGACTCGGGTGCAAGGTTGCTGCCTTGATTTCGACACGACATACCAGCATGTAGTGCCGTTATGTAAACTCACGTTGCTGACAGTCCCTACCTGTTCTGCCTGCCTGACTAGAGTGTATCACGACATGTAGTGCCGTTTTGTAAACTCACATTGCTGACATCCCCTCCCTGTTCTGCCTGCCTGACAACAGGGTATCACAGCATGTAGTGCCGTTGTGTAAACTCACATTGCTGACATCCCCTCCCTGTTCTGCCTGACTGACTACTGGGTATCACAACATGTAGTGCCGTTATGTAAACTCACATTGCTGACAGCCCCTCCCTACAGGGTATCACGACATGTAGTGCCGTTATGTAAACTAACATTGCTGACAGCCCCTCCCTACAGGGTATCACAACATGTAGTGCCGTTATGTAAACTCACATTGCTGACAGTCCCTCCCTGTTCTGCCTACCTGACTACAGGGTATCACGACATGTAGTGCCGTTATGTAAACTAACATTGCTGACATCCCCTCCCTGTTCTGCCTGCCTGACTACAGGGTAACACAACGTGTAGTGCCGTTGTGTAAACTCACATTGCTGACAGTCCCTCCCTGTTCTGCCTGACTACAGGGTATCACAACGTGTAGTGCCGTTGTGTAAACTCACATTGCTGACAGTCCCTCCCTGTTCTGCCTGACTACAGGGTATCACAACGTGTAGTGCCGTTATGTAGACTAATATTGCTGACAGTCCCTCCCTGTTCTGCCTGCCTGACTACAGGGTATCACAACATGTAATGCCGTTATGTAAACTCACATTGCTGACAGTCCCTCCCTGTTCTGCCTGACTACAGGGTATCACAACGTGTAGTGCCGTTATGTAGACTAACATTGCTGACATCCCCTCCCTGTTCTGCCTGCCTGACTACAGGGTATCACAACATGTAATGCCGTTATGTAAACTCACATTGCTGACAGTCCCTCCCTGTTCTGCCTATCTGACTACAGGGTATCACGACATGTAGTGCCGTTATGTAAACTAACATTGCTGACATCCCCTCCCTGTTCTGCCTGCCTGACTACAGGGTAACACAACGTGTAGTGCCGTTGTGTAAACTCACATTGCTGACAGTCCCTCCCTGTTCTGCCTGACTACAGGGTATCACAACGTGTAGTGCCGTTGTGTAAACTCACATTGCTGACAGTCCCTCCCTGTTCTGCCTGACTACAGGGTATCACAACGTGTAGTGCCATTATGTAGACTAATATTGCTGACAGTCCCTCCCTGTTCTGCCTGACTACAGGGTATCACAACGTGTAGTGCCGTTATGTAAACTCACATTGCTGACATCCCCTCCCTGTTCTGCCTGCCTGACTACAGGGTATCACAACATGTAGTGCCGTTATGTAAACTCACATTGCTGACATCCCATCCCTGTTCTGCCTGACTACAGCTTTCTTACAAAATAGATCAATACCAGTTTAACATACATATTTGACGTTCGACAAGCGTAAGTGTTCCTAAAGATACAAAATACACAGACTTTGAACCTCAGTTGATTATTGGAAGCCTGGTGTCACAGACTAGTCTGAGGATTATGTACTGATGGAAACAAAGAAGGAGACGTCTTCAGTATAAAGGAGAGCAATTACACCTGACACAGTATGTTCTCGAGAACACAACAAGACGTTTCTCTAACGACTGCATCTTAACACAAAAGTAAGTTAGGTTTCTATGCTCTTTCTGTTTGGTTTAATCATATTTCTATTTCAAATGAAAATTAGGATCGGCAAACAAAACAGCGCTTATTTGAATACCTATCCCTACATAGAAATCAGGTAACAAACATAGTCAAGGTGTATACATACATAATATTTACACAAAAATACCTTGATGGTTAGTTATCAAGTATGATCAGCAGTGTCCGGTTTTGATAGTCCGAATGATGGGGTTATACGTAATATTAAGTACTACATACTATGCAGAAGATACATATATATTATATGTGAGAGTTTGGTGTATTTTGTAAGTTTAAATCTGCCAGAATTTGTGATGAAAGTATCTCTTGATTTGCTTCAGTTGATAGGCCGTCACATCCGCAAGGTACTGTATTTATATCATATCCTTTTTATGTAATGTAATGAATTGCAAACAAAGAAGAAGTGTAGCGGGTGACCACAGGAACTACCTGGGCTGTCAGTTATGAATCTAGCGAATGTATGTCTGTTCCCCAGTACATTATAACCAGTTTGCCATGAGGAATTCCCTGAGTTCAACGAACACTATACTTCAATTAAATATTCGTAAAGTGCAGGATGATGACAATAATGTTTTCAGATGTTATTCCATACCAAATAAAATTCAGACATGTTCTAAGAGTTGGGAGAACTGTACCTGCTCCCTCATGATCTTTAGAGTACAGTATAAACACGGAAGATGAGATCTAGATGGGTATATATTTGTATTTTACCGTCACACCGATCTCCCTGCCACTTCTCTTTACAACCCTTCTCACAGCTCCCGTCTGTTCTATTGCATCTTTGGTTACCTCCCTTACACTGGCCACACACACCTCCACACTGGAAGCCATAGCGTCCTCTGGGACATGCTGTGGGGTAGAACATGACACAGTGGTTACCTCCCTTACACTGGCCACACACACATCCACATTGGAACGATAGCGTCCTCTGGGACATGCTGTGGGGTAGAACATGATACAGTGGTTACCTCACTTACACTGGCGACACCCACCTCCACACTGGAACCCATCGCGTCCTCTGGGACATGCTTTGGGCTAAAACATGACACAGTGGTTACAGTGAACACAGGTGTATATATAATATGTATCACACGCCTTATCAGACACACTGGATATATACTCACATCAGACTTGTATAAACCCACTCCTCTCCAGCAAACTAGTGTTATGTTATGGAACAATATGTGTTTCATAGTTAATCAGGTATGGATGTCTTTCTGTGGAAATGCCCCTATTCGGTAGAAGATTTAATTGATTAATGTCAGAATTCCGCCCCCTGTCCATCCATTTCTACAGCCACTGCTACAGTCTCCGTTTGTTTTGTCGCATGCCTAACTTCTGTTCTCACAGCGACCTTGCCGACTCTCGGACCCTTCTGAATAAAGGTCCAACTCAAGTCTAGAATGATTGGACAAGTCTAGATTACCTCACCTCCTGAATTTTAGCATTGATCTTGGGTCCATTTATATGATTATTTATTTATTTGTGCAAATATAAACGATAACTTCATTTCTGGGACTAGGTCTTAGTCTTATGTTTGTATTGAACCAGTAGTTGTATTTTATGTGTGTTCAGAGATACCAACTACCGTTGACTGTTCGTTATAAATTTATTATGCTTTATGATGATATCATTCATCTACACAGCTACAAATACCGGATGATGTACAAGAGATTTATCACACGCTTATAGGAGATAAACAAACTGCGTTTTCAATGTAGACCTATGTTGCCTGTAGGTTGATGTTTGTCAATTTGAGTTAAGGAAACACCGATGATATCCTGTCGCTGAATATACTCAAACATTGTTATGTAAATCAAATACTTTACACCCCACAGATGCTCTATTTGGGACATGTCAGGGGACATAACGGGCCTGTGCAATGTCCGTATGACTTCTCGTCGGAGATAATCGGTGAAGACCTGCGCACGATGTGGTCTGGCATTGTCATTTTTCAGTTTAAAATTTCTGCAGATAATTCCAGCGAATGGAACGACAGGACGCATACCAATATTATGACGTCACACCCTCATTGTGACCCCCAATATATATGAGGTCATAGTCAGATATAAAGAAGAGCTTAACATCAATCCACTTTGTTTTCTCAACATCTGACAGTCTCTTAGCAGTGTTCGAAATACCTGCCTGTCCGACCGTCCGTGACGGGTTGATTTCAACTCGGGCTGCCAGATTTTCAAATCCCCCTGCCCGACGGTCGGGTTATATTTCATATGTAAAAATATTCTAAATAGTTTCCGATGATAAGCATTAATTCACATGAAAAGATGAATGATAAAATGTAACCAAAAAGAAACCCCGTTAGCTTATCCTGAGAAACATATGATTATAGTGGGCAGGCAGGTTTTGGTCAGGGCTGGCAAGTATTTCAGCTAGCCAGTCCTGTGGTCTGGCTGAAATTTTTAGAGTTTCATACCCTGCTCTCTTAGTCAATATCCATCATGCTTTTTGCCCATCCCGTATTGTCACACATGCTTTGAAGATTGTTGTGACTGCAACTCTACATTGTACGTACACATCATAACCATATGATATATAGGTTTGACATCTGGATGTGATCACCCCGACTGCACTACTCACGTGTTTGACAGTCCAGTCCTGTCCGTCCATCTTCACACCCAGAGACACACTGACCTGTCTTCTTGACACAAACTTCATAACGATCCTTACATTTACACCTCATGTCACATCGGCCACCAAACCAGAAGTTACTGCACTCTGGAACAACAACAGTCAATCATCTACGGGAAGCCTTGTACAGACAACACATAACAGTCAACAATCCATGAGAGGACGGAGCTCTTGTAAAGACAACATATAACAGTCAACAAAGTAAACAAGAGTATGAGATTCCTTGTAAAAGGTTTATTCTAAGTATTTTCAACTAAACAAAATAAAAAGTGTTATGCGTTCGTGTGTTGTCAGACAATAATTATTCAACTATTCATCCGTGTCAGTGTCATTACATATCATACAGTAAGGTTCCTGTTGTAAGTCACCAAAAGTGGTTATACTGAAATCAGAGCAGTCCTTATATCTCTGAGCAACAGTGTGTGTTGTCCTGCATCCCATGATGCGATGCCCACAAGCGGAATCACCCAACCATTGTAAACAAGAGTCATCAGAAGATGACAAATTCCCCTGTCCCCCACAAATTCGAAAGAACAAATCATCTGACTGTTACTTTAAGTCCAACTTGATGAGAGAATTATCTATCTAAGCTGTCTGTCCATATACAAGAGTAGTTCTTGAGCTATAAAAACAATACCATGGAATTGGGATTCGGAACTTTGTATTTCTATGTCAGGTACACGCCACTATGAACAGACTCAAGGCCAAACTTGTTGCCATGGAAACGGAAAAAAATATAAATTCTAAACACCCCAAAGTAGCACATGGCACCGTTTGGCAACCTGGTCTTTGTGTGTTCACAGTTTCAAGAAGGAATACCTATTAGTTTAAGAGATATGGTCCAGACAAACACACCACCATGAACAGAGTCAAAGTCAAACTCGTTGCCATGGAAACAGAAAAAATTAAAAAGTTGTAAATTTCTAAATAGTGAAAGGCACCTTTGATTAATACATGTACCAAGTTTAGATGAAAAATGTTGAATAGATTTTTAGTTGTGCTCCGGAAACGACACCTACCTCCCCCTTTCAGCTGTTTATGTGCTGTCACATGATCCGTTCATTTCTCAACAAACTTAAAAACACATGACGCTTACAAAGTTTAAAATTCACCTTTTAACGTTTACACGAGTTTTGACAGGAACTACTTTTCACGGGAAGTCCCCGAGTGGAACAATTCCAAATGGTGTCCCTTGCTTACCATGATCAGGATCATGAGGATTGGCAATGATCGGACAACATCACGAGGAAAAATAAATGTCTGTTATTTCACTTTCAATGTGAAAAATCCAAATCCTAACTCGTCCATCAATAGACATGTGTTTCATGTTGAGTTACAGTTATTTGTGATTCTAAATAAATTAAATTAACTCTCGTTGATTAATAATGAGATTTTGGGTCACTGTATTCTAGTGTTACTGGAGACGTAAATAGTCTAAAATGTGCGCCACGGTAAAATTGGCATCCCTTAAACTTCATAACCACAAGCTTCGGCGTTTACACAGTGCAAACTAAACCACTCCAGTAAACCAACATGAAATTTATTTCTGAAGTAATTGTATGACTAGATCGTGTAATGTAAGGCAATTCCTCATGCCTGACTGGCCTGGTACTAGGCTCAGCACAAGCAATTCTAAGACACCAAGGTGTCGGATCAAAGTCTTGATACAAACCTTTACACAATGTTCCACTCCACTTGTCCTGACAGCCACGGGTACAGCGCCCATCTACCTCGTTACAGTTCTGATCACCTCCATCACAATGTCCACACGTCTCCATGCATGTCTGGCCATAGCGTCCCGGGGCACAAGCTGTAACGACATTGTAGGGCCTTGGCATCACAATGAAATGGTTTGAAGCATGGGTAGAATAACACAAGGAAATTGATTCCCTGACACGTCGCATTTAATTTACGTACCTTTCAATAAATGAAATCACTACTTACAAGATAACCCCCCTTATAGGTAGGCAACACCAACTTTCCTTCCTGACATCCAGTCCCAGTATATCCATAGGAAACACATTGTTGGTCAACACGTCAGAATGAAATGTTTTGAAGCATGGTTGAAATAACAAAAAGGAAGTTATTACAATTCCATCACTAACCCAGCATTTTTAATTTTACACACTTCTTAACATAATAAATCCGTCATGGGTTGGTGGATGAAGCAACATGCACTTACTTTCCTGACATCCAGTCCCAGCATATCCATCACGGCACCCACTATCACAGTGTCCAGTGGCTTTGTCACACACCTCAGATGTGTTCCTACAGAAACACCAGGAACTACAGCCAGGTCCGAAACTCCCGTCAGCACACCCACTCTCACAGTGTCCAGTGGCTTTGTCACACACCTCAGATTTGTTCCTACAGGAACACCAGGAACTACAGCCAGGTCCGAAACTCCCGTCAGTACACCCACTCTCACAGTGTCCAGTGGCTTTGTCACACACCTCAGATGTGTTCCTACAGGAACACCAGGAACTACAGTCAGGCCCGAAACTCCCGTCAGCACACCCACTCTCACAGTGTCCAGTGGCTTTGTCACACACCTCAGATGTGTTCCTACAGGAACACCAGGAACTACAGCCAGACCCGAAACTCCCGTCAACACACTCTGTAAGAAAGTAAAAACGTTTTATTGGTATTTTGTTGTAACTGAATAGTAAACTCATACAGGTATATAAACCTTCGGTGACGTCATCCTATTGTTCTCCAGTCGGGTTAAATCTCATAAACAGGGACGTTGTAATGTCCCTTTTATATAATACTGCCGGGATACACAAGTCATATTTGCTGTATAATGTGTTATAATATCCAAGGGATTTTATATAATGTCCTGGGTATTTTCTTAATATAACTTCCGTTCAGATTGTAACATGTAATTAAATGGAAAATTAAATGACAAACTTCTTAAATTCCCGAGGATCGAACTCGCAACCTTCATATCTGTAGCTCAGTGAGTGTACCACAAGGTTACAGAGGCGTTGATAAGCCGCACTGCCTTTTAGAATGTCCTTTTCAAGATCCGTACGCCAGCAACAGATATTTTACGCCCGTTTCCTAAGGTTCATGAAAGGTATGTTCGAAACATAAAAATGTTGATAAATGTTGTGTTTAAGGTTCAAAATCGGTTTATAAGTAAGATAAAACACTTCCCCTCGGGTTGTTATGATATTGAAAACCCTTTCCCTCGGAAAATCCCTCGGGATGCGGGTTTAAATATCATAACAACCATCGGCCGTGTTTTATCCTACACTTATAACATTACCATGATTACCTCAGAAGTAAACTTCAAGTTCCCAAGACATGGCTCATCACACAAAACATCCTATTTGACCTATGTGTATGTCAAATTAAGAAATCCGTAATATGCGTTCATTACCATATATTTCCACTTCACACAGATTGAGAATGTACTCCGAGCCAGCCAGTGTTGGCAGACGAACAGTGACACGTTGTCCACGTGTAGGGGTGTCACAGCTGATGCTGACAGGGGAGCGGGGAAGGTGGGACTGGCTGTGTTGATGGCAGAGGTGGTCGTCTACATCGACCAAGAAACCTCTCATTCGTTCTGGAGACAAAACAAATCAAATATATATGAAGGCGTCAACACGAGGGTATAACGTGGTAATCGATGTCGACTGAATCGAAAACTAACTGTCTGGTTAACCCTGTGTATGTTTCATGGGAAGTACGTGTATTTAACGTCAATAAGATCAAGGGATCATACAAGTGTAACTTTGATGTGTTTGTTTTGTAGTACGACTAGTCCTGTGACAATGCGATGATCACCTTCATTGCGATCAGCACACTCCAAGATTAAACGTTTGGAAAATAAATTAAACGGAAACTGCACGCTGTCAATAATTGTCGAGAAAATTAGTAATTGGTAATATTCCAATCATATGTCCACAACAACAGTGACCAGTTTTTCATGAAAGTGTAAATAGAGTATTTCAGTTTTGATCTGGTTGTATATTATTTCTCTTGTTTTTTTTATGGAACATTATTAGAGGGGTCAGTCGAGATTCCTTACTGTGCTCGATTGGATTTGAAAAGAATATTGTGAGATTGGTGATGAGGTGTGTCTCTCCCAGGTCCACTGTCCACCAGGCAGATGTCCGGTTTGTCGCGGTGTGTGTGCATTTCCCTGACCAGTACCTGCTGCTGGTCACACCGTCCACAGCCAGGGAGGAAGTCTTGTTCCCACACACGTCTTTCTGGGCGGCTGTACTCGCCCACTGACAGTCATTGACAGTGCTGCTTTGTTGTGTTGGTTTGTTCAGAGCTAGGTTCCCTGGTAATAAACATATTGCGTGTGTTTTAGTGATTCCATTGAGATTAACTCTTTGGTAAAGCAGTAATGTACCATGAATTTGGAAAGTAGTCAATTCTGATTCAGAAGTATTGGATGACAATATCCACCTCTGATTGCAACAGCCGATTCGACGGCCGTATCCTTTGTAGAAGAGTGCTTGATTCTGGTCATTGTTGGTAGACATATAAATAACAATGTACACTGACTACAATAGTCACGGTATGTGTCGCAATACAGTTGGGCAGTTAACACGACAGAAATCGACTGAGAGAGTGTTACTCACGTTACACTGAGCGTCATGACGTCGCAATAGTGGCGTGCGGGGTATGTGTAGAACTAAACTTGCAAAATTTTCTCTTTTCTCTTGAGGTTCACACACTCAACCCGTGTTGGAGTACGAGGTTGCTGTGCTACACACGTTCAATGCCTGTTCCTATGTGAGCACAGTATTATGAGTGAGATAGTGAATTGGGTTTAACGCCGCTTTTAACATTATTCCAGTTATATCACGGCGTGTCAGCTTAATGTGGGTGGAAAGCACGAAGTGATGCATGTTTCAGACGTTTACCTCTTCGGTGAAACCCACGAGCACGGGTATGGTGCTGACAAACCTAGAAACATAATCGGGGCGAACCGGGATTCGAACCCACAATGATAGGTTTCTGGCGTGCCAGATGGACGCGACTCTGCACAGCGAATCGCGGCGCCTTAGACGACTGGACCACCCGTGCCCCCGCACAGTATTATGAAGTACAAATACACACCAGCACCAAAATTGGTTTCTACAGTAGTATCAGTGTATTCAGTTCACAACAGGACAATTCAAGTCGACAACACTTCCAAGACATTGGACTGAACCAAAGCTCAATGTCTCTTCGCTATCACCAATGCGTTCGCGTCACATTTAATCATGATAGAATGGCGATAAACACATTGTGTGTCAGTGTAGGGCTACTGAAGGTTGACTGTAGATTTAACCGTGCTTTATTGAATTTGGAACTGAGTTAGGTTTCAAATGTTAAAATAGCGCGGTTAAACCTACAGGTTACCAATATGTAGCACCAATACCAATATTGAAAACACAGTATGTTCATCCTTAAAATCACCTGGATGATTCATCAACGTTGTAAAATTTACTATGGCGCCGATAAATTTTATTATGAACGTCTATATGATTGTAACCCTCGTTATCTCGAACTCCAGTATATCGAATTAATAGATGTCAGGCTGTAGTCCGACAGTCTCCACAATGGGGCCAGGGTCTAATGTCGTTACATTATACTCCATCTAAACTATGGAAGACTCGACATACAGTAAACTATGTTAACAACGAACAGGCTTATAACGAAGTGACGGATATAACGAACTGGGTTTGTTTTGTCCCGGCAATTTGCTGTATATTTTATCATAAAATAATTGACCGCTATAACGAACACACTTAGTTTATGGTACCTTCAATCTCCTCAGTGTCGGACTAGTCCATTTTATACACAGGTGGGTATTTCCCGCATATTCTCACAATCCTCATATCGATTACCTTCTCTCCCAATGACGATTGTCATATCTCTCCCGCTTTTGGATGCGATCGCTCGGCCATCGCATTTATCTGCGTTGCCCAGCTTCATCGATGGGAAACAACTCACTTGACACTCCCTTCTCAACAATAACGTCCTTCAATACACGACGTTATCAAGTAGCGAGCACGTGTTCGAATCTCCAGAAATATAATCATGATAGAACAATGTTTAATGGTGAAATAGAATTGAGGATACATACCGATTTCTTAAACATATTTCATAATGAGATGCCTGATCACACGAGAAAATATAAAAAAAGTTGGCAAACAAGGAAGAAAAACGTACAATTTTATGGATAACTTCTGGTTTATTGCAATTAGCGACGATTCGATGTAGATTCTTGCACCATTATCCAGCTTGATCATGGTGTAAGCATCTATATCGAAACGTGGTTTATATGCATAAACCAGAAGTTGTTATCCATCGAGAAAATAAATGTTTCATATTTTTCTGCTTTATAATGAGAAAATGAGCTGTTGCAAAGTCCGTCCACACAGTCAAACAAAATATGTTTGAAACTTAGGTCTTCACGCGGGTAGCTGGACTATTTCGAGCAGTTTTAAAGGTACCTGAAAGTTTGAAAGTGAATGACCGAGTTGGATTTTAACGCCTCTTTTGACCAGTATTTCAACTATATCACAATGCATCAGTTGGATTGTTCTGCACATACAACAAGTTGAGGGCAAGTTAACATTTACACGTGCATCCAGCAGATTTGTTCTGCACATACAACAAGTTGAGGCCAAGTCAACATTTACACGTGCATCCAGCAGGTTTGTTCTGCACATACAACAAGTTGAGGCCAAGTCAACATTTACACGTGCATCCAGCAGGTTTGTTCTGCACATACAGCAAGTTGAGGGCAAGTTAACATTTACACGTGCATCCAGCATATTTGTTCTGCACATACAACAAGTTGAGGAAAAGTCAATATTTACACGTGCATCCAGCAGGTTTACTCTGCACATACAGCAAGTTGAGGGCAAGTTAACATTTACACGTACATCCAGCAGGTTTGTTCTGCACATACAGCAAGTTGAGGGCAAGTCAACATTTACACGTACAGCCAGCAGGTTTGCTCTTTACATGCAACGGGTTGAGGGCAAATGAACATTTACACGTGCGTCCAACAGGTTTGTTCTGCACATACAACAAGTTGAGAGCACTTCAACATTTTTCGTTAACCCGACTGGCGTGTTCTGTACATTCAACGAGTTGAGAACAATTAAAAATTTACACATGCTCTGGCATGCCCATACCTTCTTCAGAAGTTTGAACTGTGTCAATCATTCATTTTGATGCGGATCTTTTCATGCCATCTCTGTGTACAAGTAATTTGCAACGTCTTATTGATACCCTAAATGTTGACCAATAAGTAGGACTATGATACGTTTTGAAGTTTGAAACTGTGTAATTTACGTACTCTCGAATTACTGAACAAAACAATTTCAGTAACAATGGCACATATGTTTCAAATTCGTTACACTTCAAACAGAGTTATTTGACATTCCATCATGGATTGAAAATAGTCATTAAAATTGTCCTGTACATCCTACGAATTTATTCACCTTGACTAGTCCTTCAGTCGCCTAAAGCACCAGAGCAGAGAAGAGTCTGGGTTTCACCAACGTAACATTTCGGTCTTTCCTCTACATCAAGTTGAAACGCTCTGATGTAACCAAACCCACTGATTCTCTCTTGTTGCATGGCTTGTCACTATAAATGACCTTTTCAGCAACTGACTAATCGATGTTTCGTCATATGACACATTGCTTCTTTCTTAACCACTTCGGCTATTTTAGTAAGACATCAAATTTGAAGACCGCTGGCATCTGAAATAATTTTCTTTTCTTTTCTACATTATAGAATTAGCTACAGGTTAAACTTGTATAAAGTTTGCATCATGAATGTTTCTATTGCCCTGCCTCATCTCTTTATTCATTAAAAGCATTCGTCAACCATCCTAGATCGATTGTGTTCTACTCACGGATCTGACACGTGGGGCCTGACCAGCCCTGGAGACAGCCGCCAGTGCACCGGAAGTTGACGTCACATCCGCTTGTGCAGTGACACTCACGTGATGATGAACCTAAAAAAATGAAGATATTGTATGTGTGTACATTGAACATTGAACATCAATATAATTTGTTAATTTCAACATTATGTGTTTTCATAAACGCATCAGACACCCCTTGAATAAATTAGATGTGCCATGGTCATCGGACTCCACAATAACCTAATACTGTTGACTTATTTTATTTTGTAAAAGTGCAGTTGGGATGGTTCGGATATCCCAGAAGCCGGAAACGACAGACAGGAAGTGCTCCTAATTGTATGCATTATCAAAGAGCCTGGAGACAAAGGGATTTCTGGCATTAACTTCATCAACGACGAATGGGTGTCATCAATGTGGATATTTTGATATCTGCGATGTCACCACAGCACCATTTGTCGCCTTTGTGACCGATACACACAGTTCAATTCCACTGCAGGCTGTCCGAGATCCGGCCGACCAAGTAGTTTATATACTTGGAATAAATACATGTATTTCCGTGTAGTAGAAAGTAGGGGAATATGACCAAATCCATACATACATACATACGCACGCACGCACGCATGCATGCACAGAAGCACGCAGGCGTAAAACACGCCGAGATTGATTTCACTTTGTCCAATACTGAATTTGGGAAGTGAGTGTGTTTTCTGAAGGCGATGGGGACAAAAGACAATGGGTTCGGTTGTGTCATCATTGAGCTCAAGATTCAGCTTTAAATACTGTAAACACACTCTTGGACTTGAATGACAGGTAAATCTGAGTATCACATGCGTACAAGTGCATAGAAATAACAACATCATCAAGGGGAGCTGTATAGGTGGTAAAACAGTGGACCAAGTACATTAAAGTTAACAAGTGAAATAAATGGCCGAGGCGAGAGTCGGTTACATTAACAGCCCTCGTCTGTTTAAACTGATCACTGGTAACTTGTTTAATGGTACATTTTTATCATGGAAGACGAGGACAAGGTTGCTTAATCCACACATAACTTGAACCAAGATTATTTAGATGGCCCAGTTTTCTGCTATTTCTAAACACTTTATCGTTACAGTAAAACAGCAATAGCTTAGTCGATTTGTTAGTTGTAAGTTTGGCCAAGAATAAGATCATGCTTTCCGGATAATTTGCCCTCTTCCTACATTCAACCTTTTGACAAATACCGGGGAATACTTTTCTTTCTGCATTTCCCACAAACTGTATAAACGTAAGTAAGTTCAATTTCCTGAAACTCCATATTGCTGATGCATAAATTAAAATAGGTAGATCTGGTTTGGTCAAATGAACTTAACTTAAAGTCTACATCCGTGTAAATCCGAATTTCTCATTCTTACATACAATAAATACAAGGATTTTTCGCATGTGCTACAGGTGCTTTTGTTGATGTTATAAACTTACAGACTTCTTTAATACAATTCCATGGTACTGGTCTGGAATAGCCTCTCAAAGTAGAATTATCCCTAATCTTTCTGAATCCAAAGATGACAACTTTTGTTTACTTCATTTACAGACAATCCAGATTTGACAAAACATATTCAAGTAATGCTGTAAGTCTGAAGCACTTTCAGCAAGACCTCCTCCGTTTTTAAGCGGTTGATCGCCTGCCCGGAAATATTCATTGCACTGTCGACTTGTTTGTTTCACGTCATAATCTACGAAACATCAATGACGATAAGAGCATTTCCCAGATAACAAAAATATCCTCCGTGGTCTAGTGGTAGAGCCATTCGTCACCACTCGCCCCTTTCCGTAACCTGCAGCTATTCGGCTTGTCCCGGAATAACACGAGTTGGTCACGAGTGGTGGTAGAGCGTCTGCCCGGAGAACGGAAGGTCGTGGGTTTAATCCCCGGCCGCGCAATGCCAAAAGACGTTAAAAGACTGTATCTGTTCTTAACCTGCCTTGCGCTCGACATGAAACGGGCTAATCCAAGAACTGGTCGGCTCGGAGTCATTTTACTGTGTCTGAGTGTGGTATTCATGTTAAACTGTGGCATGGTATCTCAGTGGACTAGTCCGGACTAGAATGTAATGTTCTAATGATAGATCTTAACATTGATGATTATGAACGGAATTCTCTGCATAAAGTAGAGTCGATTGTACAATTCCGACTATGTCATGAGCATGTGTTTATGAATCACTATCAAACAGTGATGATACCAGGTGTTCACGAAAAGGTGAGCGAATTCTGCCCCATCGGTGGCACCCGTCACAAACACATGCAAAGGCAAGTCAATTGTTCACTTGAAACAGCAAGTCAAAATAGGAAATTGCATCGGATTCTTTATGCATCTAAATATGAAACATATAAAGAAAACTCCTCTATTTCTTGTTCAGGGGGTAAATCAGTGGAAGTCAAAACAAGTCTACTTCACCTCGTTCTTTTTAAAACTGAAATAGACTGATTCTTTGAGAACCGGAAGTCACGTTTGGAGGTTGGCTTTTTTTCTTTCTTACTAATAAACAGTGAGGCATTGGAAATATATTCAATCTGGTAATTATACATTTGGGGATTTTATAAATAGATTCAATTGACCTGGATGCCGTTGTACAAAACAACCTTAGCGCTACGACTGTCGTAAGTCTATGTTAAGGTATGGGAGTTACGATCACCCTAGCGCTAAGATCGTTTTGTACAACGCAACCCCGGAGGCACACACAAAATGGACAAAACTGTTTGCATTTAAAATAGGTTTTATATATACCCCTAGTGTGACAATGACTAAACTGTACATGATTCTTACCTTGCTGGATCAGGCATATAAACACTGCATGTAGAAGTAAAAGACAGAGCGTGCAAACTGGCGGCGCCATGTCTGACTGACTGAACACAAGGAAGTTTATTTTAGCTTTATATATTAGGTCAATTGTAATATATTAAGCACTTCACTCAACAATAGAGTGTATCAACCGCCACCAAACATTCCCCATGTATATGTAGATACTGATGTGTGGATACTGATACCGGGAGGAAGTTCGACATTCTCTTACGAAAGCCCCTGCATGAAATATTCGGTACGATGCATTGTGCGTCCTGGAGATGAAGGTTACCTGATAATGCTCCACGGTTTCTCACAGTTTACATATTACATTTTGGTTTTTCTCTCCCAGCACGTAAGGCAATTTATTAAAGTGAAACCTATTAAAGTGATCGCTCGTCACGCCGGATTCGAATTCCCAAACATGTTTAATATGTCCATTGATAGTGGCCCGTGATATATTTACATATTGCTTAACGTGACGAAAAAAACCATAATCACTCATTCATATACACACATAGAGTCATCATATCGCCGTTTGAGCAGGGATATTTGTCATTATATACACCACCAAACAATGAAATGGCCAATTGGCTTTCGCCAAGGATGTGTTTTAAGTCCTATACTTTCCCCACTTGAGCTGTATGCTGTATACGCACTCTGGTAGATATGGCATACAGTTCTTCCCTGATATGAAAGAACTTTTTTTTTGTTGCTACCTTTTGCAGATGATGTGCTATAACTGGTCCACAGAAGCATCTTGAGATACTTTCGGAATATTCGGATGAATAGAAACTTAATGTTAATTAAGTTATTTCACTGATTATTTTTTTAAGTATTTGATTCGCAATCTATTTTACTATATGGGTCTGCGATATAGGGTTGTACAGAGTTTTATACCATTGAAAAGGTTCATCTCCTTACTTGTAAAAAGTTCTTTAGGTCAACCTAAATTACTATGGTTTATAGAGAATGCGGGAGATTTACCTAAGAAAGCTTACAATATGCTCGTACATCTCGATAATTTCGTATCGGTAAAATTACACGGGCCTTTTGTGAACGTACATTGCTTTTTACAATTGCCTTGATTTCATTTTACAGATCCCAAACAATTGGTAGTGAGTGAGTTGGGATTCACGTCGCTTTTAACCATTCCAGTCATATCGCGGCGGATGGTATTAAAGCCCGAAGTGATGCAGGTCTCAGACGTTAACCACTTCGGTGAAACCCACGAGCACAGGTATGGTGCTGACAAACCTAGAAACATAATCAGGGCGAACCGGGATTGAGAACCCACAATTTTTCTGGCGTGCCCAAGGGACGCAACTCTGCACAGCGAATTGCGGTGCCTCAGACGACTGGGCCACCCGTGCCCCCAAACAATTTATACTGCTAATGTGTTCATTAATTAATGCTTATCGTCAGTTCAAGTCACATATTTATCAAACCCACGGAATACCCACTCTCTTTCTTCCTCCAGGCTCTCTCTATTGGACCGGACACTCTTTTTAGCGACGAACAGTCTTTCTTCACCCGGACTCTTTTTATTGTCCTGGAGTCTCTTTACTGTCCAATACTCCCTTGTTGGTCCCAGACTCTCTTTTATTGTCCCAATGTCTCTTTATTGTCCCAAACTTTCTCTATTGGACCGGACACTCTTTATTATCCCAGCAGACTCTCTTTACTGTCCAAGACCCTCTTTTTTGTCCCAATGTCTCTTTATTGTCCCAGACTCTCTCTCTATTGCACCGGACACTCTTTTTAGCCACGAACATTCATTCTTCACCCGGACTATCTTTGTTGTCCTTGACTCTCTTTATTGTTCCAATCTCTCTTTATTGTCTCAGACTCTCTCTCTCTCTCTATTGCACCGGACACTCTTTTTAGCCACGAACATTCTTTCTTCACCCCGCCTCTCTCTATTGTCCTGGACTCTCTTTATTGTCCCAAGCTTTATTCATCGCCCCCTACTCTCTTTATTGTCGTGGTCTCTCTTTATTGTCGTGGTCTCTCTTTATTGTCGTGGTCTCTAGACTCTCTTTTTAGCCACGAACTTTCTTTCTTTAACACGGTTTTTTCTGTATAGCCCCAAATCAACTTCTTCAGCCAGACACTTGCTTGTGTTGGTCCTTATTGGCCCGGGGGCGGTCGGGTAGCCTAGTGGTTAAAGCGTTCGCTCGTCACGCCGAAGATCAGGGTTCGATTCCCGACATGGGTACAATGTGTGAAGCTCAATTCTGGTGTCCCCCGCCGTGATATTGCTGGAATATTGCTAAAAGCGGAGTGAAACCATACTCACTCACTCATTCACTCACTCACTTTATAGGCCCGAACTCTCTGTATTAAACTGGACTCTCTTTTTAGCACCGAACTCTCTTTATTGTCGTGGACTCTCTTTATTGTCCCGGCACTCTTTATTGCCCTGGACACTCTTTTTAGCCCTGAACTATCTTTCTCGGACCCTCTTTATTGCCTCGGACCCTCTTTATTGCCTCGGGCCCTCTTCATTGCCTCGGACCCTCTTTATTGCCCCGGACCCTCTTTATTGCCCCGGACCCTCTTTATTGCCTCGGGCCCTCTTTATTGCCTCGGACCCTCTTTATTGCCTCGGACCCTCTTTATTGCCTCGGACACTCTTTTTAGCCCTGAACTATCTTTCTCGGACCCTCTTTATTGCCTCGGACCCTCTTTATTGCCTCAGACCCTCTTTATTGCCTCGGGCCCTCTTTATTGCCTCGGACCCTCTTTATTGCCTCGGACCCTCTTTATTGCCTCGGACCCTCTTTATTGCCTCGGACCCTCTTTATTGCCCCGGACCCTCTTTATTGCCCCGGACCCTCATTATTGCCTCGGACCCTCTTTATTGCCTCGGACCCTCTTTATTGCCTCGGACCCTCTTTATTGCCTCGGACCCTCTTTATTGCCTCGGACCCTCTTTATTGCCTCGGGCCCTCTTTATTGCCTCGGACCCTCTTTATTGCCCCGGACACTCTTTATTGCATCGGACACTCTTTATTGCCTCGGACCCTCTTTATTGCCCCGGACACTCTTTATTGCATCGGACACTCTTTATTGCATCGGACACTATTTATTGCCTCGGGCACTCTTTATTGCCTCAGACCCTCTTTGTAGTCCCGGACCCTCTTTATTGCCTCGGACACTCTTTATTGCCCCGGACCCTCTTTATTGCCCCGGACCCTCTTTATTGCCCCGGACCCTCATTATTGCCTCGGACCCTCTTTATTGCCTCAGACCCTCTTTGTAGTCCCGGACCCTCTTTATTGCCTCGGACACTCTTTATTGCCCCGGACCCTCTTTATTGCCCCGGACCCTCTTTATTGCCCCGGACCCTCATTATTGCCTCGGACCCTCTTTATTGCCTCGGACCCTCTTTGTAGTCCCGGACCCTCTTTATTACCTCGGGCACTCTTTATTGCCTCGGACCCTCTTTATTGCCTCGGACCCTCTTTATTGCCTCGGACCCTCTTTATTGCCCCGGACCCTCTTTATTGCCTTGGGCACACTTTATTGCCCAGGACCCTCTTTATTGCCCCGGACCCTCTTTATTGCCTCGGGCCCTCTTTATTGCCTCGGACCCTCTTTATTGCCTCGGACCCTCTTTATTGCCTCGGACACTCTTTTTAGCCCTGAACTATCTTTCTCGGACCCTCTTTATTGCCTCGGACCCTCTTTATTGCCTCGGACCCTCTTTATTGCCTCGGACCCTCTTTATTGCCTCGGACCCTCTTTATTGCCTCGGACCCTCTTTATTGCCCCGGACCCTCATTATTGCCTCGGACCCTCTTTATTGCCTTGGGCCCTCTTTATTGCCTCGGGCCCTCTTTATTGCATCGGACCCTCTTTATTGCCTCGGGCCCTCTTTATTGCATCGGACCCTCTTTATTGCCTCGGACCCTCTTTATTGCCTCGGGCCCTCTTTATTGCCTCGGACCCTCTTTATTGCCCCGGACACTCTTTATTGCATCGGACACTCTTTATTGCCTCGGACCCTCTTTATTGCCCCGGACACTCTTTATTGCATCGGACACTCTTTATTGCATCGGACACTATTTATTGCCTCGGGCACTCTTTATTGCCTCAGACCCTCTTTGTAGTCCCGGACCCTCTTTATTGCCTCGGACACTCTTTATTGCCCCGGACCCTCTTTATTGCCCCGGACCCTCTTTATTGCCCCGGACCCTCATTATTGCCTCGGACCCTCTTTATTGCCTCAGACCCTCTTTGTAGTCCCGGACCCTCTTTATTGCCTCGGACACTCTTTATTGCTCCGGACCCTCTTTATTGCCCCGGACCCTCTTTATTGCCCCGGACCCTCATTATTGCCTCGGACCCTCTTTATTGCCTCGGACCCTCTTTGTAGTCCCGGACCCTCTTTATTACCTCGGGCACTCTTTATTGCCTCGGACCCTCTTTATTGCCTCGGACCCTCTTTATTGCCTCGGACCCTCTTTATTGCCCCAGACCCTCTTTATTGCCTCGGGCACACTTTATTGCCCAGGACCCTCTTTATTGCCCCGGACACTCTTTATTGCCTCGGGCACTCTTTATTGCCCAGGACCCTCTTTATTGCCACGGACCCCCTTTGTAGTCCTTGACCCTCTTTACATCCCCTGACCTGACTTGGCCTTAACAAAACGAAAAGCTGTCAATCTCAGAAAGGTCAAACGAGAATATTTGTTGCCTCGTCGTCATCAGGTCACATCCGAATTCAAAATGAGATGCAGTTTCAGTGTCGAAAGACTAAAACGTTTTTATTTTTACTTTATCTGTATTCACAACCTGTACGTATACCCAACTCAACAATTCAATCAATTATACGGTGTTGATCATTAAACAAAATACACAAAGTTGCTTTTAGTCTAAGCGAAGTAAAATAGATGGACAGCAATTCTATTATTCGGTACTTGTCACAGTCAAGCATCGTCAAGAGGCTTAAGTGACGTTGTCATACGACCCATCACATGACTGTAGATACAGTTCAGCAGTCAGAACTTGCTAAAAATAACAACATCGAACGTAATATTGCGTAGAAATGAGTCTGTGAGTGCTGTGGCG